TTTGTCAGGCGTGAACAAGGCACGCGCATTTAACGGCTGGGTCATGCCAGTCCTCATGTATACCTTTGGCATACTCAGGTGGACTCAAACTGTGCTCAACACCCTGGACCGAAAAGTCCGCACGACTATGACGTCCCACAGAATGCATCATCCGAGATCGTCAGTGATGAGGCTGTACCTGCCACGGAAGCATGGCGGGAAGGGCTTTTTGAGCGCCCTTACCATGCACAATCGCGAGGTGTGCAGCCTCCGCAACAACTTCCTGACGAGATCGGAGTCAATCTACACGGAGTTGTGATAAAGGACTTACCCCTCTATCCTTAGCCAACGAGCAATGGCAGGACCCGGGAGTACTTGCACCGGCACAGCACGATGAATGAATGAATGAATGAATGAATGAAATATACTTTATTGTACACAAACAACGGATATTGCATAATCAACAAAAAATAACACAAAATTGTACAATAGGCGGCCTTATCGCTAAAAAGCGATTTCTTCCAGGCAACCTAGTAAAAGGAGATAGTAAAAGCAATAGTAAAGTAGCATCCTCTACTGCGTCGTATGCAGTAGAGGCCTCCTCTACTGCATGCGATGCAGTAGAGGAGGCCTAAACATGGCCATAATTGCGCCGGGGTCGCGGAAGATTGCGTCCACGTGCTCCCGTGTCCCGGCCGATGCGATAGAGACAGGTGCAACGTGGGTTTTTTAGTGGGTACCCGTTTCTCACCGGGACTCCCGCATACCCCTGCCACTCCCCCGATCCAGTGGTAGGGGATCCATAAAGGATTTTTCCCACGAAAAAAAAAAAAAGGACCCGGGAGTATTGAGCATTTCCGACCGAGAGACCGTATGGAAGGAGAAAGAGCTCCACGGGAGGTTCTACAAGGTGCTACACGAGCCTTTCGTAGATACTGTTGCCTCTCTTAACTGGCTACGTTTCGGTGACCTATTTGGGGAAACCGAAGGTTTTGTTTGTGCGATACAGGATCAGGTTTTAAGACGAACAACTATCGGAAATAGATCCTAAGGGATGGCACCGTCGACATCTGTCGAGCTTGTCGCCATCCCGGGGAGTCGCTTCGGCATGTCATTTCCGGTTTTTCCATGCTTTCTAACTTTGAGTATCTGCATAGACACAACCTAGTAGCCAGAATCCTACACCAGGAGCTCGCTCTGAAATACAGCCTCGTGGAACGGAAACTGCCATACTATAAGTACTCTCCGGAGGCCGTGGTCGAAAATGACCGCGCCAGGCTCTATTGGGACCGGTCCATAATCACGGACAGGACGATTGTCGCGAACAAACCTGATACCGTGTTGATGGACCGGGCAAAGTCGCGGGTATTTTTGGTCAACATTACCATTCCATATGACGAAAACCTCTTGAAAGCCAAAACAGATAAGAAGACGAAGTATCTGGACCTGGCTCACGAGGTGACCGATACGTGGGGTGGTGTGCCGGCCGTAATTATCTATTATTATTATATTATATGTGATGATGATGATGATGATTATTATTATATGTATAGACATTATAAACTAGCTATGCCCGGGACTTCGTCCGCGTCGAATTCAAAATAAATAAAATTTTCTAAAATAGACGTAGCCTAAGTAACTTTTTATTGCATCAGCTATCTGCCAGTTACAGTTCCGTCAAAATTGGTCCAGCCGTTTCAGAGATTAGCTCTCTCTCTCTCTCTCTCTCTCCCGTGCATTATTATTCCCACACGGTAGTGGGGTCTGCCTTTCCTGTCATTCGCTTCCACTTCGCTCTATCCATTGCATCGTTGTGAGTCACATTGCAGGCGTTAAGATCTTTTCTCAGTACCTCTGTCCATCTTATTTTTGGTCTTCCTCGTCTCCGGGAACCTCGAATGTCCAGATGGTACGCTTCTTTCCCAATGTAATCAGAAGGTCGACGTTGCACATGTCCATACCATCGCAGCCTACTTTCCTGGAGCTTGTCGGCGATGTCACGGACTCCGAGACTTCCTCGCACGTACTCGTTACGTATCTTGTCGAGTCTCGTCACTCCGCACATCCACCGTAGCATCTTTAGCTCTGCTACTTGTATGGTATGGACCTGGTTCCGTGTCACGGCCCACGTTTCGCTTCCATACGTAAGAACTGGCCTGATCATGGTCTTATATACTAGCCCTTTAAGCTTGACAGGCATTTTTGGGTTTCAGAGATTAGCTGGAACAAATTAATAGACAGACAGACAGACAAAAAATGTAAAAAATATATTATTATATACAGTGTATACATCCATATAGATTTAGTGAAAAGTGGTTATCTTAATATTACAAACAGACACTCCAATTTATAATTTATCTTTATAGAGTATATGTATGGATAGTGAACATGCCTCTTGCACCAGAGGATTTGGGTTCGATCCACACTACTGGAAAAATATTGTGTGATGAACATAGTGCTTTTCCGGTGTCTGGGTGTATATATATGTATAATATGTATTTATCTACACGAATTATTTAACCAAAAGTATGTTTAAGTATGTTAATTAGTTTTCTAATATCCATAGTTCAAGCACTGCTTAGTTTGGTACTAAGTGAACGTTGTGCAAAATGTGTCCGAAAATATTTATTTATTTATTATTTATAAATAGACGATGCTCAAATATCGGGAGAAGTATAGGCGAGGCCAAAGTTTCGCAGCTCGCAATCTTCTTGCAGAAAGTCCTTCACCAAAAGCCTCTTCAAGGCCGCCCGACGAACCTAAGAAATTTTGTATTAAAACAGGAAAAGGACTAACTCTTTGAATTAGTCATTCTCATCATTAGGAAGATCATTCTGGTCAATTCAGAGAGTTTAACAATCCTTTTGGCAAAAAACAAAAAAAAAAAAGTGGACAAAAGTTTACCGCCAAAGTTTGCCACTTCGCCTGGCGCAACTCTTCACGGATGAACATCATTTCGGGCCGCAGATGACGATGGGCCAGTGGGTCGTTCTGAATCTTGAGCCGTGGATCGATTGAGGCCAATTGTTGATCGCTGGCAATTCCATTGACATTTTACAATCAGCTTTAAATAAATAAAACGTACTTAGCGCTGCAATTCGAATTGAAACACCATAAGGGGTTTCATTATAATCATTAACCTCATTAAGCGTGTTATCGGTACACGAAATACCACCAAAAAAGAAGGTTTATTTTTTTTATGTGAGAAGACGGCAAGCAACTGGTGGTTCACCTAATGTTGTGATAATCACCCCCTCACAGACATCTAGAAGAACCATAGACGTGGTAGCTTACTAATTGCTACGTACTTACTAATAATTCTGTTTCACAGTAAAAATTATTAGTACGTACATACAGCATATAGTTTTGCAGGTTAATGATCTAAATAAAACGATTTTATCATTTAGAAATCTCAAAGTAATTTACGCATGCTATCGTATTGATCTTATTAATTAATTCCAAACTTAATGTATGATTTACACTGTTTTATTATCTAAGATATTTCGAGAGCGCCTGTAGTTATATATACGGCAATTATTCTTATTATTTTTACGCAGTTTATTGATTTGTCAGGCATTTTATAATTTAATGACCATCCGTACAGAGCACTTCGACTGAAGAACGATTTTGTGTTGACATTATAAATTTTAAAATAGTTCAAAATCTAACAAATGAGCTCCAACATCTGCTTCTAGAATTCCCGCTTCTTCCAACGCTTCGGCTTCAGCCAAGTCTTCATTTTGTTCAGACATATTTGTATAATAGCAATTCTAACTTCCACGTACAATTACGTATAAAAGAAACAAGTTGAAAGTTAAAACTCTGCGATGGTTTACTTCAGTATATTTTAGATAAGTACCATCCCTGGTTTTATTTCAAAATATGAGTTTTGAAATTATTTTATTTTCTAAGTTCAATATAATTTTTATTAAAATCAGCCAGTATTTCAGATGTATATTTACTGCCCTTTAATCAAGGGATAAAAGAAGGTTTAATGTTATAAAATCAGCCAAGTGCGAGTCGGACTCGCGCACAAATGGTTCCGTACCATTATATACAAAAACGGCAAAAATAATCATGTATGTTGTATGGGATCCCAACATAAATATTTTTTTATTCCGTTTATATGTATGTGGTGTAGTTTTAAAAACAGTACATGTAGATCTTTAATGGACATACATGCTTATTTTTGTATAAAACTTTTAAAAAGTTCCAAAAAATACCCATAATTATACTGTCGCTATATTGAGAAATCGATTGTTAATAGCTTATTACTTAGGGAATTAAAACAAATATTGTTTCAATAAATATGATAATTTTAATGGGATAACATTAAAATTTAACTCCACTTTACGCCTGTGACAAATTTCAATTCAGTTATATAAATTATGTGTTTATAATAATAATTTCTAACAAGTCGGTGTATCTTTTAAAAAACAACATACCGGCCCTATCACATATTCCGAAAAAAAATTATATACAATGTGAAAATATCATAATACGTAGTATTATATATTTCTTCGTAGGTTTTTGCTGATTTTGGAAACAAAGAGATCTGTACTTAAAACTGGTGTTAAATTTAAGAAATTATTCGACTTATTACTATAGTATTAATAAAGTTAAAAATATGACAAACATACAAGGTGTTTTATTCGCAAGTCATTGTTAACTGTTCTTGGAAAATACAAAATTATACGATTATTAATACAATGAAGATATATGGGTAAAATGACATTTATTTCATTTTTCTTATTCTGTAATGTCACGTGTAAGTCATGTCTGTTTAATCTGTGGTAAAAGGGTGAGTGAACTGCCTCATTGTTATTTATTGCATTTGCCTCTAATAATACATTAATTAGCCGATTTACGGGTACAGTGAGTGCAATAACATACATAACAGGCCGTGACAGCCATGCCGATGTGAGTAATATCAGAGGTGTGGCTCGTCTCAGTGGGGCGTTGTTTGGTAGCGCGAGTGACATTAGTTATACGAAAAAATATTCCTTAGAACTCGTTATAAGATGACCGAATACAAGCTAGTGGTGGTAGGGGCTGGTGGCGTGGGTAAATCCGCATTGACTATACAGCTGATACAAAATCATTTCGTAGACGAATACGATCCAACGATCGAGGATTCATACAGAAAGCAAGTTGTAATCGATGGTGAAACATGTCTCCTGGATATCTTAGACACGGCCGGTCAAGAGGAGTACTCCGCGATGCGAGATCAGTATATGCGCACGGGCGAAGGATTCCTGCTCGTTTTCGCGGTGAACAGTGCAAAAAGTTTCGAGGACATTGGGTCTTACAGGGAGCAAATTAAACGAGTGAAGGACGCAGAGGAAGTCCCTATGGTGCTCGTGGGCAACAAGTGCGACCTTCAGGCGTGGGCCGTGGACATGACGCAGGCGCGAGAGGTAAGCTTTGTTTACTAACATGAGAGTTATCACACTACATTGTCTTATTGAAACAAACAAACCTTCAAAGATGATACCAAAAATATTATGCTATACAACACGAGTGCATTTTATGGTTTCAAAGTGATTTAGACTAAATCAAATTTAAAAGATGTTTCGGACTTTTAACTATTATTGTCAACATTCTTCGGCTAGGTTTTATAAACATCCCTTGATTTGATTTGTTTATTATGCCTTTCTTATACTAACAATGTCTCAAGAATTAAAAAACTTTTATTTTCGGTTAAGACTTACTTAAGTAAAATGGGCAAACAATGCCTATGGAGTTTATTTCACCTGTTCCTTCTCCATTTAGAGGACCTTACTATGCAATGGTGGTAGATTTAAAAAATGACTGTCAATAGATGAAAGTTATATTTCTGATGAATAAATGATTTAAATTGATATTGGTGTCTTGAATTTTAATGTAATATTGTCTTATCTCAGTCTTTTTTGTGGTTTACCCTGTATTTAAGTGTATCTTATGATATCATTTGGCACTGAAAGGGAACTCAGTTTCAATGATTTTCATGATAAGGATTTAGTTTTAGGAATTTTTTAAGTTTAGTTATTAAGGATTGTGTAATAAATTGTTTAAAAACATTTATTGATTTAAATCCTTGCTGGATTCGATGAAAATTAGTTTATGGCTTATTTGACATTTGGATATTTATAAATATAATGCATTTTTCTTTATTTTTCGTGATTTTTATATTTCTTAAAATACAAATTAACTTGTCTTTTTTATGACATGTATCAAATAACAATTTTTTGGCAATCTGATGATTTTTTTCCTAAATATTACATTGTTTTAATAACCTCTGTATGTTTCTTGCATGAAATTATATTCCTTTGTCTTTAAAGCTTAAAAACTATGTCAATCATACAACATAATAAAACAAACCTGACTTTATTTTTTAAATATATCTTGATGACATCCTATAATATTCACCTATAATGATGGACAGCTGTTCACATCGTCATTGTAGCCACACACATGTGTGAGTAACGACCCAAGAGCAAAGCTTATCCGACATTATTCCGAGAATATCCCGGACATCAGTCTGAGCGAGATTAGAATGGCTCTTGACCATCTTAAGAATGGCAAAGCAACGGGTGAGGACGGAATTACAGCAGAGCTTCTGAAAGCGGGTGGAGAACCGGTACTTGTAGTCCTTCAGAGGCTCTTTAATTCCATCCTTCAGGGTGGTGCTACACCAGAGGCGTGGAGCAGAAGTGTGGTGGTGCTGTTCTTCAAGAAAGTTGATAAGGCTCTCTTGAAGAACTATAGACCGATATCCCTTCTGAGCCGCGTCTATGTGCTGTTCTCAAGAGTCATATTGAATCGTCTCGCTTCCAGACTCGACGACTTCCAGCCTCTCGAACAAGCCGGATTCCGAAAAGGCTTCAGTACCATAGATCACATACACACCTTGCGGCAGATTATACAGAAGACCGAAGAGTATAATCTACCTTTGTGCCTAGCGTATGTAGACTATGAGAAAGCCTTCGATTCTGTCGAAATTTGGGCGTTACTCCAGGCTCTTCAGCGGTGCCAAATTGACTGTCGGTATATCGAAGTGCTGCGGTGTTTGTATAACAAGGTTACGATGTCCGTCCAAGTACAGTCCAGTAGTACAAAACCTATCCAACTGCAGAAGGGTGTAAGACAGGGTGATGTCATATCCCAGAAACTCTTCACCACTGCGTTGGAAGATGTTTTCAAGCTTCTGGACTGGAAAGGACGAGGTATTAACATCAATGGCGAATACATCACCCACCTTCGATTTGCCGACGATATAGTCATCATGGCAGAATCGCTGGAGGACCTGGGTGCTATGCTCAATGACCTCAACAGTTTCTCCTAACGGGTGGGCCTTAAGATGAACATGGACAAGACGAAGATCATGTCTAATGTCCATGTCACGCCTATACCGGTTGTTGTTGGGAGCACTGAGCTCGAAGTTGTTGACGAGTATGTTTACCTAGGACAGTTAGTCCGGCTAGGTAAGTCCAACTTCGACGCAGAGGTCAATCGGCGAATCCATCTCGGATGGGCAGCGTTCGGGAAACTTCGGCAAATCATCTCGTCGAATATACCTCAATGTTTGAAGACTAAAGTCTTCAATCAATGTATGTTGCCAGTGATGACCTACGGAACCGAGACGTGGTCCTTCACTGCTGGCCGTATGAGGAAGCTCATAGTTACTCAGCGAGCTATGGAGCGGGCTATGCTCGGTATTTCTCTGCGTGATAGAGTTCGTAACGAAGACATCCGCAGTAGAACTAAGATAACCGACATAGCTCAGAGGATTAGCAAGCTGAAGTGGCGATGGGCCGGCCATATAGCTCGTAGAACCGATAACCGTTGGGGAAGAAAGGTTCTCGAGTGGCAGCTTCGTACTGGCCATCGCATTGTAAGACGACCCCCCACTAGATGGAGTGACGACCTGTGCAAATGTGCGGGGAGTCGATGGATGCAGGTGGCTCAGGATCGTACTTCATGGCAGTCTAAGAGGGAGGCCTATATTCAGCAGTGGACTCAAACAGGCTGAAATGATGAATGATAACTCGAACAATTGTTCCAGTTCCCACAGCTGTTTAGTGCCATTTATATAAATTACATGAGCTTATGGACATGATCTGCAATAAAATAAAGTTTCCGTTTTGTAATAGAGCCTTATGATATCCTTTGTTGGTTTGCTTATGAAGAAATTAAAAAAAAAATCTTATATCACAGTGATAATAAATGAGTATATTGTCAAATTTAATTGTCACTAATCACTTCTAATGTGAGCACATATGAACCAATATAAAATACGGATGCACTAATTTTTCTCCTTTTTGCTAAGACCTTTATTCACACATCTTGTCTTGCAAACATTTTGATATGTTACATTAAAAATATTAAATGTACTTGCAGTGTTAAATTTATGTATTTTATGGGAAGCTATATACTCCGGAGCTTGAGAATTCTACATAATTATGTATTATGCATAATTATGCATTATACACTTTCTGTTACCTCTATCTTATATTAACATAGACCAAGTCAATTTAGTAGCTTCAATGTGCATCCTGCCTGTTTGACCCCTCTTGCCATATTTGACGCCAAAGGGTGTAAAAACAAAATCTCATATTGAAAAGTTTACTGTCTCAGAAAATACAAAATATGTAATAATTTTCATTGCAGATAAGTTTTAAGTTTATCAGTAGTAAACCTGACAATTGAGGTGTGTGGGTACAAAATCAATGCACCATTGATATTTTCATTTTAATTTAATCAATTTTGAACCTTTTTTTTTTAGATAATTTGTAATTATAGATCGATTTAATTTTATAAATGTTGTACAAATAAATTGTATATAAAAAGTTGACAACAGCAATCCGCTTATGCAATTTCCAGGTAGCGCGGAGTTACGGCGTTCCGTTTGTAGAGACGTCAGCAAAGACTCGCATGGGCGTCGACGACGCCTTCTACACACTAGTCCGGGAGATCCGCAAGGATAAGGAGAGCCGTGGCAAAAAGTATAGGAGAGGGAACAAGATCGGCTCACGGCGCAGGATTAAGTGCGAACTATTGTAAACTTATCATTATAGTTCATAAGTTTTACGAGTAAACATTCAATCGATTCTAATTCGAAATCCACTGTTATAAATAATGAACCAGTCGCAGACTATTTGTGACTGCGAAAATTTTTATGGGGCATCACAATGATTCGTGATTCTTGCGCAAGATATGGTACAATTTACGCTTACATGCTACAGTTTTATTAACTGTTGCAACAATATCCTGACAAGTGTCAATGCTAATTTAATGGATTGACAGATGTATTTGATATGTCAGAACAAAGCCCAAATATTGTTACTATTTGTAATTGGGTTAAATCAGTTAATAAAAGCCTTGAACACTAAATAATTTCTATATGTCATATATGATGATAGAATGATACTAAATGTACTCCAACCACAGTTTAAAAACTCTGAAATATTCATATTTCTTAATATATATTGAAATTTAACATATAAAATATGATTGTATTGTATTATTATAAAAACATATAATAGTATTATCTAAGATTAATTTTTATTTTTAGTCTCATCACTCAAAATTAAACTTTAAATTGTAAAATGTTGTTGATAAATAACTAATATAAATCCCCACGGAATTCAACCTGCGTCTTCTGGTTTCGCGCCCAGCCGATAACCTCACGGCACAAGATTTTTCAATTTAAATATAACAGTTTTAGTTTTATTTTTTTTTAATTTCTTCAACAACTTCAAAACAACCAGGCTGCGAAGGAGATCAAAGTTTCTATAAAAATTGTTTCTTTTTAATACATTTGACTATATGTATGAGAGCTTTATAAAGACATATTCTTGTTAAAAACAGGATAAAAAGTTACATTTGCAGAATATTTTTTTTGCATAACATGTAATTGATAATATTATAAACTGTGAATAAAATTGTAGCATATCGTAAATTTACAAACCATACCATGTGTACAGATATGTTAATAGCTTATAAATTTTCTAATTGACTAATTTTAGACGATTTTCCGCATATCTAATGTTGCCGAATGGGTTGGAATGGTGAAAATACACGGGCTGAGTTTAGGGTGCTTTCGAACATTGTTTTCGCCAATATCGCCCATAGACAATGTTACGTCCTTTTTTCGATTCGTGTGATACCGTATACCGCCATAATTTGTACTTGTGTATCCTTCCTACTATTGGAACCATAGAAACTCACCTCGCGTGTCTATGTTTCCAATAATAAGAAACTATCGAAACGCCTGACATGCACGGGACATGACGTTATTCGTGAGGACGTTACGCATAATGGTATTTCTTCGTCCACCTTCTGCGCTAAATGTGGAATTTTAAAACATTGGCTGCTGAAATTTATGGTACCTAAGAAATGTTTCACTTGCTTGCGTGAGGATTTAAATTTCTGTCCGAGTTAAAACTTGTTGGTGTCACGGTCCCGTTTGAAATCGTGATTAAATCGTTAATGAAAAGACAAACTCATTCACGAGCAAAGCCATACAGAACACAAAAATGTTACGTTATAACTTGAAATTTACATTCGCTATTATATACATAATATAATTCGCTATTATACAGCGTGTCGTTACCATCGCGACAATAAATGAACACACGTCTAACGCTACTTGCCAATAAACAAACTAATTAAGTAAAAAAGAAACAAAATTTGTAACATCCTATACAACTCGCGCCACAGCGTCGCATTACAAGCCTCTCCTTCTAACAGTATGTTCTGTCTCTTTTAAATTCATTCAACCCATTCATATGCTTTGTGACCTTTACAAAGGAACTTTACGTTACGCTTTTATAGGTAAGGGCTGTTCTAAAATTCTTTGTTTTGGAAAATTTAATAACTCTGTAAATATTGATGTTTAAAGAATTTAAATGTTTAATAAAACTTTAAAAAGTTATCCCCTATATGTGTGTTCATTTACTGTCGCGATGGTAACGACACGCTGTATACCTATACGAGTATATTAGCTTTAATGAATAACTTCGACAAGTCAACTTATTTTCAAATTCAAAGGATTTTCCATTCCAGTTTTGTTTTTCGAATCCGTTCAGGTGTTGTCAACCCAATTTACAAACTTTCGGACATTTCATATACAAATGCTATTCAAACCGATTCACTTCAGTATGTATTACTACAATATTAATATTCTGTACACGGAGTAGAAAAAAAAACTGGACGAAATAATATAATTGGACTTCTTGTACCGTTTGTCAAATAAATTAATAAACTGCCAAATATTTATATACTAAGGAATTTCATTCATCTGGTATCCCTCAAAACACCTCACATAGATCGTACGATGCGAATACAATAATTTTTCTATTCAATATCTGTGATTCTGTCATTATATACTAACAGATAATAATAATGAAGTAAACGCACGAAACGACTCGCATGATGGAGACGTTGTGAAATGGTACTCACAAAGTTTATAGGTTACTATAAATAATTTAGTGTTGCCATGTGTTTTGTTACTTGTTATTTTTGTCAGAGGGAAAAGTAACATCTGCATAATATTTAAAAGAGATATGTATAATGTAAATATATTAACCCATGTTAGAATATTAGAAAAAATTGTAAATAAAATTGAAAATTTAGACATTAAAAAAAGAAAACTTTAAATACCTCACGCAAGCAAATACGCATATTAAGTTTAAAAAAATATGTATTACAAAAAATATAGATAGGTGCATCAGAAACTAATTATACTTGAAGCTTTTATGGGCTAAGATTTCAATTCAAATAAATAATTTAGTTCATAAGAATCCTTGTTGAATGTTTTCTACTGTAGCTAAATGTATGATAGGAGGAATTTTCTTAATGTTTCAACTGCCAATGCTGTTCTTAATTTTGATACCTTTAAAGACACGTTCGATTGTGTGATTTGTCACACGAAATATTGTGTTTTTCATGGTTTAGTTTAAATTTGTATTAGATTTACTTAGCCTTTATACGTCATTTAGATATTAGATTGAAATCTATTGCGCAATATATATTTGAATGCAATGAACTTTTAAAGTAATGGCATGTTATAGTTAAGGATCTGATGGTTTTTAATCTTTGTTTACAAACAAAGCGTCTATGGCGAGGTGGATTCAAATAATAAAGATTTACCATTTTATTTCAAAATTCTTGCTGTCTAAAGGAGTCGTATTTCAATATTTCTTGTTAGAATTGTTAGTCCTTGTAAAAGGTTGCGACGGAACAGTTTATCGAGAAATAGATTACTAGTAAAAATCTTTAAGCACATTTAAAAATATATATCGATACTATTCAAAGTATAATACGAAACATTTTACGTTGAATTCGACGCGAATTAAGGAACGACATTACAATGCGCACAGTGTGTAAAGAAATAGCCGCTAAACGAAATATTTTACTAGGATAATTTAGGTTGTACTTTTGGCGTCTTGCGTCTTAACCTGTACTACTGTAGATAAAATATGGTGCTCATTTCCACAGAAACATTTTTGAAAAACAACACTTTTCGAACTAACCTCCGACCTTGAATATTTAAAAAGTACAAAAATGTCCAGTCATTTATCACTATTACGAAACGAACTCGTTACGAGTTTTGATAAAATGAGAGTTCGTTCGAATACCGTTGTTTAATTGTTATTATAATATAATTATAAATAAGTCCTCTGACTAACATTATTCCAAGCGGTCATTATAGTATTAGCAATTATGCCATAGTTACGATTTTTTCACTTGAAGACTTTCAATTCCTTTACATGCTTTGCATATTCATCGATATTTATGAAGTGTTATTGGTCTGTGAAAATTCAATATGTTCCTAGCTCTACTTTAATGTTGCCAATTTCGTTTAGCACTTTTAGAAATCGACCTTTGAATTTACATTGTGTTAAGAAAATTTTGCTTATTAAAAACAATTTTACATATAACTCGTATACATTTTATTCAAATGCCGATAATTATTGTTTGTACCGTTTGGGAAAATTGTATAATATTAAACTGTAATTGTGGTTGTATAGCATAACTTTATATACACATTACAAATAGTTTAACTTATTACAAAAAATACATCGTTATTTTTATTAAATGTATTTAAAAGGCAACATGAAATAAACACTAAATTCTTCTCTCTTAAAATTTCTATACAATCGACTAAATGATAGATAATTCACACAGTATCTAAAGTTACGCTGTACAATGAAACGAATTTAACGAATACTGTCATAAATTTTACCTTACATGAACGATTTTAGTGTTTAAGTTAAAAACTTCTTATAACAAGTTTAGACTTATATGTGTATTATAATTTTATGTAGTAAGAGTGCAAGCTCTTTGATCTTTTTTAATAATTTTGCCATTATATTATTTTATTATGTAATTTGATTTTGTAGTTATTTTGATATATTTACTTTGTATAATATGACATAACTTTCTTACATTGAAATATTCACTCGAAAAAATCTTTACAGATAGGCATCTTGGAAAAATAACATTATGCTCATGCACAATTTGTTGGAAACAGTTTATAGTTGCGAATAATTTTATAAAGTTGCACATAAGTGCAGGCTTATTGAATTTAATAAATTGGCAAGAACTAGTGGTTGTTTTAATCATATCCGAAAATTGCACCAGCCACTTAAAAACAACACTTAAAAAACCTAAAGTTTAGAAAAACAGAAACAAAAAACAGTCAATCGTAGGAAGATAATTTGATTGAAAAATAATCAATTGGACCTAAACTGTTTTTTACATAATAATTTTTTTATGTGTAAAGTTGCCAAGCGAGCAGACTGTTCACCTGGCGTTAAAAGAATACCACCGCCCATGGACATCTGCTACGAGGTTTCCAAATGCGTTGACAACATTTTGAAAAGTGAGCTCCGGCCACCTCATTCACCAGACGAAACGCGAAAGTATTATAATTCCACTTTACGCCAGTCTTCTCTGAGGTCGTGGTACTTACCCAGACGAGCCTACCCATTCGTGCAACAGCCAAGGCTGCTGCGTGGCTACAGTGGTAGTTAAACTGACTTCACTTGAAAAATATGACTTTAGCAGTTATAAGAGCTGTGAAGCATTTTTGCAAATTTCCAAAATTAATGAAATGTAACAAAGTTGTGCCAATTTATAAATCAGGCTCAAAAGAAAATGCCTCTAATTACCGTCCCATTTCTATCTTACCAGCCTAAAGTAAAATATTTGAGAAAATAATGCTGGATCAGATGCTATTTCATTTTAATAAATATGAAATTTTTAACCAGCATCAGTTCGGATTTAGGAAAGGTAGATCTAAAATTGATGCTGGAGTAGAATTAATTTCGCATATCCTACAGTCTTGATAAACGTTCCATGACACCATTGGTGTGTTCTGTGACCTCCCCAAATGGGAACATTATGGAATAAAATTAAAATGAACAGTTTAAAGGCTGATTTAAGTGCACTTGAAAATTTCCGCAGATCTAGAAATGAATTGAAACTTTTCGAATAGATCCATAATGCAGAGAGTAGTATAATTTTAGTCTAGTAAAATACATTTTTCAATAACATACATGACTGTGTAAATCATACAATTCTTATCAGAAAATAGGAATATTAAGGTATTCGAAAATCTGGCATTGATTTTGTTTCCTCATATCATACAGAAAATGTTGTCCCTTCAGATGGGGTTAAGCAGAACCATGATGAATGGTGTTGAATGAAAACTAAGGATTTCGAGCTTATGAAAGAAAGGCGGAAAATTTTCAAAAAAAATTCGTATGAAAAAAAAATTACCGTGGAAGAGACTTATAATGAAAAAAAAAGATACGCCCACAAGTGATATGTCACGAGTGTCACTCAGTAGTTGATCGAAGTGACAAAGTAGCAGTGATTTATCACTGTGATTTTTATGGAACTGGAACAGCGATCACAGTGATTAAAAAATAGCACTTTTTCTCATGCCTAATTCCACGTGTCCAGCGAGGCCATTTTCCATCACACTCATACCTCACGAAGACTTAAATCCGCAACCTTAACTTTATCCTGATTTGGAGTTACTTAGTAGAAGTAAGTCCTTGATCAAAGCAGCGGCCGATATTGATATGAACCTTGTCCGTACTGCTATTGATGACTGAACGCGTAATTTGAAGGCTTGTATTACAAATCGCGGGGTCATTTAAATTAACTTAGTTGGAACTAGTATCTGTTATAGTAAGTTCCATTTGGTAAATAAATAATTACTGTAAAAACAAACATTTGTCAATTATTTCAAAATAAATATGTGATAGAACTTACGCTCCGAGGTTATATTATATAAATCTAAAAAATGTTTTAAACTAAATCTTGAGTTAGTTTTGGAGAATGTTAGGTACAAAGCCGCCAGGTTTATGCATCTTCTTGGCCAAAACCTCATATCCATGCACCTTTTCAATTAAGAAAAAGTAAAAAAGTAGTGACAAATGACGTGACACGTCAATATCATCATACAGATTTTTACTGTTTTTGTAAACAGTGATTTGTAGGTAACTAATTCCGAATAATAAATTGACAAATAAGACACCATTGAAAATGGAAGCAAAAGATGTATGTGTAGAAATAGAAAATGATGAATTCTACAGTAAATTTCTTGTCGAATCTGTAAAGCCCATAATAGGGGAAAATATATCCGTAAGCGATCAAGTTAACAAACTAGCATTAGGAATCGAAAAACTCACTAAGAGTTTGGAACAGCAAGTTCTCGATAAACACAATGATCTTCTGACACAGGCTAGCCACATCTCAGATCTTGAGGCAATGTTAGAGTCTGTTAGAAGTCAAGTAAAAAATCTGTTGCACGGTGCTGAGAAATTAAAAGATCGTGTACACGCACCGTACGCCGCGCTAGAAAAACAAACTATCATGCTGGAAAGGGTTCAGATAACATGTAACCTACTTCGACACACTTCAAAAATATTGGCATTATGGCATAAACTGTTGTCAGTGAAAGATAACCCCGCCAAAGAAGCAATGATACTTTTCGAGCTAAACGAATTGATTAGCGATTACAATTTTGAAGGTATCACATTACTTGATGAAGTTTTGAAACAAGTAGATTGCAGAAAGGCGGACTTATTAAATAATGCAACTAATTTATTGCAAACAAGTCTTTTGAATGGAGACAAAACAAAGCTCTTGCAATGTTTCAAGGTATTCCATAACCTGCAATGCACTGAAGAACAAATAAAAAATACTGTGGATAGCATACTCTGTGACCTGAAGAAAGAGATAAGCTCTGCGCTGAATGTGCAAATGGTGACAATTGAAGTGAAGAAGTCTAGTTCAGGTAGGGTTGCTCCCGGTAAAGCTAACATAATGAACGCTCATGACTTTAAAATTAAACTCTGGGACAACATAGAGAAACTTTTCAAAGTGGACATTTATAATGGCTGCACTAAGATTATCATGTTGCAGAATGTAGTAAATGAGCTGCATGCTATTGGAAATTTCAGAAACATATTGCGAAAGTTTTGGAATGATCTGTCATTAACTTTCAGCACTGAGTTGGAGAAGAGCCCATCAAATGTCAACCAATCTATTGAGATTGACTTTCCTAAACTTTTGAAATGTTTCAACGAGCTGATTGCCCGTCTCAAATGTAAGGATTTGGAGTTGAGCCGCTCATCTTTAAATAGATGGGAGAATGCGTTTCTATCAAAGTCATTGGGAAAGCTACTGGACCCAGTCCGGACAATGTGGCACCTGAATCAAGTGCCAAACATGGACCAAATTGATACTGCAATAAGGGTCATAGCTGAAGCACTTAGCATTTCACTAGGTGACAAACAACTAAGCATAAGCTTGGCAAACAGTGTAGCCAAGAGCATTAAACAAATGAATATGGAAGCAGAACAAAGAATCTCTATGGACAGTGATGTAGCCCAAATCATTGAACCACCAACAAGTACCCAACAAAAAAATGCAGACTTGTGCAACGCACTGTATTACTTCTCCTCTCAGATAAAAAGGGTGCTTATTAACATGAACTCTCTGCTTCCCCCAGAGAGTGTGCAAATAGTGCAGAACAGTCTTAAAGATATCTCAAGTATGCCTGTGCTGCAGTTGTTTGAGGAGTCAATAAAAAACTCACTCTACATCATATTAACCACAATGCATGACGAACCAGACTTGACTAGAGCCGATGATCCAACCAACAAGTCATTATCATGCTCTCCTTATATGAAAGAACTGCAACAGTTTGTGTCTAGATGCAAAGACATTTATCTCTCAATGTTCCAGGAAAAGTCTGCACTGAACGACTGCTGTGTCATTATAGCCAGAGCTTGCGTGGAACGTTTTATCCATCATGTCTGCAATGTGAGACCGCTGACAAGATTTGGTAAAGTAAAGTTGCAGATTGACTGCAAACAGTTGGAGACGGCGCTCTATCCCCTTGTCAACGACATGACGGAGTTAGGAGACGAATACAGGCAGCTGAAGGCACTACAGCTGATGTTAGAGAAAACACCACAGGAAATTGCCAAGAGTCAAAAAGAAGGCGCCTTATTACCATTTTCTATGGTTATGATGTTTATGTTTTCATTTGCTGGGCCACAGCTTGTCGCCCCTCACACATGCGCTGGCTGGAACGTCCAGAAATTGATGCAATGGCTCGACTCCCACAGAAACGAACGTGACAGATTGGAATTTGTGGCTGGTGCATTGCAAAGGTATCAAAACCACGTGCGGCAGAACCAAATGACAACGTACGACGAAGTGTACCCAGTTTTATTGCAGTTGTTAGAAGATGGACGGAACGCCCTAAAGAAGTAAATGAGGAAGATACTAAATAAGTTTTAAACCAAACTTTGAATATATAATGTAATTGTTGGAAAACTATATTTGGATTTGAATGATTTATATTAAGTTAAAAAATGTGTACATATAATAATTATTACTGTGATAGTTAGTATAATATTTGTCAGTACAGATGAAAATTAAACACCATAAGAATTTAAATTTTTATTATTACATTTTGAACACAGTTCAAGTTTGCCAATGTGTTAAGTTGACAAGCTATCTTCCCGCAATTCTTCTGGCATCCTCACCTTTGGAAGATAAATGTTATCAATTAATTAAACTATATATACGAAATTAGATGACTCCGTGGCGCAGTTGCCAAGGTAGTGTCTTCGGAGTCAGGGGTCGTGGGTTCAATTCCCACACGGGACAACTATTTGTGTGACCCACAGATAGTATAGTTGTATCGCATCTGGGTGTTTGTCTGCGTGAAATTTATGTTTGTAAAACGTCATTAATACACAGGATATTATTATCCTAAAGTAATGACAATGTTAAAAAAAATATTAAATATTAGAGTCGTTATAGCTCCGTATCCGGGCTCTCGCTTTTATTTCAATATAATCGTTCAATTCCAGCACCAATAAAATTGTTAATTTTAAGTGCTGACTTATCACCTGAAGGAACCTGCATATTTTCGAAGTAGTAATAATAAATATTTCGGAATATATGTGAAGTCCGCCAATCCACAGTGAGGTCGGGTGGTGGACTGTGCCCCAATAACCTCTGTACTGAAGAGGCTTTTGCCCATTAGTGGGACATTAGGCTGTTACTTCTAAACAGAGATTGTTACATGAAGCGGACAAATTCTTTTTTTGATATTTGCAATTTTTGGAATATTTGTTATTTTGTTATAAGTATCTGTACATGGACCAGATACAAAATAGTATTAAGGTATAAAATCCGAATCCCATTACCTAGCATTAAAAAGTTATGATTTCTACGATAAATTATCTCTTATCTGGGTTAAGGACGGATCACTAATCCCTTTAGAATTAAAAGGACCTAATTAAGAAAATCGTGATTTTGACCTTATGTCTACCTGCTTTGACTCCTATTAAAACAAGGTCAGATTTTGGCGTAGAAAGCTACATAACGTATAGGTACTTCGGTCTCTTTCACTCCCCTCCAATCACCGCGTTTGTACATAATTGCGCAAATCTTTATTTTACTTCTTTCAAAGACAGATATCTTTGAAATAGATTATTTAATAACATAGGCAAATATTACTGAAACCGGAGTCATCAACATTGTTTAACTGTCCGCTTTACGCGGAATGCCCCTAAAGTGATTTCGGCCCGAGGTCATCTGTAGTTGCCGTTGTCGACCTTTAAAAATGTGGGTGGGCCTCACTCGCTAAACGCGAAAGTATAACACTGCCTCTTCACGCCGGTCTTTTGTGAGGCCGTGGGACTTCCCCGGACGAGTGGTTACCGCCGATTCGTGCGACGGCAGAAGTTTCTGCGAGGCCCTACCTCAAAATGGCGATAATACAAGAGACGATCTAAATTAAACAACTATCGATCATTGCTTGATACAAACCGAGGGATTAAAAAGGAAATATGCGAAATTCACGTCAAAAAAATTTGTATACACTAATTTCTACTGAATTCATTATAAAGTTACGGCTACAAAGAATACATACAGGAGGTGTTGCCGTTTCTAAAAAATATATATATATTACCAATATTTTATATTAGTTATATAACCATTTTTTACCAACAACTACTTTACACTACTAGGATAGGATTTTTACGGAAGATATAATTATAAAAAACTACGTAAAACAGATATATTGCTTCTTTATTAATAGTAACAACATACATGGTTCTTTGATTTCGAGTAATTACAAAAATGAATGATTTAATAAAAACCTATGTACCTTGAAATATTTGTTTACATGTACGAATAAGAGAAAATAGTCACAAATAATATAAAAACCAACCAACAGTATATATAAAAGGATAAAGTCTATAATATAATTTGGTCTTTTCTGAGAGAAATAGTATCGCTCCAATGACGCAAGCTACTTTGTAAGTGCCCTTAATGGTAATCTATTTAATACGTAAAACATTTATACAACCAACCAACATTAACTACATAACGCTATACTAATTTCAATATTACCAACTGCAAAATATTATAATTTAATACATAGTTCTTATCCCCTGTTTTTAAAAGACATTTGACACGACGCGACAGGCGGTAAGCCTGTCACCGCGGCCGCCTCAAAACATTTTGTTGTAGGCAATACGAAAAATAGATTCTGCATCTACACCACACACCTAATACGAAAACTGTCCAGTCTAATAAGAAATGCTTAGGTTACAGTAACTACGACGATCCGCCAGTTTTGGTCGCCTCAACTCGATGCAAATCGTGGTCCGCGTCCAAACCATGCCAATTTGGGCCACGTATTTAGAAACAGAGTCCTCTCGATCGAAGATACGCTGAAGACAAACACCAACTAGCGACCCATACTCGCTAGCCCCAGTTGTGCGAAGACCAAAAACCCAAGAGTTGGAAAGGAGGGTCTAGACCTGGGCCTGGTCGAAGGCGATGGCGAACACCTCGCCGTAGTCGGAGACGAAGTGGACGTCGATCCCCTCCCTGATGAAGGAGGGCAGGTCGTCGAAATCCCGCCGGTTCTCCTCGGGCAGGATGACGCACGTCACGCCGACCCGCTTGGCCTGCAACGAATCGGGGGTTCCCCGTTTTATTTATTTTCTTTTTATTTAAAGTTTATGCACAAAGGCGGGCTTAATGCCAATTGATCACTCCGTGGCGCAGTTGCCAAGGTATTGGCTTCGGCTTCTTAAATAAGTAAAAGTTGATCAGAATGATCAATTAAAAGAATTTTACCATTCTTTTGGCAACTCATATGACATTTGAGACGCCATTTGACAGCTGATTAGTTGACATCTAGGATGATCACGTCCGGTTTCTGAAACACTGATCATCGTAGATGTTAACTAATCATCTGTCAAAGGGCTTTTCAAATAACATTTTAGTTGCAAAAAGGATGGTTAAACTCTCTGACTTGACCAGAATTATCTTCTTAATGGCTGATCGTTCTGAAATGATGCTAGTCAGTAGATGTCGGTGTTACAGAAACGGGGCGCCGGTCTGTCCCGTGACCGTGAACGCCGCGGCGAGTTTCAAAATCAAACTTGAAACGCGACAAAATCCGTAAACCAGTTACATTTAACAGGCGAAAAGAAAGATTCGGACCCACCGCTATGATCTTCTCCTTGATGCCGCCCACGGGCAGCACGCGGCCGGTGAGCGAGATCTCGCCCGTCATCGCGAGGCCCCTCCTTACCGGCCTGCCGAGCGCCAGCGAGAGCAGCGCCGTGGTCACCGTGCAGCCGGCGGAGGGGCCGTCCTTCGGCGTGGCGCCCTCCGGCACGTGCACGTGCAGGTGGCTGCGGCCGAGAGAGACCCTGAGCCAGTTGCCGATTGCACCGACAGTGCATGGTGCGACAGGGACAGGTGCAACGTGCCTTTTAGTGGGCACCCGTTCCTCGCCGGGACTCCCACATACCCCGATCCAGTGGCAGGGGAGGGAAACAACAGAACCGGGTGGTACGCGCGAACATGGCAAGCGAGCGGTCCACCCGATGTTAAACGGTGATCGGCCTGCCAATGGCCATGCGCAACACACGTAGGGGCTAATGGTATGTGAAGGTGGCGAACGAGCGGTTAATGTTCGAAATTGATATGAGCGACCCCCACCAGGCGATAGGCTGTCACAGTGGTACTAGGTGGTGGTCTCATACTAACTAGATAAAATATTTAAATAATAACAAATAAATATTTCGGTCAAAAAAGATCAAAACAGGAGAGGTCACACAGACTGTTTCCAGTCATGGGGATCGAACCAATTGGGTTGCCATTGTTTGGGATGATACATGGTACGTATGCACTGACCTCGTATTCAAAAAGGTGTTGTCGGGGTGGTGCTTGGCCAGGTAGTTCCTGGCGACGGTGAGCGCGATCCTGGCCGACTCCTTCATCACGTCGCCGAGGTGGCCCGTCAGCTCCATGGAGCCCGAGGGCGACTTCTCATCGCGCAGGGTGTTGCGTAGGGCAGTCTCGATGTATAGGGTGCTGCCGCCTGGTGGACAGTTCACGCTAGAAACGCTCTAGATCGAGAAGAGAGCTTGCGTGTGTGGCTGTGGTTGATGTCTGTCGCGTAATGATAGAGAGTGAGAGTTTTATGCGTGTAAGCAGAAGGTCTATCAAGCTTCTGCAACCCTACGGATTTTGCGAATGTCAATGGGCGGCGGTTATTTATTTATTTATTTATTTATTTATCACCAACAAAGTGCACACTGTGACAATAATTATACAAGGTTTACAAAAAAGTGATGAGTAGTACCTTAATTATAGGTAAAAACTACTTTACAACAGGCAGTAGAGACAAAAACCAAAAAACTTTTACAAAACTAAATGTGAAATACGAGCATTATAATAATACAAACGTTAACTAAAATACGATTAAAACAGAAAAAAAGCAGTATAAAAAGTACGTTACTAAAAAAAAATATGTTACAATAAAAAAATAGATGAATTGACTGCCAATAATATTTTTATAAATTAACATCGGTTATCACTTAACATCGGGTGAACCGCCAGCTCGTTTGCCACCTTCGCGCATAAAAAGAATCCCCCGTCATGATCGAGAGTGGGAGATTGTGTGTGTTGCTGCGTCTGCTGTCTAACTCGTTGGAGAGAGAGAGAGAAAGAGAGAGAGCTTGTGCATGGGTGTGTGTGCTGTATTTCCCGTTAGGGTCAAAAGAGAGGTAGCCTGTTTGCTGCCTTTCCCGTCATCGAGAGAGAGAGAGAGAGAGGGGGGGGGGGGGGGGAGAATGTGTGCGTGTGGTGTGCGCCACGCTGTCCGCTCACCCATGGCGGTCCAGGCGAGGCCCATGACGACGCCCGGCGGCGTGACGTCATACATGGTCTCGTGCTTGAAGGTCGGCTTGCCCACCAGCTCGGGCAGCTTCGCCTCGTCCACGTCCACCGCCTCCGCCTCGCGCTTCACGATCTTGTACGCCACCTTGCGCGCTATCTGCGCAGCGGGCAACAACGGGGTGTGTTGTCACGTTATATCGGAGCCCAACGCCCAAACGGGTACGTCACGTTCATTTATTTACTTTTTGCACAATACCGGTCAACGGACAATAAAACGTTATGATAAACTGTGGACACCCTAGTTCACGGCGCCTGTGCTAAACGCGGCCATCGTTTGTGCATTTATTTACCTATTTGTTTCCAAACGTGGCAGGACCACGCAAGACTTCGCTTTTGCTCGGATAGGCAGGTCCGTACGGTTAGGTATGACGCCCTCGCAGAAGGTCGGTGTGAAGAGGAAGTGTTATATTTCTGCGTTTCGTCTGGTGAGTGAGGTGGTCGGGGCCCGCTTTAGTGAAAGATGGCAACGCATCTGCAACCCTACTGATGTGTACCACCAGCTCATCACCCCATTAGTTCTAGGCTCGAGTACCAACGTACCTTCCGTACGCGCTTCAAAGACTGTCGGCGTACCCTATCGATATGCTTCAGCGTGTCTAGGCTCGACGTGCTTACTGAGCAGGCTACCGGAAGGGTCCGGGTCCGAGAGAGGCGGCGTACCTTCTCGATGTGCTTCTGCAGGTTGCGCACGCCGCTCTCGCGGCAGTAGCTCTTGATGAGGGCGCGCAAGGCCTGCGGCCGCAGCCGCAGCTGCGCCTCGCTCAGGCCGCAGCCGCTGCGCGCGTTCGGCACCAGGTACTGCTCGGCGATCGCCATCTTCTCCTCGGCCACGTAGCCTGCGGACGGAACTCCGCTTTACATTTTGGCCTCTCACCGATATTCAGCCCATTTGTCTATCTGGCTAACGTCACGTTCTCTGTGACGAAGATAACGCTCTACAAATTTACGCACTTTCTGGGAAAATCGTTTAGAGAAGGTGTACAATAGACAAGTACAGTTATACGGACGCCGAACTAAAGTATGCTGATCCGTGTCTTTTGATTGCAACATACGCCCTTCATAAGCACGATTTTACTCAAACTCACGCAGTCGTCATGGATTTGCTGGTGCTTGAAGTCTTTGTGTATAACAGAGAGATGCGAGACATTGGGAAGATGGGCAACATGATTATATCGCGACAAGCTAAGCCGCCACGCGAGGAGTCTTACGTACCGGACATGTCGATGAGCTCCATGCGGTCGCGCAGCGGCTCCGGGATCTGGTCGACCACGTTGGCCGTGCAGATGAAGAGCACCCGCGACAGGTCCACCGGCACGTCCAGGTAGTGGTCCAGGAAGTTGGCGTTCTGCTCGGGGTCCAGCAGCTCCAGCAGCGCCGACGCAGGGTCGCCGTGCACCCCTCTGGGAGGCGCCGAGTGGAAGCGAAAGCCGAAGTCAAAGTCAAAGCGAAAGCCAAAGTCGGAGACGTCGCCGGCGGAAGCAAGTCTAAATCCAAGTGACACGTCTCTGCTTGATCGAGGGATTCGAGCTCTCGTGGACTTCTAACAATCCACGTTCACGGTTTAGAGCAGTATTCCTAAAGCGCTAGTGTTGTGTAACGGAGCAATTTACGTCGAGGTTCGTGGGTTTGATTCCCAGACGGGACAAGCATTACATTACATATTATGGCCCACTGAAAGAGAGCCGTGGGGGTGGGGCGGTGGGGGAGGTATACGCACCTGCCGATCTTGTCCACCTCGTCGATGAGCACCAGCGGGTTCTCGGTGGCGGTCTTCTTGAGGCACTGCACCAGCTTGCCGGGCATGGCGCCCACGTAGGTGCGCCGGTGGCCCTTCACCTCGGCCACGTCCGTCATGCCGCCCACGGAGAAGCGGAAGTACTGGCGGTTCAGGGCGCGCGCGATCGACCGCGCTGCAGCCGAAGGGGACGTTTCGATGGCGATCGTGGCGACCCACTGGCGGTGAGGAGCGCGCAGCTCGGCCGGGTAAGTACCACGACCCCATAGAAGACCGCCGTAAAGTGGAAGTGTAACACTTTCGCGTTTTTCCAAAAGGTTGTCAACGCATCTGGAACCCTCCATGGGCGAATTGACTGACAGTTATGGTCATAAACTCTCTTCGTACGTTTGAGGGGTTGAATAGAGCGCGTATTCACCACTCGAAAGTACATAAGGTTTATATTTGAATGGCAATTATGGTGATAAAATCTCTCCGTGCTTTCAAGGGTGGTTGAATAGCCCTCCAAAACTCCAAAAAGCTTGGACAATAAACTGAAAGTAAATTAGTGACAACGGAAAACTGTTTAAAGCACGACATACTACATCATCTGTCATTCTTTCTTCTTCAAACTGTCTTCACTTTGTGAGGCGTGGGCTGTCATTCACCTATACTGGTCTTGCCGACCCCCGGGGGCCCGTGGAAGCAGAGTATCTTGCCCTGGGTGGTGCCCTTCAGCTGGGACACCGCTATGAACTCCAAGATCCTCTTCTTGATGTCCTCCATCCCGTAGTGGTCCTCGTCCAGGATCACCTGGGCGTCTTCCAGCTTCAGGTTCTCCTCGGAGGTTATCCCCCAGGGCAGCGAGGTCAGCCAGTCGAGGTAGCACCGGGTCACGCTGGAATTCAAACAACAATTTTTTCGGTCGGTGTGGCAATCAACCTTGGTGTCAAATCAATTTAGCTTGGTGGTTAAAGAGAGAAATATCACAATTTGATGAGTTTTCTGAACTGTGGAAATGTGCCACCTACTCAAGCTTTGCCATTGGGAATTTAGGTTTTATTGCTTAAGCGATAGAGTTCTGTTTTAAACTGGAACTCGCTCGACCTCGAGGAAGTGGTAATGCGTCACCAGATCAGTATTTAAACTGTCAAATTGATGTCCTATTACTAACGCGGTAGGGTGCAGTTTGGAACGGCGACTCACTTGAGTTCCGAGCTGTGGCTGTGGGTCACCAGACCTATATTTCAACTGTCAACTTTATGATCTATTACTAAGGCGATAGGGTGCAGGTAGCAACGGCGACTCACTTGAACTCCGAGCTGTGGCTCTCGAGGAAGCCGAGCTTGTTGAGCTCGTCGTCGATGACGGTCTGGATGGCCGCCGGCACCTGCTTGCCGGCCAAGCGCTCGCGGAACTTGTCGCCTATCGCGTCTTTGTCATCTTTCTCCAGGCCCAACTCCTTCTTTATCACCTGAAACAAGACACTGCCTCGTTAGCCCTGGAAATTCGCATGGGATATATGTATATGTTCGCCTTTCAGCTAGGGAGTCAGGTAGCATGGAGCCCAATCGTGTCTTAACCGTCTTTCCCAGGCCCAACTCCTTTATGACTCGTTTATCAACAAGACCTTACGAGGCTTGAGCCGCAGCAGAAATAGCTGCTTCGCTCAGTTGCTTCTTGTGACTTAGCGTTCAACGTTGAGAAATTATGAAGAGGATTAAAGGTAAAAAGAAGCACTATAATATTAATGTAAAATGTTACAAACAGGTAGCCTGTTTGCAAGACAAATAAAGTCGAACTAGTCTCAGTGATTTGCTAAATTCTATCCAGGCCTGTATTTATTTTTGATGGATTTATCTGGCTATAAGGACCAATAATGCTCCGTGTACCGTAATGAGATTAACATCAGTTTATACATGCATGACTACGTTTATTTTTGTATGTGTGGGTGTCGACACGTACACCAGTATTCCTGGTACATGTCCTACCATATCCAAGCATAGGTGACGTTCGCCTCGACAAAAAATCTTGAGAGCTAATACGATGACAGCCGCTTTAACGTTTATAACATTACAAGAACATGAACAGACGCATCAACACGTATTCTAAATATCTCACCTTAAGCTGCTCGTGAAGTATGTACTTGCGATGTTGCTGTTTCACCTTCTCCTCCACCTCCTTGCCGATCTTCTGCTGCAGCTTCGACAGCTCGTACTCCTTCTTGAGCAGCGACAGCGACATCATCAGACGTTTCGGAATCTGACAAAATAACGTTCGTACATTTTGTTGTACATCTGAATCGTTAAAAGTATTATTAGTTACTTGACATAAAATTGTAAAGCCTTTTAAATCAGAAATAAGCTGTTGATTAGGCCGCTGTCACTGTTGGGCGATGCTTTCGCTTTCAGTCTATGGTTATGCCACGCAGCTGCTTCTGCTGTTGCAATAATGGGCAGGCTCGTCCGGGGAAGTGCCAAAACCGGTGTGAGGTGCAAGTATTACAGTTTCACGTTTCGTCTGATGAGTGAGGTAGCCGGCGCCAGTTTTTGATGGTCAGCAACGCATCTGCAACCCATGGTGTTGCAGGTCTCCATGGACGGCAATCGCTTAACATCAGGTGAACCGCCAGCTCGCTTGCAAATTATTTCACATAAAAGGTACAATTCGGATCTACATTTGACACAGTGGAGGCAGAAAGGCTACAATTAAGACGAGTCCGTCAAATCGGGGCCGATCTGCCTTTCAATTCTTTTTTTGTATTTCGTTTGGAAGAGATTTTGTAGTAAGAAACACTTAGAAAGATCTATTGTAGTCTTCCCTTCGAAAACATTGCGCCCTTATTGTAGATCTGAAGGATAACTGGTATTAACTAATGATTGTACTTTCAGTTCCATGACTATTAAAGCTTCATCTGACGTAGAGAAGGATAACATTATCCTGTGTGGTCTTCTTCTCATTTTAGTGTCCTTGACAATTCACACGATATCGGCCCAAAATTCAGCCACATGAATTGCACTGTCAGCAGCATTCATCAGGTCCTCCTGCGTGCAGTTGGTGGGCACGCAGGGGGGGGTGGGCAGTTGGGGGGGACGTAGTAAGCCTTCCCGTAGAGCGTCACCTTTGCTCGGGCCCTCCCCGTGGGTGGCGGCAGAAACTGTGAAACTAATTACTACGACACGATGGCAAACCCAATATCCTGTGTGGTAAGAACGTTTTACACTATTAATTCGAAGTGGACAATCATGCACATCCGAAACAATTGTCTATGGGTCACTCAAATAGTTACGCACGAGATGTGGTGGTAATCAATCTGACACCGAATTCGATACCTTGGCCTGCGCCACGGAGTCATCAAAATCTGCCGTCCAATACTCACGTCCGTCTCGTCGAGCACCGCTTGCAGCTCGGCAGGCTCGGCACCGGTGAGGGCGGCCCCAAGGTCACTCAAGTAGACCGGATTGTCCACCACGCGCTGACCTTGAGCCAGCATATGGTGCAGCGACTCCCTGGCGGCAGACCCTCAAGGTCATGAACTATCGCCACACGGTATACCAAATACCCCAACACCAACGATGTTTTGGGTTCTATACTATGAAAATTGTTGCATCTGCCCGTGGTTTCTGACTGAATGCCAAAATAAAAGGGAAATCGCTATTAACCCGTTGCCTGTTGTAATGACAGTTTTTAAGTTTCTCGTCTCTCTGCAGGATTGTTTGAATTAAGCTCCGAAACGCTTCATCGCATGAAAATTATAAGGTCTAGAATAAAGCCAATGTTGTTGCCATACATTGACTAATTAAAAGCAAATGATTTTTGGCACGTGATAAATTTTAATAAGAGATTTAATAAAAGGAAAATACGATTGGCAAATGGGAAGGAATGAATTGGTACAGATACTTTTCTTTAACGTAAAACGACGATTGATCAATAACAGTATTCGCATTACATCGGTTTAACAATATCAATTTTTTTCCACACACTTGATCCGAACACAACCAGCACACTTTCATCCTGAGAAGACTCTCACAAACAACTAAAGGCGTAGCGTGCCAATATGACACCTGGTTGATATTTACAAATTTACCATCATCAGCCCAAAGACTTACATTGTTCAACAACTAATCCCTTTCCCTTCATAACCTCCCTCCATTATAACGCCAAAGCTAACGACACTTTGCAAATCTATCACAATACATAAATTTGACAATGAGCCAATTAAAGCGAATACATTTTAAAAATCCATACTACCTGTATAATGGATTCATGTTGATAATGTCTCTGATGGTCTTAATGACTTCTTGGGTCAGCGCCTTGACTTCCTCGTTCTGCTGGAACTTTTCATGCATCACATTCTCCACTTTCACCATCAGCACTTGGTCTACCGCGGGCTTCTTCTTCTCCACCTGCTCCACACCTTCTGCATCTGTGCTGTTCTTCCGCCTGGTGTTGCGGTATTTCCTGCGCCTGCGCTCGGCGTCAGTCTCTTCGCGGGCAACATTAATTTCCGTATCAAATATGGGAAACTTGAGCTTCATTTCTGAAATGACGAGCATCATTTCAGAAGTGAAGCCCTCTCATAACACTTTATTATATTGAACGGTAGCTTAAACCCTGCTCCTCACACTAACTACTTCTATTTAATGAAAAGATAATTTTCTTTGCCATAAAAGTTTTGACACATTCACAAGCAAATAATTTGTAATATATCATTCTAGCTTTGTTAAAACTATATTTGGAAAAATAGGACATCCATGCTGAGCTTGAAGAATATACATACTACAAGTTTGAAATCTTCTTGGAACAAATATTTACTTACATACAAAAATTATTTTTATTTATAATAAATAACATCTAATACAAAACTGTAAATATGGATAAAATAGAAACAGCACGGATAAAATCAACAATAGATGATTAAATGTTATTGCACAAACATATTTTATTGTACGTTATTGTACATTAGCATACAAAGCATATGAAAAAAATAGTAACAATTAACAAAGAATGTTAAGTTGAAAGTTATGGGTTAGGATAAAAATGCTTGTGTGTATTTTTAAATGCTTTACTCTTAAGAGTACACATGGTACACAGAGAAAAGATAGCAACTAATTTAAAGTAATGTACTCACAATAAAATAACTTTCACCAATTAAAAATGATATTCTACTGAAAAATGTACCATTTAAATCAAATTAATGATAAACTAAACTTACCAGCAGGCCCCGTTTCAATTTCATCCTCTATAAATTGCCCGGTAATGCGGATCCGTCTGTGGGCCATTACAACCAGCCTCAGCTTGTAATCCATATCCTGCATTTCGTGAATCTGTGCGAAAACTCCCACCTGGTGCAGGTCATCCAGATTGGATACAACATCTGACTTCTCATCCTCCTTTTTACGTAAAAATATGCCTATATATGGTTGATTGAGCTTCACTTTACGTCTAATAAGGTCAATTAGTGCCGGGTTGGATATCTGAAAATTTGTATTATTTTTTATTTTCATTAAAAAATGTTTTACAAAGTTTGTAATTCTTAAAACCTCTACTAACATATTAACTATATGGATTAAAATCCCTTACAACTCATAAAACAACTACTACTATCAAATCATATTTAACTCAATCCTTTTCTAAGGAAAAAGTAAGAAACGTCTAGAAAAATCAGTAAGACAAATGAAGGACATTATACTGATCTGTTATTCTGTTATGTAATGACAAGTAATTTGTTTGTATTAACTCAAGGTGATAAAAGGTTCAATAAGCAAATTGCTTTACTTTGGATTAGAAATCAATAAATGCAATGTTGCAATAAGCAAATAAAATTACATTAGTGCATGTACTTGTATGAAATAAAGTCTTCGAATATTTGAAAAGAAAAGTTTTTATGTTTTATTGTCACTACATTAGTACTGCTGAGAAATAAAACCATTTAAAAATCAATCACACAATGTACCATGTTATTCTGCCTTAAAACTTTTGTGTTAAATAAATTATGCAAATGTTGTATAGATGTCAATTGTTAAAAATTCACAACTTTATTTATAACAATATTTAAAAATACTGACAAAACAAGATATAATCTAAGAAACCAAGCCTATGCAGCATAAGCTACAAATGCTAGCTCCACTTCCTCGCTAAAAAGATACTTAACATTTGAGCAAGAAAAAAATTTGTGCTGATGTCACAAGCCACAACAATTGAGTTGAGGTTATAATTCTTTAAAAATGTTTTATATTCATTTAATATGTTATATTTATTTAATATAAATTTTTTTTAATATTTATTTAATATGTTTTATATTCATTTAATATAAAACATTTTCCACAGAAATGAATACAAAGAGAAAGCATTAAATGGTTACACCCTATTCGGATTATTACAATGCAAAAATAAAAATAACATTTCAATGTTTCATCATGCAGAGATCAACTTAATATAAAATTTAAAGGTAAAAATTCCGAACAGTACGTCTCGTTTTTCAAGCTAGAAAAAAAATTTTATCGATAGAGAAATGTTAATAATTAAATATTATATACGTGAAAACCAAGGCAAACACTTACTTTTAATAAAAAAAAAATATTTAAAACTTGTTATTTTCACTAAATAAATCCGCCATTTTGTGTTTGACAACATGTATAAATTTAAAAATTCACACACTTCCAAATTATAACCTTCGCATTATTAAAAAAAGAGTCTTTAAAAATACTAAAAGTACTGTTACACTAAAGTTTCTGGGTGGTCATAAGAAAAAAACCTAACATCGAAGGCTAAGGCCTTAACCTTCTAACCTAACCTATCCGAGTCGGATCGCTCTGTGTCGGATCTGTGACTCATTTTGAACCTAATATTCGAGACATTAAGGGTACCCTAAGCCACAAATTTTAAATATTAGAAATTGTTAATAATACATGTTCATGAAGTAGAAACTTATGTTTTTGGGATATATCCGTGTATTTGTGTCTTCTTACAACGTAAAAAGTGAAAACGTAAGTTTTTAACTTAAAATAATAGTCTATAATGAATAATGGACGCACAGTAATGACGGATTTCAGTTGTATGAAATTTAAAAACTTTGTTAATTTTTTCCTCATAATCTAGTGGTTTTCATTGATTATAACTTATATAATATTTAGTTATTAACATTTCTCTATCGATTAAAATTTTTTTCTAGCTTAAAAAACGAGACATACTATTCGGAATATTAGCCAATTTAAAATTAGAGAGTTATAAAAGTAAAAACAGCAAAGCATAATTTATGTAAATTCCACATCTGTTCATTATGATAAATTTACACATAATACTGATTATGAGTATGTCAAGAAAATTAAGCACAAATTACTAACCTCAATCAATTTGATGAACCTTGGAAATACTGGATTCCTGTTTATAGCAATAACTGGCACTTGTGGCCACACTTCGGGTACAGCTACCGTTGCCGGTAACTGACTCGTAAATAGTGGCGTTTCGTCTTTCACAGGGGTATCTTCTTCCGGAGGATCATTTTTGTTATCAGTAGAATACAACCTTTTATTTGAAACTAGTCTCGTTGACGGCAGCAAACCTACATTATAACTACAAACTCGACTATGTAAGCCTAATCCACTGTAGCTGCTTAATATGCGATTATTCTGTAATTTAGTATTGTGTGATGCAATTCTAGTAAAATTGCGAACTAATCGCGCTGGACATGACTTAAATTTCGGGTTAAATAGTACGGTATTTCTTACTAGTATATTAGCGGTATGCATTTCTAGTTATCTTAAATAGTGAATATTAAATATTTTAAAATAATAATCATTTAGAAAACAATATTTATTAAAGAAGAGGGTTATATTTCCAGATTCTTCAAACAGAACAGAACTGATTGAATGAAAATGAACTTCACTTTGACATATGAAATTTCGTTCTCAAAACTTTTTTATTTTAATAACAGAACTGAAAAGTGATTTAAAAACAACCTTTCACTTTATTTCCCCTTTTTCAAACCACTAAAATATTAACTTGATTCTTAAATAAATTAATCAAATTATCATATAAATATTTCAAAATGTTGAAAAATGTTTCTACGTTCATCTGTCTGATGAATGAGCATCATATCTCATCATATCTCATCTCCTATATCCACTGATAGGTAACCCTTGACAGCTGAACCAAAAACGTACGATTACATTCTCTTTGACATTATCAGATATATAAAAGTACTCTTTGGACATTATCTTTGGCATTAATAATGAACAGATGGAAATTGGCTTAAAGTTCTTGTTACCAGGTCATAAAATATTTAATAAAAAAAAAAAAGATGTAAATAAAGAATAACAAACATTTTGAAAACAAAATAAATGAGATTTTTGAGGATTTTAAAAGTAATAAGAAAGGTTTGTAGATTCAAAATTGTGAATTAAAATAATGAAGTTAAAATATTAATTTAAAGTATACTTTAGACAAATTTTAGCCGCAAAATGTAACTTAACCTCACCATATTCATGTTATGGTAGGTTTTCATTATATATGGTTTTTAGGAAGAGTAGTCTGTCACCAGTGGCCGCTTAATAGAAATAAACTACCACAAGTGTTAAGTTAAGATATAATATTTTTCTGCGGCAAAAGGTAGAACAATAAATAATGGTATTCGGTGGATTCTTAATTCTTATAGTGGATTAGGTTAGGTCACAAATATCCATAAATCGACATAACTGCCTTTAAATATTTTTTATAAACAGCTGTCCTGACATAAAGTAAAATTCACATAGACCGTAATGAAAATGGAAGAATCTACAGTGCAAGAAAAAACTTTAAAATCAATAAAAGAAGGCCAAGCCGAAATCTGTCTGAAGACTGAGAAAGTATTTTACAACCCAGTCCAAGAATTTAATCGAGACCTTAGCATAGCCGTTCTGAGTGTATTTACAGAAGACTACACAGCTGAGAAGTTAGACAAAATAAAGAAGAAAGAATCCAAAAATTTAGATAACTCTGAAGCAAGCAATGAGGAAAATCATGTGTGTATAATTTCAGACATGTTCAATGTAGTTTATAAATGTTTAATCAGTACTGTACAAATGTATCTATTTGTATCACTATGAAATTGTAATATTTTTAACCAACTTCCAAAAGAAGGAGGTTATCGATTCAGATGTTTAGATTTTTTTTTATGTATGTTAGAGCATAACTTCGTCATATATAGACGGATTTGCAAAATTCTTTTTTTGTTCCAAAGGGTTTCATTCCGAAACTGTCCCATATTAATTTTGTATAGATCTGGTGATGATTTTCGGAGATAGGAACCGAACTCTAAATATGACCGGAAATCGCGATTATTGCTATCGCATAAATATATATTGCTAATAGTAATGTACATAATTATATTTGAAGTTGGTTCTTTTTTTGTTAAAAAACTTTTTATTATAAAATTGTATCAAAACCTAAAAAAATACAAATTTATGAATAATAGCTGAATAATTGTTGCAGTATAAATAATGGATTCATATAGTATCCATTAAAGTAGTGCATCTTTATTTTGTATGTTTTCAAGCAATAAATTACACTTTTAGGTACCAATTACGATTCTAGAAGCATTATCTGCGACAGGATTGAGGAGCATTCGTTATGCTAAAGAGCTGCCGAATGTTACCAAAATTATCGCCAATGACCTGTCTCAACAAGCTGTAGAGACAATAAAAGCCAATATAATTCATAACGATGTCCAGGATATTATAGAAACCAGTCATGACGATGCTTGGTAAATATAAATAATTATTGTATGATACCTTTATTTCTAAGATTTTAAAGGTTTTTACAAATATATTATATGTGTCATTTTGTCACCAAATTAGGCTACATTGATGCAATAGAAAGTGCCAAGGTAATCATAATTTCTAATAATTCCCAAATTTTGATTATAAATTTTTAAATCATTCATAATTTTCAGATATTTCAGAAATAAGTGTAGTCTATTTTGTGCATTTCTATGAAAGCATGGTGAATATTTAGTCTAAAAACACTATTAATAAGTGAGTGTCTTTTAGAGTAATTTTAAGGCATACTAGAAATTTATTTTCATAGTGCTAATCTCTGCACTTAAGGTGAAACATTAAACTGTGTAAGAAAAAAAGTACGATAAGTTATTCGCCGCAATGGGAATCGAACCCACTTCTTCGGGATTCGCGCCCAGACTCCTTAACCACTAAGCTAAACGAATAATTGCTACACCGACGAAAATCTCAACGTCTTTTATCCACATTGTTTTTTCGCATTTAAAGCAATGCTTGGCGCATCCCTCGTTAGAATTATACGAAACGACATACGAAATTTTTTGTATGCTGTAAAGGATATAACAATGGATAAAGCGTCCTGGCGCTAATCCCGAAGACGCGGGTTCGATTCCCGCAGCTGCGATTACTTTTCGTGGGTTCTTATTTCAAAATATTTTAATGTAATGGATACTTATAAAATTGTTTAAGCTTGAATTCTATTCCAGTATGCTTATGTACAAGCACAGACATCCTAAGGAGCGATTTGCCGCTATAGACTTGGACCCCTATGGATGTCCTTCAATATTCCTCGATTCAGCTGTCCAGAGCGTTCAAGATGGCGGCCTGTTGCTCGTGACCGCGACCGATATGGCCATTTTGGCGGGAAACGCGCCGGAAACTTGCTACACCAAATATGGCGCCATTAGCTTAAAAACAAAATCCTGCCATGAAATGGTAACTTCTAAACAATTTAAAATAGTTGAACTATTTTGTTTAACGTCTACAAATAAAATTACATAATTTTGAACAAAACAAAAACCGACTTCAAACAGGAAACTAAAAGCATTGTCAACACCTATAACTTTTGAGGATTGCCCTCGATTTCTCTGGGATGCCAATATCAGATCTGGGTTTCCTTATCATGGTACTATCCTTGAGATATCTTCTTTCCAATAAAGAAAGAATAATCAAAATCGGTTCATAAATTACTCATACGGAAGTTATCCCCGAACACACATAAAAAAAAATAAAAATATATACGGTCGAATTGAGAAACCTCCTCCTTTTTTGACGTCGGTTAAAAATATATCGACTTAACGCCCTGTTATTTCGTGTCGGACGGTGTCTTACTTGATGTTAAGTGATAACCACCATATCCCACCTATGTGGAGTCCGCACAATATATGAATCATGTTGTAAGTGGTTTTGGCTATGTTTTTTACGACTGGCCGCATGACGTCAACCTTCCTTGGGAAACCCTGCAGGTGTTGCCACTTTTTAATAAAGTTTTGCCACCGGTGATCTCACTCACCAGACGAAACGCAGAAATATAGTGAACTATCTCGAAATTGGCTACTTTTTGGGTAGCAAATTGTAGGGTAAATGCACATCAGTAAATAACCTTATTAATAACATCCTCAAATATCTAGTCTTTCGTCTTTTTTCGACTTTACCTGTAACTCTATATATGAATTTATTTTTTCAATAAGATACACCAAACCAAATGTGGCTAATGGTCATAATTGTATTTTCTATATGAAAAGAATGGAATGTTTCTATTGTTTTCAGGCACTCCGAATTCTATTACAATGCATAGAACATCACGCGAACAGATACAGCCGTTACATTGTACCACTGCTGAGCATATCGGCGGATTTCTACATTCGCGTTTTCGTCAAAGTCTACTCTGGCGCGATACACTGCAAGAAAACCACTAGGTAACACTTTGACTGTCTAACATAAAATGTTTTTAACATCATAAAATTTTATATAATTTAATTTTATATCATTACACGCGAATCAGTTAAAAGAGTGCCCAGGTACTCGCTTTTTATTTAATATTTAAAATTTATACTCAAGCTACCTGAGTTCGTATCCAGGTGCTGGTACCGAGGAAACTGTTAATTGCTAATAGTTTTCAATACTAATTTATTACGCGCTCAGCGGTGAAGGAAAACATCGTGAGACACGCATATTTTTGAAAAAAATAACAAAAAATATTTCCGATATGTATTGTGAACTCTGCCAATCCTCAGTGGACTCGGCGCTAATATGTACATATAGTGCGACGTTCTAGTGGGACATATATTATCTATCTCAAAAAATTGTGCCGAATAATTAAAGTTTTCATCTTGTGCACGGAACTCTCTATCTCACACTTGTCGCGTGTCTCTTTTTGCTACTTGGGAAATGTTCATATAAATTGTTCACGGTGTCTTCCTTTGGTAGTGTCCATCTTGTCCGCTTTGATTGCAGCAAACTGTCCATGGTATACCGGTGTGTGGGCTGCGACAACATCACCCTGCAGCCGCTGGGCGGTTTCAAACCGAACCCAACGGAATCGAACCCGGAGCAGATAAAGTTGTGCCTACCCACCGCGCCGCCGGTCGGCGAGTTCTGCGTGCACTGCAATCAAAGGCACAACGTGAGTATTTTGACATGTCATTGACATCATTAAATGACCAAATTCAACCATTTTTAAAATTACACTAAAATAAAGATTTAATTGTGAAATCCCTATATGAGAGATCCTCATATGTCACCCCCATTAAATGCAACTTTCAACCTTGTTTCAAATCATATTTGGAGAAAGATTAAACTGCGAGATACCCATATTTTCCCCATAAATTCTCAAACCTTCAACCTAGTTTGAAATCATGCTAGGAGAAAGATTTGACTGCGAGAGCCTCATATACCACCCCAATTTAATTTTCAAGAAAAATTTAAATGTGAAATCCCCGTATTACGCCCCATTGAAAGCTCAAACCTACAAATCACAAAAGAGAAGGATTTAACAGTGACATCCCTATATAAAAAGAAAAACAAAGTGCAAACGCACAACTGAAATTAGAAAGAAGTCGCGCGCTGGATCCAAAACCGAATAGGCATGTCGCAGCTGGGCGGGCCGGTGTGGTCCTCGGCCATCCACGAGGAGGGCTTCGTGGGGCGCGTGCTGGCGCTGGTGCAGCAGCGGCCGCGGCTCTTCGGCACCGCCAAGCGGCTCGAGGGGGTGCTCAGCATGGTGCGCGAGGAGCTGCGCGACGCGCCGCTCTACCACACCCTGGACAAGCTCTTCGGCAGGGTGCACGCGGAGACGATGCCCATGCTGCTAATGCGGTGCGTACGCCGTCCAACGCCAACTACTTGTACCACCATCTTATACAGTCCACATACTCCCCATCATCGACCTTCCTCCTTTGCGTTGCGTACGCCGTCCCCCGCCAACGTCTACTCCCACCACCGCCTTATACTCTCAGAGAGTCTCCATCTCCTACTGTTCCATCATCACCTTACAATTTGGCAGCAAGCTCCATTGCTCCCCATTATTCACTTCCATCCTCCAGCCTATCGTTATATTATGTAAGAAGTAGGCAAACGAACGGATCACCTGGTGTTAAGTAAAAGCCTCCAAACTTGGACATTTTCAACACCCGTAGAATTGCAGATGCGTCACTACCATTTGATAAAGTGGTCTTGGGTTATCTTACTCAGACGACACAGAGATGTATAAAATATTGTGAGGTCGTGGTCCCAGACGGACTTACCCATTTGTGCAACAGCGAAGACTGTTGCGTGTTGTGTGACCCTACCGCAGCCTTTCTTTTTTGTTTTATCCAATTTCGATTGACAGATACGGCTATAAAGGGCCTTCCGTCTGTAAGGTAACCAAATGAAGTTTGGGGGCAAAATCCGAGTTGAAGAGGAAAAAGTCCTCGAACCAGGATGTACTGATTTGTGGGAGCCCTCTTTGTTAAAAGCTGGCAATGCATGTTCAACCCTACGGTTGTTGCAAATTACATGGTTATGTCCACTGCGGTTATCACTTAACATCAGGTGATGTTAAGTGATAACCGCCTGAACAGACTATCATGTTGGGTCACACAAACAGTTGTGCCGTGTGTGACTCTACCCCACGACCCCCAGGTACAGAGCAAGTACCTTGGCGTCTTATATATTTATATTTCAAATATAATGTTGATAATGTTTAATATTCAGGTGGAGTTGAATTTAGAGTTTGAATTTAGAGTGAATTGTAAAACCCAATCTGAACTGATAATCCGCAGGTCGGCGATACTGAACGCCGGCTACAAGGTTTCCTTCTCGCACGCGTCGAGACTATCGATAAAGAGCAACGCCCCGGCTCAGCTCATATGGGACATCATACGCACGTGGGTGAAGACGCATCCGGTTAAGGCATCAAAGTGAGCGTTCTAAATATGAAGTTTTTTAAATAAAATGGACAAATACTTCATGAAAATTTTACACAATCTAGTTCCAAACTAAGCGAAGCTTGTTTTATGGTCCTGGGTAACTGGTAAACATACATAAACATACTTCTCTTTTGCAAGTTCCAGACACAAGTTTTTCCAGTAGTGGGGATCGAACCCACAGCCTCTGGTGCAAGGGTCAGGTTCACTATCGCATAGTCACAACATGAAATAAAGTTTGATTCAACAATTAGATAAAGATCAATTTATATTTTAAAAAAACTAGTTTCCCGGGAGAATCTACAATTTTGATTATAATTATTTTCTGTGAAAATTTGGCAAAAGTGGTTCACCAGATGTTAAGTGATACCGAAACGCTAAAGATGGGTCGAAAACCTTTAAAAAAGTGTGTCCCAATCACCTCACTTACCAGACGAAACTCCAAAGTACCTACGCTTCATGCCGGTGTTCTGCCATGGTACCCACAAGCCCTATAACAGATTTATTGTAAGCTGCAATAATTATAAGATTGTACTTTAATTAATGGGCTGTTCGCTTATTCGAATTTCTATTATGACTATGCAGCAAGCATCATTATAATCCTGTACTTTTGAAGTTCAGAAAATCTGATGTCCCAATTTTGAAATCCTCCAGATTGGAAGCGGACCCCGTAGCAAAGTACATCCTCAGTCAAGATATAAAGTCAACGGTAGACTTGAGTCACAGGCCAGATGCTAACCCAATAAGCAGACGGGACGGTCGACTGCGTTTCCAGTTCAACCCGACACCGCATTGGGGACCTGGTACCAGAGCTGCCATCAAGTTAGTAATGTATAAATAACTGGTGACCGGCTAGTATACAAAAAAATAAGCACTAACTATCCAAAAAACCTTGATTGGTATCAAACTTCACAGGACTACCTCGCTGGACTAAGCTGAAGATTGCCTGTAAGTGTAGTGTCAATAACGAACATACGTGTGTACATCGTTTGTATATACAGCGTGGCGTTACAACCGCGACAATAAATGAACACACGTCTAACGCTACTTGCCAATATTCATAAAAAAATTTAAACGTTTAGAAAGATCCATACATAAAAAAAAATATTTTTCAAAACAAAGTAATTGAATAAAAGAAACAAAATTTGTAACATTCTATACAACTACAACTGACTGATACTTTCAGAGAGTTTTTCATTTGTTGCCACAGCGTCGCATTACAAATCTCACCATCTAACAGTATGTTTTATCACTTTTAAATTCATTCAACGCATTTGTGACCTTTACAAATGAACTTTACGTTACAGTTTTATACGTAAGGGTGTTCTAAAATTGTTTGTTTTGGAAAATTTTATAACTCTGTAAATATTGATGCTTAAAGAATGTAAATGTTTAATACAATTTTAATAAGTTATCCTCTATATGTGTGTTGTTTTATGGTCGCGTCAGTAGAGCCACATTGTATATAATAGATATGGGACAGCCACAGTGAGCTCATCCCAAGTATTTTCAGTGTTCGGAGTAGTTTTAGGTACCTTGTAGTAAAAACTAAATAATTATGACTGTATCATTTGGTTGTAAAGTTTTTGTGTAACAATCATAGTACAGAAATGTATAATTGATTTAAGGCAGCTTAATCTCTGCTTACATCTCTAGTTGATAGGCTTCTCGTATCTTTGTGGATTGAGGACAATGACAGATTACAGACAGGGTATCCACTAAAAACACTTAGATAAATGCCCTTTGAAGGTGCCGTGAGATGTTAAGTTTCTTTTCTTTTAGAAAATTAATTAAAATTTAAAATACAGTTCTGTGTTGTATTATTTACGCATTATAAACTGATTACTTTAGTAATATATTCTAGCACGGAACACATAATACTCGGATAAGAAAGAAGTCCATACATAAAAATTGACCCTTGACATTTATACATGAACTTATCCGCACCGCTGAGTTTCAAATATCTAGGCGGGATTATAATAATTAGGAATGTTAAGAATTGATGGGTGTGAGTTGTTTTCATTATTGCTAAATGTAGTACTTTAATAATCGCAAGTTCCACAATTTTAATTATTACTCAAATTTGATTAAACCATATTTACCCCAAAAAAGACTTAGGTTTTAAGTCCTTTTAAAGTAATTAACTAAATAATAATAATAATTAAAGAAGAGAATCAAATGCGCCAAGAAAAACCGCCGAAACGAAATGGCGATAAAAAAACTGAATGAATGAATGAGATTTCAAGTGTCAACAATTAAGCCATACTTTGAAGACTTCTTAAAACAGACGGGTTACACCACAGTACTCACGCGTTTACAAGCATGCGTCCAAAGGCGCAAGCAGTTGCACGTGAAACTATTTCTTAATGTTTTCATCGCGATTCATGGTAAAAGAAACAAGGCTCGGATATTACCTGCTTAAATGTAAATAACCAAAAACAACAATAGATGGCGCTGAAATCAATAAATACAAAAAAGATACGAAACACAAGTAGAATATAATTTAAAAAACTAAAAACAGTAATACGAATCTAACAACACCTCTCAAGCTAAAATCCATCAAGCCGTTCAGGCTGCGTAGCGTGCCAAACAATTATACATACATACAGTACATATAAAGGATGATTTTATAGACGACGGACATATTAACAGGGCATATGCAGAATTTTACTTAATTTTTTTTTCAAAGATTATTTTTTTTTTTCTAATATAACGAACACCCTGTTAGAAATTCCTGCCTTACCGTCTCAATACAATAACCTATTCACTAGAACTGAAACTGTTCGCTGAACGTATATCTACTAAACCGCTTGTCAATGGGGTGACCACTCTTTATGGGATAAACAAACAATGTTTGAATTGATATTTTTAATTGAGATTAGAAATATATATTTTTTTTTAATTATGGAATGTTGAATTAACATTATGTCGAAATATTTTTTTTTTTTTATGTGAAAAGTTGTCAAACGAGCAGACGGTTCACCTGATGTTAAGTGAATACCGCCGTCCATAGACATCTGCTACACCCGAGGGTTTACAGATGCGTTGACAACCTTTTGAAAATTGGGCTCCGGTCACCTCACTCACCAGACGAAACGCGAAAGTATTATACTTTCACTTTACGCCGGTCTTCTGTGAGGTCGTGGTACTTACCCGGACGAGCCTGCCCATTCGTGCAACAGCCGAGGCTGCTGCGTGGCCCTACCACCGTGAAGTGTATGTACTTCGCCTAAAAAAATTTAACTAAACTTTATAAACACAACCCTCCTTCTGGCGCAGTCGGGTAATAAGTAAAATTATTATTAACAATCAACATCTGTGTTTTGGAGAATGGCTGCTAGGATGACAGGGTATGCAAAACTTTTTTGCTTGTATGGAGTGCACGCGCCTAATTAATGACAAATACCACATACTCAATTTTAGCACAATTTATTTTTTCATTAGCACATGGTAACTCGTGGCTAGTGTTTCCTATCCTTTCAAAAATTATTATCATTAATATGTCATTCCATGGATATGTTATTGTTGGCTTGCCTTTTTTTCAGTATTGGGGAGGAGAAAAATTCTAAAGCCATAAGAAATCAAAACAAAAACAACAATCAAGAACGGCATGTGGAGAAACGAGAACATTCGCCGAGGAGTGACGATGAAGCTCGCAAGAAATCGACAGCTACACGCTCTGATGATGCAGCTGTGTAAATAAAAATAAAAAATGAAAATGCTTTTTTTTATTTATTTCAACGTCAGTTCATGTCTATAATAAACAAAATCTTACAGGTCTGTCGTCGTGTAGGCATCACAGAAAAACCACTGAATAGATCTCAATATCTTCCTTCTAAGTTTTAATTCGCATACACTGCCATATAGAAGTATTACCGATGTTTTGCATTGGGCGTTTTTAGTTTCGTTTCTTTGCCTTCCATAATTCCGTTCCGTGTACAGTCTCGTTCAAAATAATGGGGATATTTTTATTTTGGACTTCTAGGTTTTTTTTTTAGAAGGTTATGTATTTTCATAAAAATCAATATTTTTCACGCTTTCTTAGAACACATACTGTGATTAGTTTTTTTCTTTTAACGTTAATTTGATTACAAGTTATGAAAAACATTCAAAGATAACGAAAATAGCCTTTAAAACATGACGATACTTTTAAAACAGTAGGAAAAATAGCAGCTTATATCCCACCCATTATTATATGCTAAAAAAGGCTTATATCGATTTTATGGCAAAATTTCCTAATTCTAAGGATTCATGGACACTGCAATGTGTAAAACATTATTTTTTCAAACTTCAGGAAATGTTAAAATATACGAGATGAATCTGTTCATAGTTGTTTAATTCAAATTGTAACGATCACAAAAACCTAAGAAATCATTGCCTAGTTCTTTTTATTTAGTGGCCCGCGACACCACGGCAAACATGTTTTTGCGCACCAAAAAAGGCGGAGTACCATTTCTAGTCTCTACATTAAAATGTATTATATTTACAGATAGATGACATACCAGATTGACCTAATCGACCTTAAAATCTTCACAGTTAATGTTGAACTAATAGTGATAAAATTTTGGTATTGGTGGACTATTGATTTCTTATCTAGACTTTCACGTGCTCGCCTTTATACATATACATATGCCTTTACGTTATAACAGACGATTTATAGAGCAGTATCTGAGAATTCTGACATAGTTCAAATACTTTTAATCGCTGAACGGCTTGTTCAAATGCGTAACTACTTACCCTACCACAAGCTTGTCAAGAAAAACTTTTGGTAGACAGTGGGTTGTTGGATAGGGTCTACCTTGATATTTTTTCTTTCTCTTGTCTGCGAGCACACTGAACCAGGGCTCATTAAGAAAGCCGCGGTACATTTGCGCCACTACGATCGCTTTTCCTACCCACCGTGAGCATTTCTAACGGCCAGAGTAATGGCTTCCTGCTATCATTCCGTATCCGCAACTACAACATGTAGAATACGATTTAGCAATCGAAAGGGATCTACTCTATACACATGCCCTAGCCAACCTAGTGGTCTTTCCTTTAGAAGAACAGTAAAGCACTAGTACAAGATCTAGAATCCTTTATCTGGTGACTTAGTCTCGTCATGCTATACCCAAGATCTTACATCGGCAATAAAGCACATGAAAGATACGTCTCAGCTACATAAAAAGTATGTCTATGAAGCCATAAAACTACAATTTTTGGCTTAAAGGTTTGTTATACCATACTCTTGTACCTAAAATGGTCGCCACCTTGCCGATATCAATGTCGATCACCGCATTGAGTAAAAAATTGTTCGACAAAGTTGACCCACTTCCAAGAGTACAAACCTAATCTAATTAGGCCTTATTCAAGTTGACGTATGCAAATTACAGGGGAGTTTTCTGCTCTCTAAACATCTGTAGATGACAAGCGTAAAAATCAAATCCACTGTGAAACGCTGGGAATGGAATCTATGAATGCAATGGGCTTATAAACATGTTCTACATGTTTCTACGGGATAAAATGACATGGCCAAAAAGCTTGTCCACAATGTTTGAAAGGAAAATTCCGCAGTAACAGTTTCAATACCCATGATCATCAGTATAAAGTGACAATATTAGCATCACACATAGCCTGTGCAACCTCTCGCGCGCTCAGAACATTAGATGGCATCCAGTTAATCGTAATACATTCATTTTATTACGAAATTCTACTCTTCCTTAATTTTTGTACTCCATTTTTATTTTCTCTATTTTTATTAGTTTTGGGGTACTTATATTACCTTGAATGTTTCACATCTACCGGGCGTACCGTGCTAGCGTAATTTCTATGTAATGTTATCGTAATAATAATAAAATAAAAAATTTAACCCAAAATCAAAAAGATAAGTGAATAGCTGATACTGTCAATATTTGAACCTTTGAAATTAGTTTCCGAACGAATGGTTATTATAATGATGCAAAATCAAATGGTACTTTATTTCATAGATGGGACCATTTTGGGTATCTTTCATTCCCCTCTAATTGACTGTGATTGGTGCGAGCTAAGTGTCACTGGTCATCGAAATTTCGTTTTCATTATCATTTGCGTTGTTATCGTTACTTGGTGGTATTATATCGTGTTTCTATGACGCAAATCAATGTGTAGAGACTAGATATTAAAAAGAAATAAATTATATTACGACAAATTTGCTATACTTCGTATCATAACAACTCATTTATTAGAGTCGCGGTCTCATCGCGCGTGCTATTCTTTTTATCTATTAATTACGACATGTAAATTGATTTGTGAACTTGTTATATTGTTTACACAACGTGTTTTAAAAGTGAATAATGTTTCCTACAACGATAGCAGTGATTTTTATTGTCGTAATTATAAGTTTATTGCAAACGACTTCTTATGCTCAAGACAGAACCGTAAGTTATTTAAATTCGTGTTAATATTCTTTGCGAGGTCAACAGACAACAAAGCAAAGTAGTATTTCTTTATAATCTCTGATTTTTTTAAACACGAATTACTTTTAAGTATAATTGGAAGTAATTTAAAGTAGCGGTCGAGGTTTGAATTTCACTTACTTATTATCAAAGTTAGTTAAATTATAAAAAGAACTAAGAATTCACTACAAAACCGTATCAAACTCACCAGTTAATTTTAATGTTTGTTTTCAGTTGATTTCAAAGGTGAACCCAGGATGCCTAGACTGTAATGAAGATACCACGCTAGTTTATGTGAAAGCTGTAGGACATAGTGACACCATACACCAAATATGGGATTTCACAAGAGGTGCACCTACTATGATCTTTGTTATAGCTGGAGTAAATTCATCAATAGAAGTAGGTTGGGATGGCATGAAACCAAATAAATTTGTCATGTCCGAAAAACCACACTACAGCTTTGCAACAGCTATGGATAAGGTAAGTTAATGGAAGAAATATTTATATGCTTAGAATAAATTAAAATCATAAACTTAGTCTCTTCCTTTTATATTGATTTTTAATTGTCACTTGTTGTAGTTTTCTGTTTTTTTTTTTCCATACTTTGTTTATTTTATTATATGAAAAGGGTTTATAAGTATATATAGTATAGACATTCGTATTATCCTTGCATTTGCATTTGCATAGCATAACTAACATGAGTTGTTATAAAGGTATTCAATCACTTAAATTTGACCTAGCACACTGTAGCACAAGTATGCAAAAATAAAAAATTCCTTATTAAAAATATGTAGAAAATCTTAATAAGTTCAAAATCAAGGCAGTGTGCCTTGATTTTGAAGGAAATACAAAGCCTTATACATTGCTTAAATTCAAAATATAATTTTTAATTTAAAGTAAAACTAAACATGTTAAATTATCTACCTAAATAGATTTTGTTCAAAATATATGAATACATAATATATGTAACTCTTATTATATAAAAATATTTTTTTATAGCTTATTGTGAATTTGAAATCATATTATTTAAAAATTGTTTACAAGTACATGTATAAAATAATACCAAGAAGATTTATCTTCTATTTAATTATGCTATCCAATTTGTTCTTGTGCCTCACATATAGCTTTTATGTTCACAAGGGATGATTAATTACCATTGAATTTTCAGTATAGTTACTTTTTTATCAGTATATAAGTACAATAAATTTATGTCTACATGCATCTAGATTGTGATTAAAACTGTAGGTACAAAATTATTGTCACTGAAAACACAGATTTTGCTTCATGCATATTAGTTTACATTAGCATGACTCAATGGCCGCCCTACATTTGTGGCCACAAAAGAAAATAGTTCTTACAAGTGAATGTTTAGAACAGTAATTGCAATTGATCAATGTTCCAAGACATTATTCAGGGTCATTATTCATGTAAATTAATTATGATTAAGCATTCATAGATAATATAATAAACTCTATTGAATTTAATGTGGATTAATAATCTAATAGCACAGAATTCATCAATCTTATGCATGCGTTAGATGGCCTGACAATAATTATGCCATGATTCATGACTTAGTATGTAGTACTGCTTATCTCTGTCCACCAGTAATGATATATTTGTTTTAACTAACTTTGCCCAGATTGAACTTTCCAATTGATGGATTTTGCTATTTTAATTTCCAATGTATGCCAAGAAGAGGTTCTATTAGGAATGGAATACTTATAACTGTGGTAGGGTCATGCAACACTGTTCACTTTTGCATGGCCCTGACATAATATTAATAGCCATGCATCAGGGCGCTTGCCACCTTCGCACATAAAAAAGTAAACAATAAATCTCTTTGTTCCTATTGTCATAAATTACCAATATATTTGAACAACTTTTAACATTGAGATAATTTTGCTAATCCAGCTTTGTCTCACTATTACCAGTTTAGATATTCAATTTATATATAGCCTATTATTTCTAAGTAACTAATCAAATAAAATTTGTGATTAGTGGAATCTTTGTCAAGACCACATTCACAAATTGAGCTACCTTTGATTTTCAATTTAGCCAGGTGTACTGGAAAACAAGATTGACCAAATCTTAGAAACAATACAAATACCTAATGATATTTTACTTGTTACATGATGATGATAAAAATCCTAGGCTATATCCTATAATTGATTACTTTTTAATTATTTTGTGTCTTTGAATCCAGGATTTCTTTAATGAATCTTTAGCCTATCCATAATGACTGCCACAAAGACCTTAGGGTAAACATTGCTACTATTCTCTGTAGCAACATTTACCCTAAGGTCTGCATATAATACTGCCTCAAGGATGATTCACCTGTAAAGATCTAAGAGTTAGGAGGCAATGTAAAACTTAAAATTATGGTATACTTAAGGAACCAAATTGCTGATTCCACAAAACCCTGATCAGATAGCATGGAAGCATCTGCATACATTAGGCAGTACGTGTACACGTTTATCGTTAAGCTCCTAAATTATAATTAATAACTTATATAAAACTGCATCATATGAAGTGAAATTTGAACAACTAGTTGTTTATCATCTTATTTTAACGTTAAGTGAATAATTTCATATTTACATTAAGTAATATAGCTAAAATCAGTGATTTAATCAAGTGAATAATAACAGCAAGAAACCGATTCATAAAAACGCGTAAGCGACGCGTTCTGCACGGCGCTTACGTCTTTTTGGGCACAACTTTCAAGCGCATAGAGGTATTCTGCTGCGTGTTTTGATTTGAATAATTAAACGGTTGGGCACTACCCACCAGTGTTTACATAAAATTCTACCAAATACAATACAATTCTCATACATACATGATGTACTGCAAAAAATGTTTTGAAACTATTAATGCGGATGAGTTATTGAAATGTTCATCTTGTCAATGCACATATCATAATGTTTGTACTGGCATGACAGAAGTGGACTTTAAAAAAATTCTACCAATGAATAAAGCGAAATGGAAGTGCATGTCCTGTAAAGGGAGCAATAAGAGTGCTACCCTAAAATATACCCCCAGCTCTAGCAAACATGATGAGACTTTTGTTCAATCACAGTCAGTAAATAATTGCGATATTAACTCTTTGCTTGCCCATATTGATTTGAAGTTTAGCAATTTGAATACTACTGTCGAGTCGTTTAAATCAGATGTTAGTGAAAAACTTAATAACCTCGCAGATACTATTAAAGCATGGGATGTAAAAATTATCAAAATGGAAACATCTATTTGTTCTTTATCGGATCAAATTATGGAAGTAACTGGTGAAAATAAAAGATTGAAGCTTGAAGTCGACGAATTAAAAAAATCTATGAAGGAAATCTCCGAGAGCTTTTGCAGTAATGAACAGTGGGTGCGGCGATCCAACATTCAAATTAATGGTGTTCCACAAAAACAGAATGAAAACTTATTTGACATAGTTAAAACTTTAGCCGATAGAAGTGGCTTCCATCTAAATCCACAATCTGATATTGATTTTGTTACCCGTATTGCCGTTAAAAACGATGTGGATAATAATACACCAAAGCCTATAATTCTAAAGATGCATTCTCGGTACAAGAAAGATGAATTTATGACCTCCATACGCAAACTGAAAGATCTCAAGGCGTGCGACATTGGGTTCGCAAATGTGCGTAACCGAATATATGTAAATGACCACTTATCATCACGCAATAAAATCTTGCTTCGTCTAGCAAAGCAAAAGGTTAAGGAGAAAGGATACGCCTTCTGTTGGGTGCGAAATTGTACTGTTATGGTACGTAAGTCCGAGACATCCCCTGTTATTCATATCACATCTGAAGAGTGTTTAAAGAAAATTACGTAGGAATTACCTCTATGCTATTTTATTTTGCAATATTACTTTTTAGGTGTACTTTTTCGGTTTTTTGTAACATAGCAACAATAAATTTACAGAGTGTATATTATATTAAGCTCGTATATTTTGATTGCGGCAGAAATTTCAACTATAAGATGCTTGTTAAAAAACTAATTATGTTCTTTAATAAGTTAAGATACATTTATTTAAATATGATACTTGAATGTCATGAGTGTATTAATAATGAGTCTATGAATTTTTGTTTACTGTTTTTTAAATGTTTAACACTAATTTTATCAGATTGTAGAATAAATTACTCAATTTTGGTTTATAGAAAACATCAATACATAACATACTCCATAAGTTGTATAATTGAACAAATATTTATTAATTTAATAGAATGCTTTAAGTACTTTGCGTCATTAATAATTATAATAACTATTCAAGTCCTTGAAAAAACATATAATGGGGCTTAATATATTTTATCAAAATGTCCGGGGTTTACGTACAAAAACAAATTTATTCTACAATAATATTATAAATTCTGATTATGATGTTGTTTTCCTCACGGAGACTTGGTTATTACCAGGAATTTTCGACACAGAATTATTTGATCATAGATACTGTGTGTACCGAACTGACCGAGACTGTGAGCGACTGGGAATGTCCAAAGGAGGTGGAACCTTGATAGCAATACGCTTAGGCATTACAATAGAAACGCATAATATGGTTCCACCTCCAAAATTTCCTGATGCCGATGTTACATGTATTAGTATCATACAACACAGCGCCCCTAACGTTCATATTGCCAGAAGAGTGCGTTTATTTTGTTGTTATTTCCCTCAAAACCTCCATCAAGCTTCTTCACAGCAGTTATTCTATGAATATATTTCTGACATCGTAAATGATTATCCTAATGATAAGTTTTTGATATTAGGTGACTTCAATGTTAGTCATGCCGACTGGACGTGTTCGTCTTTTAGTCAAGTAACAAATTTCACAATTCACAATCCATCTAAAAACATATTTACTACTCAACTGTCATCTTTTATTTCCTATACGGGCTTGTTTCAATTAAATGGAATAAGAAACGCAAACGGAAGGATTTTGGACTTAGTGCTATCTAACGTTGAGTGTCAGGTATCGCGAGCAAAGCCCCTGGCCGAGCCAGAAGACATACATCATCCTGCGTTGTCATTTAATGTCGATGTAGGTTTTGTTGAGTCTAGTCTGCGTCCTGCCCCACGGATCGTACGTCAATTTCATAAAGCAAATTATGATTTAATTAATTTGGAACTTTCAACTATAAATTGGAGGGAAATTCTAAATCCCTATGATGTCGTTTCAGCAGTTCAAAGCTTTTATAAAATTTTAAATGAAATAGTTAAGAATTTTGTTCCTCATAAAACAGTAAGACAAGCTGATAAGTTTCCTGTTTGGTACACACGAAATTTAATTAAATTAGTAAAAAAAAAATTAAAGGCACATAAGCGATGGAAAGTCTATGGACGAGATAGTGATTATAAAATATTCTCTGATTTACGAAAGGATCTAAAAATACTTAAAAGTACTTGTTACGAGGAATTTATTCGACGCTCAGAAAACAATATTTGCCATAACTCTAAAAACTTTTGGTCCTTTATCAAATCCAAAAAAAGTAATGGTCACATACCAGACACTGTTTATTTAGATAATGAATCCGCTTCAGATGGTTTATCAATATCAAATCTATTTAATTCATTTTTTAAGTCTGTCTTCGAGTCTGAATATGAAGTTAATAATTTCGATTACTTTAATCTTCAAGCAAATAATACAGTTTTGAGTAAGATAGAGGTTGAAGTGGAAGCAGTTGATAGGTACCTATCTAGATTAGATACATCGAAAGGTTGTGGCCCAGATGGCTTACCACCAATTTTTCTAAAGAATTGTAATAAGCAGCTAGCTTATCCTCTAAGTTTGCTCTTCAACTTCTCATTATCGCAAGGGAATGTTCCAGCGTATTGGAAAAAGTCTCTTATCGTCCCTATTCACAAATGTGGCGATAAACAAAATGTAAGGAATTATCGTGGTATTTCCAAATTGTCGACAATTCCGAAGCTCTTTGAAAAGATTGTTTACGACACTTTATTTCCAGCTATAAAACCTTTACTAATTAAACAACAGCATGGCTTTATAAATGGTCGTTCAACTGAGACTAATTTGAATGAGTTCGTTGACATTCTTCTGGTAGCTATGGACAAGGGACTTCAGGTTGATGCTGTGTATGCTGACTATTCCAAGGCATTCGATAAAATTTCCCACTCCCTGTTAATACGTAAACTTGGGATCATCGGTATACACGGCGATCTGCTGAGGTGGCTGACTTCGTACCTTCGAGATAGAACTCAGGCGGTTGCTATTAAGGGTCACATATCGAGTTTTGTTCCTATTACTTCTGGGGTTCCCCAGGGCTCTCATCTCGGACCACTGCTTTTTAACATCTTTATCAACGACGTGATTGATTGTTTCTCTAGCTCTGAGGTACTTTTGTATGCAGATGATACTAAAATATTTAAAGTCATTCGTACATATCAGGACTGTGTTAATTTACAAAAAGACTTAAACAAACTGTCAGACTACTGTTTACAAAACAAACTATTTTTGAACACTGATAAATGTTGTACGATAACCTTTTCCAGGAAAAAACAGACTACATCCTTCAATTACTCGTTGTTTAATCACACTTTGAGAAGAGTGTCTGAGGTGAGAGATCTAGGGGTTCAAATTGATAGTGATCTGTCCTTTCTATCCCACTTCGAAAATATCGCAAAACATGCATATAAGATGCTAGGGTTTGTCCTCAGACAGAGTGTGCACTTTAAAAAGCCAGCTACTTTAGTTGTACTTTATAATTCACTTGTGAGGTCTCAGTTGGAGTACGCATCAACCGTATGGAATCCACATTATTCCTCACATATAAATGTAATAGAAAAGATTCAGTCTACTTTTGTCAGGCGGATGAAATACAAATTTGGTCCTGCTTTTACTTATAAATTAATTTCCCTTGAAAGGCGAAGAGAGTTAAGAGATCAAATGTTTCTTTTAAAATTAATTAAAAACTTTATTGAATCTCCCTATCTACTTTCAAATATTTCATTTAAGTGTCCCAAAGTCAACTCTCGTTCGAATGATCTGTTTTATATACCGTTGTGTAACACGAACTACACAAAAACCGTTTTACTGTAAGAGTTTGTCGTAAGTATAACAAAAACTTCTATCATATTGACATTTTTCGAGATAGTATAGGAAAATGTTTTGCCGCAATCAAAATGGAAGTAAATATATAATCTGTAAATGTTGTTTTTTCAAATAATTTAGGTTTTTAGTTTTGTATTTGTATCTTTTTTTCTTATCTTTAACATTTTTCTTTTTAAATGTAAATGCCGTTAAAATAAGATATTATAATTGTGTTTTAATTGTATACTTCTGATGCTAAGTGTATAATAGCTACTGGTGAAAACTTTATTGGCCCACATATCAGTGTGTATTTTGTACTATTTATTTTATGTAAGTGCTGTTTGTTTTCCTAATCAATAAAAATAAAAAATAAATAAAAATAAATACATGACATTCTAATTTAGTAAATTTTGCGATCCAGCTCCCAATTTAATTGTGCATTCGCATAAGTTGTTTTCTTGTCTATACCAAGGTTAAAGATTACCATAGTGTTAAAGATAAGGGCTTCAAAAAGAATGGAGGACAGTGGGTTGGAGTTATTTTGACGGAGTGCATATTTTCAAATTTTAAATAACTTAATAATTACATTTTTCATAGAGCAAAGGTGCAATGCTTTATAATCTGGAAGACAGGCTCTCCATTTGTACGGTCAACACATATTATGCTATGAATGACTGAGTACTGTCGTAAGGCGTAATGCCTAACGCATGAGGGCCAAAATTTTGTTGATAAAATGAATCCTTACACACAGCCACTAAATGACAAGGATATACAAATGACATTATGCATGTATGCGTGCTTTATCTACCCAAGGAATGTCCCCTTTGTTTAAGCACGCAACTTGATGCGATTATTATGGAAACATTTGTAGCAGTATTGGATGTGAAATTTATATTTATGCAAACAACGTCGCTGGCCAAGTGATTTAAAAAAATCCCGGCCAAGTGCGAGTCAAACTCGCGCACGAAAGGTTCCGTACCATCACTAGATAGTATAAAAAAAGTCTTCCTCCTGTCTGTCTGTCCCTATGTATGCTTTGATCTTTAAAACTACGCAACGGATCTTGATGTGTTTTTTTTTACTAGATAGAGTGATTCAAGAGGAAGGTTTATATGTATAATACATAAAACCCGTGCGAACGCGAGGTGGGTCGCTAGTTACTTATAAAAACGGAAAAAAAATCATATCTGTATGGGAGACCCACTTAAATAATTTTTAATTCTATTTTTTAGTATTTGTTGTTATAACGGCAAAAGAAATAGATCATCTATGAAAATTTCAACATATACACATACACACATATACAAGTATGACTTTGAACGTTTATCCACGAATGTATCGTATCCGTTTATATTAAGGCCCATTTACATGGTGCCAGTTTCTTGCCTGTTGTATAGAATTAAATTGAAGCAATAAATGAGTTGCATGGTCTAAACAATTATTGCGCGCAATTTATTGCATTCAATTATTGCTCTTGTATGTTCAAGAAAATGGCATCGTGTAAATGGGCCTTTAGGCACAGCGCATAGGCGATTTTTTTTTAACTTTAGTACATAACAATCTGGCTGTCCATTGCGTGTGAAGTTTGTCGATTCCGGGAAATTAATGTGATCTTTAAAATAGAAATATTGTTGAAGTGCGTATATTACAGCCATTGTACTATTTAGAAATTGATAACGAATTTATAAATTTATACCAGATTCAGAAAGTAAAGGCCCATTTACATGGTGCCAGTTTCTTGCCTGTTGTATACAATTAAATTGAAGCAATAAATGAGTTGCATGGTCTAAACAAGAAATGGTCTAAACAATTATTGCGCGCAATTTATTGCATTCAATTATTGCTCTTGTATGTTCAAGAAAATGGCATCGTGTAAATGGGCCTTTATCATATAGTAGGATGATGTTTAAGAGAAAATAAAGTTTTTTTTTATCACTGTGAGTTTACACAATAAAGTTATTTTTTCAGTGTCCGGGTGCTAGGTTTTAAGTCGTTGAGGAACCCGATAAAAAAAGAAGTTGATGATACTTGATGATACTTTCGAAGATATATGAAGTTGATGATACTTCATATATCTTCGAAATAACTTCGAAGATATGTGAAGTCGGCCAATGGGTTGGCCGTGGTGGACTATGCCAATACCCTCTGCACAGAGGAGGCCTTTGCCCAGTAGTAGGACATATATATTTCGTTTATGTTAGAAGGTGGCAAGTGAGCAGCCGTTTCACTTGATGTTAGGATAACCACCGCACACTGACATTTGCAACACCCGTAGAGCTGCAGAAACGTTGGCACTTCATAATAAAGTGGGCCCCGGCTACCTCACTCACCAGACGAATCGCAGAAGCATAACAATTCCACGTCACGCCGGTGAGGTCGCGGTACTCACCCCGGCGGAACTGCCCGTTCGTGCAACAGCGAAGACTGTTGCGTGGTCCTAGAATAAAATATTAGGCCGTTGCTTTACTTTGCACTTTTCCACCAGCTCTACGAGTACAACGACCTGAGCGACATTGGGAGGATCGATTGGCACATGCCGCAGCGCATCCAGACCCTGAAGGGCGTCGCTTGGCGGATGCAAGACAGCACCCTGACCAGCAAGGAGGCCATGGTGAGGATGCAGGGCACCTTGCGCGATGGCTACAGGAGAGGCATCATCGATATAAAGGTGAGCAAGAAACCATGGACTCTCGATGTATCAATTCAAATTGAAATTCCTTTATTTTCCGAAATATGTACATATTAGTATATATGATAATGTGAATACAAATTAAGCCGCATTGCCACACAAATGTTTCTTAATTTATAGCTTAGAAAAGACTTATCTTCATTTAAAATTGTACATTATATCAACATAAGAAAAAATTGAAAAAAAAAACAAAATTTTACAATTACATATAGGTATGATACACCAGTATTTTTAAATGATGACAGTTATAAAACTAATATCTTCTAATAAAAGCCATAATAATAAAACGACCTACTGTTCCATTTGTATGAAACATGCTTCCTTGATGTATGACTAATTGTCACACCATCTAATAGTTATTCGCTAATTTGGCTCTATTTATTAAATAAATTAGGGATGTTGAAAAGGCCTCGATATACCAGAGAGAAAATTTCGATATATCGAAAAATCGGATGTGAGTCCTAGAAACACCTTTGATTTCCGATGATGAATATTTTGTTATCGATATGCGGCTACGCCCGTGCGGCCAAAGGGAATTAACAATGATTTTTTTAGTTTACACCAGAATATCTCGCAAATGGCTGAATGTTTTCCTACTTAGTTGACACTTATCATTACCTATATTTTGGACAATTCACACAATATCTTTATAAATTATAGCCTATGAGTTATTCTGTTGGATAAGCTATATTATTGTAAAGTTTCATTAAAATCTATTCAATAGTATTTGCGTGAAAGGGTAACGAACATCCATCCATACATACAAACTTCCTCATTTATAATATTATAAGTAAGGATAGTAAAGATATAGGAGCGAAACTATCGATATATCGACGTTTTCTCGACACCCCTAAAGCACTACACCTGACCAATCTCAGCTGGACATGCTCCCGTACCGCGACTCCGCCGCGCAGCTGCCGCACCTCATCCACACGGCGAACTCCACGTCGGTAGACGTGAGCCTGGTGAACGTCACCACGTCGCGCCACTACAACTCGTCGCGGTTCGCCCTTCGCGTGTTGCTCGCCAGCACGGACCCCAGCGGCGGCAGCATGCGCACCGTCACCAGGAAGAGCCTGGACGACGAGCACACGCCCGGCGTTTTCGAGGTGAGGGCTAGACCTTGAAAGTGGCACCGGTCACTGACAAGATAAAGAGTGTGTGGTTAGGGCATATTATGATGATGGACGAAAGCCAAAACCTGAAGGGTGATGAATGTGCTTTTGAAAATTGATTTTTCACAAGTTTTCGCCCGCGGCTTCGTTCCCGTTGAACTCCGTAAACAAATGTCTTTCTTTAAAAACTATATATATATTGAAAGAAAGATATTTTCAACCCTTTACAACACTTTTTTCTAATTAAAAAATAGCCTATGTCCATTCTCAAGCTCTAGACTTCTCTTCAATCTGTGTACTAAATTTCATTTAAATCGGTTTAGTATTTTTATCGTGAAAGCGAGACAGACTGACATAGTTCTTTCGCATTTATAATATTAGTATGGATTTATTTATTGAGGTTAACCAGCAGTTGTTACACCCATACAATTTGTATCAACAGTACAGTAATTATAAACGAAAAAAGTGTTCAACTATTTTAAGGTAAACACAACATTCATAAATAATGTGTTGAAAAAAAATTATAAAATAATAAAAGCATGTTTACATGGTATGGGCACATTATAAGAAGGGACGAAAGCCATATGACTTTAGGAGTGATGAATGTGGTTATCACTTTATCTAGATTTCGTAGAATAAGTAAATTTTGTATGGGAGAATGTATACATTTTTACAAATCTTAGAAAACATTACAAATGAATCAGTTGCTGAATTAAAAAATGATAACATACTCTGGAAATGAATTGATCGCTTCAGTCTCTTTCAAGTGGAATTGAATATATTACATACATTTTTGTTATGGTTATATAGTATACATTTTTGTTATGTTCGAAAAAAATTATTTATAAAAAAATATTTTATTTATTTATTTGTCCGAGATATTTGGCCGCACAGGTCGTCGATTCAGATCTGAAAAGTCACCTGTCACCCTGTTTTGTATGGCGAACATTGCTGAAAGATACGACAGTGATAGTGGTTTCTTTTAATTAATAATGATAGGTTTAAAAATATGGCACCATTAATAATTTCAGCAAAGATATGGAACTCTATTAGCGATCTAGTGAAACTAAAACCAGACACTACACCATCATAGCTAGGTGGGCAGAGTAACATAATATTGACTTCGAGTTGCAGCCTGTTAGGTGGTAGAATCTTAATGGCGCCAAACAAGCCTATATCCGACCGTATCATTTCATTTATTTATTTATTTATTTATGTTTTATTGCAAAATCTTAAAAAAAACGATTACAAAAGGCGGACTTAATGCCATTTGGGCATTCTCTCCCAGTCAACCCGGGACCATCTTTAACTCGGAATGTGTTGTTATCGAGCATTGATGATTTAATTTTAACAGATAATCGAGATAAAAACGCCCGAGTCCTTCGAGAACAACGCCGGGGGCTTCGTCCAGTTCAGGCCGATCGCTTACACGCAGAGCGAGCGCGGCGTTGCCAGCTCGACCGTGGCACACATCACGGACTTGGAAAGGTCAGCACCTCTACCATCACATTTCCCTCCTACCTACATTAAATAAATAAATATATTAGGACATTCAACATTCTCTAGTCCCAAATTAAGTAAAGCTTGTACTATGGGTACTAGGTTACTGATAAACATACTTGAACATACTTTTCTTTTGTAAATAATTACGTATTACTAGCATTATCTGTCTTTGTCTCCACCACTATCGTCCACTCTGCTCCCTCCTACTGTCATCACTTTCACCACCATAATCTCTCACCATACTGCTTCAAACCTTATCGATTCCAGTTTTGTCCCAATAACTCCTATGACTCAACTCCTCCGTACCTCCATGTCAGGTGTTGTACATGTCAATGGGCCGCGGTTATCACATAACATCAGGTGAACCGCCAGCTCGCTTGCCATTACGTTTACCCCTTTGTCCTGGTAATAAATTATATTTAACACTCATTCTTCAAATGTACATATTATGTAGTATGTGCTACAGCAAATATTTGATATTAGTTGAACCAAAAAAAATATTCCATAAGTCAATTGGTAAACAGCCTAGACATTGAAAAGAGATTAAGTGCATTTGTTTCATTCAATCGCAATAATAATCCTAATATAGCCCTTGGGATACTTTTCAATCCAAGAGCAATTAATGCATCACACCCAGACGTTTGGATGTGAGAGAAGGCTAATTGGTGTGCAAGTGCAAGGAAGTGAAATTTTTTAAGGCGGCGGTTCCGACTCGACTGGTCCTACTCAACTGGACGTATCAAAGTGGATTAAGTGTGGTAGGGCCTCACAATCAGTTCGGTTACCACCTTCTCACATATCAAAGAAAGACGCCGCGGGTGAAAGATAGTAGTCTCGTCTCATTCATTCGCTCTCATTGACAGGTCATTCACAATCGGCTACGGCTCTCCACCCATGGAAAGCTTTTCTTCACTGGTGATAGCCATAATATCGGTGGGGCTCGGCGTGCCAGTAGTGCTGGCGATGTCGGGGGTGGTCTACGTGCTACTGAGGAGGCGCCGACAGCGGAACACCCCGGCACGGCTCACCGAGGAGGACTGACTCCCCTGAGCCACCGGAGACTGTCATCGAGTTTCCATAAGCAAAGTAGGGAAAACATTGATGTCAATGGCGACTCACTCCACTCAGCCACTGCAGAAGCTATGACTGAGCAAATAGGTCATTCCTTAAGCACAGAATTGAACGGGAATGAAACAGGTATTGAAATTTCTTAATTCACACTAAAGAGCAGACTTTAATCTTCGATTGATCCCCATTAAAGTGAATGCTGCTGACTTGTGTCAGCAATTGGAAATGCTGCAATTTCATATTCCTGTTTCCAAATATAAACTATCTAAGGTATTTAAAATTACAGTCACAATACCGAATATCTAGGTAACCATTACGTTGCCAATATAAATATAATGAATCCTTTTGCCCTATAGCTAGTGTTGCTATCTTGTTGTTGTTGTTGTCTATTTCACTATATATGTACACAAATTATTCCAAAAAATATGACATTAGATATTATAAAAAATACAATCTGAAGTTGACCTATGTGTGATAACTTGTTCAAACTAATTGTTGAATGTTTAGTTGTTAAGAAAATATACATAAATTATAATCTAATTTATATTATGACAAATATGATTTGATTTATCTTTATAATATTCAGTTTTTTTTATATCTCCTCTATTGCTTATCATGTCTCTTTTTTATTTTAATACCTTTTTTGCCTTATTTAATCAGTTTATTGTGAAGACATTTAATTCAGACTTTTATTTTTAAAATACACTAACCAAACTTCACATTAAACACATAACATATTGCCAATAAGAAATTAAAGTATGCAATAAAGCTTTAAAAATATTATTATATCATATGCTTATTTAAAGTATACCAATATTGATCTTATGGTAAAAAAAGTATGTCTAGATCAAAGCAGTATCTCATAACTATAGGGTTATTTAAAAATTATTGGTTAAAACTTTCAATTAAAAAAATTGATTTATTTTCTTGTTATTGAGTATGATAAAAAAAAGAATTACTATAATGAGCTGCATTGGATCATCAGATGCTTGGACAGTAATTATTCTTTATAATTAATTACTATACGATGTGCGGTGGTAATGAAATGGTTGATAATTAAATAATCAATCAATGTGACAGTTTTGTTTCATGCTCATTTTTACATACTGCACAACAAACATTACATTTAATGACTTATATGATCAGTTTCAGAGTGGCGAAAATGTCTTTACGTTGCTATATAAAATACCAACCAGCTTCTCTAAAAGACCACATGGACCGCTTATCAATTCATAACTTTGGTTATGAACTTTCAGCATGAAAATGTATAACAAAATGTGTGTATATTTCTAAAAGATGTGACATGCGCAAAATTATTCTAATTTAGTGTTGCATGCTTTTTATTTGAAGTATTATATTTCTTGATACCATCTTAAACTATAAAATATCTTATAGATTGATCTTGTTCACGGACACTTATCAGAGATATTTTAGCTAGACTTTACAATTATATAATGTTGCCTATTGACCCACGACGAGCCGTGATAGCTCAGTGTCGGGCGCTCGCCTTTAATTCAATATACTCGAGCAACCTGAGTTCGATCCCCCGTGCCGGTACCAATGAAGTTTTTAACTTTAAGTGCTGACTTATCACGTGCTCCGCGGTGAAGGAAAACATCGTGAGGAAACCTGCATATTTTAGAAATAACAAAAAATATATATATATTTCGAATACACATACATCACCTGATACCTTCTGTAAAGAGGAGGCCTTTGCCCAGCAGTGGGACATGTATAGGCTGTTACTTTACTTTTTTTTATTGACCCAGAATTAAAAACAAACTAGTAACCATTTCTTATGTACTTGTAACACACATATTTAAATAATGTCACAAGGTTTTTTTAATGCATAAAAAATTACCAGCAGGCAGTTACCCCGATGTTAAGTTATTATTGCCACCCATGGACTCACTCACCAGAGGAAAAGAAATGCAAAAGTAGTGACTCACACCGGTATTGTCTTGAAGAAAGTTTACCTTTAATCTTTACTATCAAAAGCTCACACTTCATATCTGCAACTGGCTTCTCTCGAAGTACCTATTCTCTTCTCTAACAATACGTAACCTCTATAATTTAATGGATGACAAATTGTGCAAGTGTCTTGTATTTGTGATTGATTTTTAATCCAATGGCATGTTAACAATCACCATTTTGCATTATAAGAATGTTAGAAATGTTACATATTATTCACTAGGCGGTACATGAAACAATAATTCATAATTTGTTTGGCGCTTTTGTTTTGTTCAATTGCAACATCTTTTGAAACTGATGGATGCTCATGTGAAATGTTTTAGACCAATTTGTAAATATTGTTTTTTTTTGTAAGATTTTGTTTTTAGTTTTGTAACATTTTTCAGCTGCACTCAGAGGTTTCAATTGGCGCTTCACTCGCATTTAATTGGATAACTTACTTTATTTTAAAGTTTTATTATAGAAATTCACCTGACAAACTAATTTAATGTTAGTTAAGCATTTGATGTCTCTCAGTGCTATTGTTTGATATTTGTTTCTGATGTGATATTATTTTGAATTTCTGATTGTAGTGCTTATGAAAAAAATATAATAAATATTATTTTATCATCTATTTTTGTTTTATTAGCAATAAAATCCTAGAATTTACCCCATGAGACAATTACTGGTACTGTTAGTTAATATTTTTTTTAACTAACATTTTTCCTAAGTTAATAAAAACTGAAAACTTGATGATCTGAGAAAATAAGATAAAATTAATCATAATAAAATGGTAGTCAAACTTAAAAAAAGATAAAAATGTCAGTCTTTTTCTAACCTGAAACTATACTATATAAACAAATATTTTACTAAATAGGGACCCGTGATACACCATTCTCGTCTATTAGTCATTACTAACCAATATGATGATTCGTAAAATGAAACGCCAAAAACTGGACGGTGGAACATTTTTCAATAATTTTGTAATAATCAATGCGGAGTCACATGTGGTTTCGACGTGCAATTTCAACCGCTGTGGGCAAGAGACGCGACCTAACCACAATGTACCGAGTTCAAGTGAGACACTCGAGAATGGCGCGGCGGTCGAACTTGAAGTTTGCCCACGACGGCGCGACAAAGTCGAACGGCTGCTCCCCGGCTGATTGCGGCGTGGGGTCTCTTCTTGCGGGCGACGAGTTTGTCGCGTTCCTTCGCACGGGCGACGAGTTTGTCGCGTCCCTGCGTACGGGCGACGGGTTCGTCGCGTGCGCGTTCTGCGGCGTGAACAGCTGCCGCTTCGCCTGCCTCCTCTCCTTCCTGCAGCCGGCCGCGTTCGTCGCCGCCGGCGCCTTCTGGCCGCTCCTGGAGCGGTGCTCGCTCTGGTAGTCCGCGATCTCGTTCTGCAGCCCCTGCGAGTAGGAATGGCGAAAGTGAGCAACTATATCGATATTTATAAAATACCAATATGTATATATTCTCCTTGACTCCCAGAAACCCCGTCGTGCAAAAAAGACATTTTTTTATGTGAGAAAGTGGCAAACGAGCAAGATCATCTGATTGTGTCTGTTCATGTTAAGTGATAACCGCCGCCCATTGACATTTGTAACACCCGTGGGGTTGCAAACGGGTTGCCACTTTTTAATAAAGTGGGCCCTGGCTACCTCACTCACCAGATGAGATTGTGGTACTTATCTGGAAGTACCCTGCCCATACCCAATGTTCACTGTTGCATGGTCCTACCAAGGTAAGGTACCTACAGTAACGTGTGAGTATTAAATATTTGACACCTATGGACTCTGTGCTAGATTCGAATATGAAATAAATCGTTTTTGATACGATTTTCGATATTGAATATTTTGTATCCATATATCGGCTGAAAATATCGAAATAATTTTAAACATCCCCACCTGCGAGATGCGCTGCCTGCTCCTGCAGGTGGACGACTCGATCTCGCCCATGGACTTGTGCCTGGCGCGCCTGGTGCCCTGCCTCTGCGCCCGCTCGGCCACCCAGCGCCGCATCCGCTTCACGAACGGCAGCACCATGAAGAAGGCGTTGGGGCTGACGCCCATCTTCACCTTGGGCGTCATGTCCTTCCTGTTGGAGGGCAGGTCCGCCAGCGGGAACCACTCGCACGCCTTTATCTCGTTCCTGGTACGAGGCTGGAACTTGGTGTCGAGCGGTATGTCGCCGATTATGTACAGCCTGACTATCTGGTCGTGGATCATTGCCTCGATGTAGTCGTTCTTGTTTATCAGCTTGCTTATGTCGAAGCCGGTCTCCTCCAGCACCTGAGCATTTGATGTAATTTATGTTATTTAGTGAACAGATTTTTATATAGTCGTATTCGGTTTAACCCATATTCGGCGCGACTCTAGAATAGATTCATTCGATACTGTTCGCGAAAACAAGAAGATTTAGGATCACTGCGTTTCTGCGATTGCATGTTAAAATACACTGTATGGGATGATATTCAGGGACTATGACCATTCTCCGTAAAATCCATATAATGAAAATTTTAGTACTCGCCTCTCTAGCAGCACATTTCCAAGGTTCTTCATCCTCGTTAACTTTGCCTTTTGGGAAACCCCATGAGGCTTTTGTCCAGTACGACTGCACCAGAAGCACATGAGTCAAATCCGTGTTGAGCAGAATAGCCCCATATGTTGGTACTGTTTGTTTATATTCCCGCCAATTGTCCAGGACTGCATCCAGGCTGCTCACATGTTCCCTCAATTGTGGGACATGCTGAAAATAAAAAATGAAAAAAATGGCGAATCAGGTGTAGCGATTCTATATGATGGATCCTGGAAAGGCCCTGCGTTGTATATGATTAGGGGAGAATAATTTTAATAAATATTATACAGGTCAACAATTTCATATAATACAACCAAACAAAATTGACTTAATTTGTTAAATTATGCTGGCATAAATTTTCATGTTCAAGTCATAAAAGGTCTATAGCCTTTTCATAATTCCCATAATTCTTCCGCCAGGAAAGCATGATTTACAGGCAGGAGAAAGGTGAAGAAGAATTGATTGATTGAAGTAATGATTGTCAGCTTTTAAAATTGACTTCATTCTTCATGATATTTTTTGCGGCCGTTGTAGTTTTGGACAATGAATCATGATAAATTGATTTAGACATCTTAAAGTTATAAAGAATACCTGAAAAATATGCGCAGCAAATTCTCGTATACCACATGGATTGAGCCTGTTTGATTCATCGGTACAATAATAGTCTAAATAAAACCAATGTGCAAGCTCTATTTGAAAACATATCCGGACCAAATTCCCTCTGTCTTCTGGTGGCAAATTTATTATAAAGCGACTGGAAAGATATAAACACAAATGCTATTAAGATAACAAGATTTATATTTCATAAAAATTGTGTAAACTTTATACAGCGTGTCGTTACCATCGCGATAATAAATGAACACACACATATAGGGGATAACTTTTTAAAGTTGTATTAAACATTTAAATTCTTTAAACATCAATATTAACAGAGTTATTAAATTTTCCAAAACAAAGAATTTTAGAACAGCCTTACCTATAAAAGCGTAACGTAAAGTTCATTTGTAAAGGTCACAAAGCATATGAATGGGTTGAATGAATTTAAAAGAGACAAAACATACTGTTAGAAGGAGAGGCTTGTAATGCGACGCTGTGGCGAGAGTTGTATAGGATGTTACAAATTTTGTTTCTTTTTTACTTAATTAGTTTGTTTGAAAAATTTTTTTTTTAATTATATATTTTTTAACATCCTATACAACAAATGACTGATTCATACATTCAGAGACTTCTTCATTCGTTGCCACAACGTCGCATTACAAGTCTCTCCTTCTAACAGTATTATTTATTTCTTTTAAATTCATTCATATGCTTTGTGACCTTTACAAATGAACTCTACGTTACAGTTATATATACGTAAGGGTGTTTTAAAAATGCTTATTTTGTAAAATTTAATAACTCGGTAAATATTGATGTTTCAAGAATGTAAATACTTAATACAATTTTAAGAAGTTATCCTCTATATGTATGTGCATTTATTGTCGTGGTTGTAACAACACACTGTATATATAGGGTAATTTTTACAAATATTAATGAAAAATTATGTCAGAACAATATTTATATACTATTATTTGATAAGCAATGATTTTGCAAGAAATTTTGAAAGTTGAAAAGTGATATGCACATGTGCCTAGCCAGAGGGGGTAATGGTTCCAAACCACCACTCAGAATACATGTAACAATAATATTTAATAAACATATTTTTAAATTAGATTGTCAATTGACTCAGACACATGAACAGAATTTATTTGGGTACATTTAATCGAAAGTCCAAATGAATGTAGCCTTTTGTAACGCTAAATATATATAATAAATATAAGTTATTTCCCTGTAAGGTTTAACATAGTATATTTATTCTTCAATATTACTATTATTATATGCATATTTTAGTTCTTTTATTTTCACAAACATCTCCAAAATCTGACTATATTCATGGATAAGCAGTGTAAAAAAATAATGAACATTTTATTTATTTCAGTTTTGTCAGAAAGTGAACATCTATGTTCCCCAGTGAATGGCATGTATTACTTATTATAACAAAAAGTAACAGCCTATACATGTCCCACCGCTGGGCAAAGGCCTCCTCATTTTCGAAATAATAACTTATTATAACAATATAAATTGTATAAAACACTACTTGGTGTACAGCAAACCCAATTTAAGAACATAACGGGCAGGTCCGTCTGGGACAAGTAGAAATGTTACACTTCTGCATTTCATCTAGGGAGGTAGCCGGGGTCACCACTTTATTAAAAGGTGGCAACGCATCTGCATCCCAACGGGTGTTGTAAATGTCCAGGAGCGCCGGCTCGTTTGCCACTTTCTCACATAAAAAAATACTATATATTTATTGTTTTCTAGTTAGCTATAGTTTTAGAAATAGAGATTTATTGAGATTTTAAATTTTATGCGGAACATAACCAACCTGCATAAATCGTCCAGAATATCAATTGGTATAGAATGTTTGTTCTGATGAACATTTCCCGTTGATGCCATGATTTTATACTGTATATAAATATTACAGTTATCAAAACAAATTTCAGTTGTTAAACATCGAAAATTTAGGATGGTTAATCTTGGAGGTAACGTTTTATTATTTTAAGTACGATGCGTAATTGCGTATATGCTATACATATGCTTAATTATTTATTAATTTTAAAATTAATATATTTATTACCGGATTGAAAAATCCACAGATCAAAAACTCAAAAAGTAATAAATGTCAACTAATGAAAATCAACAAAAAATTAAAAATAAAGAAAGCAATGATCTGGAATCGAAAAAAAAGTAAAAAAATAAATGTGTAAATGATCGTGACGCGAACCACGGCCGTCTGTTTTGGGGCCGCCCGATTACCGACCGAGCTATTTTGACATTTTCTCTTGCGGCGAAATTTACCGTCATATTCGAATTATATTTTTCATTCCCTGAAAACAGGGATAAAAGGACATTTTCTAAAAATGAAACCTAGCTAGATCGATTTTTCGCCCCCAAATCTATGCACATACTAAATTTCATGAAAATCGCTGGAGCCGTTTCCGAGATTCCGATTATATATATATATATATATATAATCGGAATTGCTCGTTTAAAGGATAAGATACAGGAGTTATGTCAGATAGCTAGACATGTTACATTTTCAAACGATTTTTACGGAATCAATCAATTATGACAAAATTCAGTCTGAAGAAATAAAATTAACATTCCAAATTTAAAGTAATTCAAACATAATACATAAATCAAATAGTACTTAAAGAGAGTATATCAAAAGAGTATGTATAGTCTGAGATTACCAATCAACACATGCCACTAGTGGTGGGCGATACATATCGTATCAGATATGAAAACTAGATATTAGTACAATATCCGAATATCGCTTACTGGCTCGTTCAATATCTATGTATTTTACAATATCTGATATTTCCGAAATCTGATGTAACGTGCTCGCTCGCTATACCGACACGAATCGCGATATCATACGCGTTTGCCACAATATCTGATTTTTAAACAGATTTCGAGAGACAAAGCGCGTGAGATACAAATACTCACTAGTTAGAGCGGGACGGCAAGCAATGCACGATATCAGATTTTTAAACAGATATTTTGAATAAGTTAAGTAATTTTGAATCTTAACACCATGCAAATAAGATCCGTTTCAATTAAATACTAATCATGGTATCAACGATTACTACAACGATATTATTAAGTATATTTTATTGTTTTGTTTAGCCTTGAGCCGTAACGGCGACAAAGCGCGCAGTTAAGTAATTTTGAATCTTAACAGCATAGAAAAAAACATTTTTAGTTGCATTTAAATACGAATTACGGTATTAACGATGTCTTTAAATTTTGTTTAACCTTGAGCTGGATTGCATTGGTACATATCACGTAATAGTAAGGGATGCCAACTTACTACCGTAAAACGGGGTTAAAAGAAACAATATGGACTTTCGAATGCAAATTAACTATATAAAAACAATGTTTATGGTATTAAATCTGCTTTGATCTTGGGAGTCTTACTATAAATTATAACCTTATTTGTTTAAAAATGGTAAATTATTTGAACCTTGTGAAAAAAACTCCAAAAACAGGCCAATTTCCATTTGCGCGGAATATGGGGTTAATAGATACGGCATATGGGGTTAATAGAAAAAAATTACAGGGTTGTCAAAATATTATGCTCTAATACTATGACGGCATTTTATTTAATATAAAGTATTATATATATATATATATATATATATATATATATATATAGTAGAGAATAATAATATAGTAGAGGAGAAACCTAATTGAGAAACTCAATTACATATATATAAAATTGGATGAGAAATGATTGAGAAATATGGTTGTAAGAAAAACTTTATTTAAACGCTAAAAGAACATCAAACAAAAACATCAACAAACAAACTGAGCATAATGTTATCATTTATACAGTAAATCAATAAACTATTACGAAATAAACACACATATATAATAATCAAATCACAACAGTTTTTTTGAATTCTCCCAAAATATTGCTTTATGCGTTGTTTTCTAGGACGTCCATCAGCATTACAAGCAAGAGCGGAAAACTTCCTTTCGGAATACTTGCTTGTTGTCGACCATCTGTTTTTTTTTCCACTAGCACAATATATTTCGCCAAGCAGTTTTCATCGGTTTAAAAAATGCTACATCCAATGGCTGAGTAATGGGCGTTGTGTTAGCTGGCAGAAATATGAAATGTATTTTTTTATTTTATGACACAATTTTGCAGTCCAAGTATCATATATATGCTGCGCCTTGTACACAACATAAGGATACAATAGTTCTCCCTCTGCTGTGCACGCGATCATGATAGAATAGGCAGACTTGGAGTGGTTCATCACTCGTTCCGCATATTTTACGCCTTTTTTTGTGATTATTTTTTTACGGTCAGGGTCAGTCATCAGAAGGGTTGGTTTCGTCGTAATTAATGATGTTGCACATCGATACACCATTCAGTGATATTTCCAATTCTTCAAAATAATTTTTTATAATTTCCGGTGAAACAGCAGATCTATTTCACGTGGCATATTTCAGTCAGTTTACCTGCATATGAAATAAAAAAAAATAAATATAGTTACATACTTGAAACATTTTATATATTTCTACACTTATGAAATTTAGTTTTCCGGCTATTTTTGGGACGTAGTGCAGAATGAAATATTGAAAAAATCTTAATAATTTAATTATATATTTAGGTAGGGATTTTTCTAATTAACATAAGAACCCGACTGTGTTCTTTACACTTGCCGACATGAAATCAAAGTAAGTGAAAACCCTAACCAAACTAGTTCTAAAAACCCCCTTGGCGTTTCTATTTAGACCTTCCTCGTTTCCATTCTCCCCTTTCCCGTTTCCATTAACCCCATAGGCCGTTTCTATTTACCCCTCAGTCGTCTCTATCCACCTCTAAATTGAAGAATATTTAAGTGTGTTGAGTTTTTATACAAAATATATTAATAATCATACTAATCAGAACAACTTACCTTTAGAGATTGTACACGGTGAAATTCACCATTAGACAAATTAATTTTTTGTTCGAAAGAACTTATTATCTTTTTTTATAAAAGAAGTTAGAAAGAACGTAAAATCACACAAAAAAACCGTTGTCGTTTGAAGTCGATTTTTCAAATATGTTGCTAACTTTAACCTCTCCAAGTGTTGTCAGACAAAAGAAAATATGTTGCCATTTAAAAACAAATACAAATAATTGAGATTTCTGTAGTACTTTTTGAATCACGGGGTTTTAGAAATTTTCCTAAAAATATTTCTATTCACCCCGTAAATTCTATTCACCCCGTTTTACGGTACTTAAGAATTTTCTGCCTAAATTAAGGAAGAAAAATTTAAATGGAAATTTTTTAGGAGGTAAATTTTTTGTGAATATTTTTATTCGTTAAATTTTATTCATATTTTTGGAAAAAAAATAAAACTACACAAAAAGAAAAAATATAATTTAATAGTGCTGTGCTGCTTGGGTGGAAATCAGACCAAGGCTTATGTGCTTTGTGTGTATATTTTAAATTCTTCCGCCCTAAGTTATAATACTGAATGTATTATTTCTTACATAAATTATAAAAATATTTTCACTCATGATTGCGTGTTGTAAGAATATGTTAAACTCAATTATTTTAAGCGATATATAAGATGTTGAAATAAATCATTTTTATATTACTTCAATTTCTATTTTTAATGAAATTTATTTTTTTATTATTATTATTTTTTTTTTAGAATTCAAGGTGGATACGGGACCGTAAAATATCTAGATATTAAAATACATAGTTTCGAAATCTGATATTTGAAATCGAAATCTGATTCAGATACGGTACTCAGAAAAAGCGATACGACCCATCTCTACATGCCACGATTCTAGGACCCTTGAGATGGATATTTGAAATTCGAATCTCTGCTTCGATTGCCATCGACAATTTACTAAATAATAATTACTGAGCCAGCGAACGATGCGGTTGAGATCGGTTACAAGTTTAAGGAACCTTACAACAAGTTTGGATCGCGCGTGTTAATCTATCGTATGGTTGGTTCGTGTGGGTATCGCGCGTGTTAATGGATCTCGGTTGCAAGGAATGACAGGGTGCGGGATAGATTCTGATTGTACTGCCTCATGGTCCACATACTCTTTAATCGTCACTCTGAGGAATTCAAGAAGGTCAGTCACTTGGGTTTACTTTAGTTCAACGTCGCGAAGTCTTTCGTTAAAGCTTATAAGCTCATTTTATATGCTCCACTCACTAAAAATGCCAAAAAGACTCGAAAAGGCCGAGAGGGACCAAATTGACACAGGAGCTCAGAGGATTATCAATACATGTTCACACCTTCTGAAAGAGTTCCGAAATGATAATAGAAAACTGTCTGTCTCACAGCAAATGAGAGAATACATGGATGCTGTTATTGACTTAATAGATGCATATCTAAAAGCTGTTTGCAAAATACACAGTGAACTAAAAGCTTTGAGGGTGAAACGAGCCCTTGATATACGAAAACTGTCTCGTCTGGAACCTCCACAAGCCAAATCTATAATTGTGAATCCTTTTATTAGTGAGAAGTCCTTTGACAGTGACGAAGAAGATGAAATTGAAACTGAAAGCTCACAGATTGAAGAAAGTGATTTGCCAAAGACTAAAATGTCATTGTCAGAAAGTGAAGTAGCAGTAATGTCTGATGAAGGAGAGTTAAGCGCTGAAGAGCTACAGATGTTTGAATCAGAGAATATACAACTCTTAAATGAATTGAACAGCATGACCGAAGAAGTCAAGCAAATCGAAAGCAAAGTACTACATATTGCAGAATTGCAGGAAATATTTACAGAAAAGGTAATATTTTATAGGTAATGTTTTCTATGTCTAGCAGACTACCTGATGTCAACCTTATTTGCATATAAACAACCAGATCCCTTATTTGTAATTATATACAAAGATAAGTCTGCTTAAACAATGAAAAATGTCATTAATTTTATCTTTCAGATTCTACAGCAAGAACAAGACATAGATAGAATATCAAATACTGTTGTAGGAGCTACAGAAAATGTAAAAGATGCAAATGAACAAATTAAGCAAGCTATTCAAAGGAATGCTGGACTAAGAGTGTATATTCTTTTTTTTTTGCTTGTGATGTCATTCACCCTTCTATTTTTAGATTGGTATAATGAATAAAGATCAATAATAAATAAAATCAGTATAATATTTAAGACTTCCTTCCCTATTTAAGATGTTTTGTTTTGCATGTCAATAGGTGTATGCTGTAATATTGTTTATATTTAAAATACAAAGTTATTTTATGACCTGTAATACCGTCCATTATTTAACCACCATTTTAGCATATAATTGAAACAATTTATAAATTTACATTGAGCCCAGGTTTATAATGTCTTTGCTTTTGTATTTTTCAGATTCACTAATTTTGTAGTTTAACTGATTTTCACAGAGGGCTACTAATAACAGCGTATGAGGTGCTCGGTCCCAGTGAGCCCACTCATATCCTATAAGCTCCTTCCCGGCGTTTGAGCATAGTATTGGGTCATAAAATGCCGCGCCCAATTCAAATCGTGGTCCCTTATGACACTGTCTCTAACCATCTTCCAATTTTAATTAACGTGGGTTTTGTTATATACTCTCTGGTTTCGGGGAGCCCTAAATTCAGCATTGACTGGGTGGCCTACTGATAGCTATGGCTGACCTTAAAGACGGTGAGCCTATCTCAACGGATCAAACAGGATCTACGACCTGAGAAATCCAGCTGGAGTGATTTTCTGCCTTCTGATTTTACGACTCATCATCACCGTGCCAGCAGCGTCGTGACCAACTGAGAAAGTCGGATGCGTTCACGCGTGAGATAACTTCGAACAATATATAGTAGCATTTATAACATATTAAGCTTTACAACTCGTTTTTTTTTTTTTAACGTAAAAAGGGTCGGCGCGTAAACGACTGCTATCGTTATTTAATTGTTGGCGCCACTCTATTAACTTATTGTTCTCTAGATTTGCGCCACTTCTGAGGCAATTACTTATTCATTATTTTCGGTAATCACTTAGTTCATGAGGCAAAACAAATAGTTTGTAGTGTAATGTAACGTCTTTATTCTTACATTTTGTGTTTTACTTTAATATTGCATTGTATAACGGAATAAGATAAATTTAAATTAATGTATTTGCTTAAGATAATCATATAAGGATAAAATAATGTTGAATTATATAACGAAAATCTAAGTATATAATAATACGTGAAGCGAAAACTTTGTACCCCTTCTAACGAAAATTGCGCGGACGGAGGAGTATGAAGAAATTCCGTCAGAGGCGACTAACGGATAAGCCACAAACCAAACATCTGGTGGCCTCCGATAAATGTCAGTATAATATCCAGACCAATAACGGGCAGCTGCATAAAGGGGTGAGGTGTGAGGCGTTCGGAAGAACTGCGGTAGTCAATCCGCTTGCCAAGCGTGGCAACTATGGTTAAAACAGGGTTTTTTTCTTTTATGAGGGCATGAATGGAAGTCCAAAATGTGCGGACCCCAGTCCCCGTCGGGCCTGCTATTTTTGGCTACGGTGGCTGTCATGGTAACGGTAGGGGGCAGGGAGTGTTAAGAATTAGTCCCGATAGTACAGCTCCAGATTTGAAGGTCTGGAGCTACGAAGGACCGGGGCGCCATAAACCTATCCGTATCATATATATCCGAACACAACAACTTAGCAAGCTTTGAGGGCAACACGAGACCACTTCGTGTCACCGCCCCATTCGCGTTTACTTCAATGGATGACCAGGCCCCAATCCGATCATAAATGGACCCAGTGTAGGGAACACTGGGTTCTGGTTCAGTCGCCTTTTACCGACAGGTAGGGGATTCTTGTGGTAGGACCACACATCAGCTATTACTCGGATAGCCAAACCCATCCGGGGAAGTACCACAGTACTAATATAGAAAATTTTGGTTGAAATCGGATTCTTTGTTGAATTAGTGTTTTGGGTGATGTAATAACGCATATTGGAGAAGAAAAAATAGACCATCATTATTAACAAATCGTAATCAATTTATATTAACTTACATGTATAATGCGAAATTTTATATGCTCGTACTTGATAGATCTTTAATTATACGTTATCTTGACTGGTTCAAAGAGATCCCTACAACACTTACTATACCTATATTCATTAACGTCATTGGCGAATTCAACTGTATATTTAAGGCTTAAGCCGTAACCAGCCGTAACATTCATACAGAAAGATAGATAAACATAAAAATATGTACCTACCTATATAAATTATAGCCTATGCGTTATTCTGATGTATGAGCTATATTATTGTAAAGTTTCATTAAAATCCATTCAGTAGTATTTGCGTGAAAGAGTAACAAACATCCATACATACATAATACAAACTTTCGCGTTTGTAATACTAGCTGCTGCCCGCGACTACGTCTGCGTAGAATTAGGCTGAAGGCGTAACATTCAGACAGAAAGACAGATATACATAAAAATATATTAATATAAATTATAGCCTATGTGTTATTCTGATGTAAGCTATATTATTGTGAAGTTTCATTAAAATCCATTCAGTAGTATTTGCGTGAAAGAGTATCAAACATCCATCCATAAATACAAACTTTCGCCTTTATAATTTACTAGTACTTTAGTAGGTACTAAGGATTAAGTAAGGAAGTAAGGATTTTTAAGACGGTTAACGTTGACAGAAGATTAGAGAGATTAGAGACTAACTAGAACTAATTCGATCGATCATTCCACGGCGAAAAGTGAATTTAACCATACAATTTAATTTAAACTTTCGTTATTATACGATAACTTAACTGCTGCAATTCTTCTTTGGAGTATGCAGCTAAAAACATAATTTTATACCTCTTATATTACAATTGTACTTTTAAATAATGGAAGTGTACCTACTGTTAGTCTCTCTGGTAGCATTATTTTTAAGATTAAATAGTTCAGGTGGATGCACGGTCAGCAAGCGGATGATTTGTGATTGTGAAGTAATCAATAAGTCCACTCCTATCAGTCCCATCCGTATTGATTACTCTCCGAGGGCGCATGCTTCTAGTCTAGTAGTACCTCCAGTTTGTAGCAGATCAGTTCGTTCGTTAAAGCGTTTCCTGTACACTAATAATAAATCGAAGTTTGAGTTTGATATCGGAACATTTTCAAATCGCGAAAATGCTTATAAAAAAAATGTTCTTCTCTTCAATGAAAAAACTGTGCTTACTCTTGGTAAATTGTTGTTGGCCTATGCCCAGTCGCCTATGGTTTATTCATAATGTTATGATGTTGCCCGCCAAGGAGCCTTTATACGATCTAGGATATGTTTTTGTTCGTGAGTATTATGGAATATGGATTGTTATACAAATGTAAAGAAACCTTGAATTTCACGACGAAATATTTGAGATGCATATTGTTGTGTATGTATTTCACATTACAACACACTTGTCTCATATCTTTGTGTATAAATGACGATCGTTAAATGAATTCGCCAACCAATAAACTCAAGATGATTGACGTTAGTCGCTTAGCATGCGTTGTCACCTTTTAAAAAGTTGAGCCCCGGCTACCTCACTCACCAAACGTAACGCAGATGTATGACACATCCACTTCACGCCGATCTTCTGTGAGATCGTGGTACTTACCCGGATGGATGAATGGGTAGGCCATTTGTGCAACAGTCAAAGCTGTTGGGTAGCCCTACCACTATAACAGCCTTATTACCTAACATGGACCAGTATAGATATTACAAACATTTTATTAAATAAGTTCAAATGCTTAGTTAATTATTTTTATTATAGGTGGGCAATTGAAGCGAGCTGGAGGTAACCGTAATGAACCTTTTCATTACAACATAAGCCCAGATCCAGAGGAATGTCGGATCCATTATGAAAAAGTTGGAGCTGCTGTTGAATTTTATGTATATCACATGCTGTATTGTTGCTTGGAAATGGAAAGCTTGTCGGTTCCTAAGGACCCAGCGGTACCTAATTTCACCAATATCTTGGTGAATAACGAATACAGCAAAAACGATGTTTTGTTAATATTGATTCAAGGATCAGGGCCGGTTAGGGCTGGGCTATGGTCAAGATCGTATGTAACATTGTTTTTATTTAATCATTATATTAACGTAATATTCCATTTATTGTATCTAGTTTTAACTTTTGTATACCGGGTAATGAAAATTATACAATTTATGAACATGAATGATTAATTTAATTATAACTAGGTCTTCTTTATTGTGTAACACGTTATGTTATTGATAAAATTTTATAATTTGCAGTGTCACAATTTATAAAAGCTTGTTAGCAGGATCACAAATTCCCTACGTAGATATAGCTCTATGTAAGGGTTATGGGGTCATGATTTTGAATCCTAATGACAATATTAGGGGTGACAATATAAAGATACCTAATTCTGATACACCCGAGGAGCACGCTAAATATGTGTGGGATACTTACGTAAAACCCGCCAAAGCTTCGAAGATCATGATTCTGGCTCACGGTTATGGCGGCATTGTGACCTTTGCTTTGGCCCATTGTTTTAAAGAAGAATTTGAAAAAAGGGTCGCAGCTATTGCTTTAATAGATTCTTTTCATAGATACTCTGATTACATGGTCACAGATTATCTTAAGAAGGTATGAAAATATGGATGAAACCTATGAATGCATTTCATTTTATGATTTGCCATGTTGATAAAAAAAGTACCTAGTTTAATTTTTTTATTTTGTTTTCTTGTTTTAGGTCTCAAAGAATTGGGTATCGTGTTTGGCCCCTCTTGATGCACCAATAAAAACACCCGATTTTGATATCACTCGGGTGTCAGCAGGTAAAAACAGTTCCGTACATCATAGCTTTGTTATAGTTATGGCCTTCTTACTTACATGATAGTTGTTTCATTTTTTACATCTTGTAATTACTTTCTTATGTCAACAGGCTATTTGGAGCAATTACGTGGTTTTGAGGTAATGAACCTCAAGGATGAATTGTGTTGTATTAAGAGTATTTTGAATTGTACTAGGATGTTTTTTATGTTTAGGCTTATCCCTAAACATGTTTCATTTAGTTTATGATAACTATATTAACTGATACTCTTGTATTATTTAATTACTTATGGGTAAAAACATCTAAAAAATGGTAATACATAAATTTATATGAATAGATACAATACATGTTAAAGACACATATAAATTGTATGTTGTATTGTTTTACCAAGGTAAGTTATATCTACGTTTTAATATTAACAGGTTTGTACATAAAAGCGTAAATTAATATTAATCATAGAAGTAGGTACCTAGTATCGAATACCGAAATAATTTTTGTTCACATTTTACTAATTTTACTGTAGTAAGTGTATAAAATTAATAGAATGTGATATTTGTGCACTTGGGTCCATATGAATTAAATATGATCATGTTTTCACATCGGTAGGGCAACGCTACAGATTCTAATGTTGCACAAATGGGCAGGGGCGTCCGGGGAAGTACCATGGGCTCACTAATTATAACTCCAGCGTGAATTGGTAGTGGTAGAATTGGCCCATTTTTTAATGGTTGGCAACACGTGTAACGTTTGCAACCTGCCAAGTGTATGGTCGATGTTCACGGGCAACCGTCTACTCGCCTGCCAATAAATCTCATTAAACAGGAGATGTTTATAATGGTTATTATGTTTTTATTATTACATTTTTATTTTAACTAAAACTTGCTTCTTCCGGGAATTCCTTTATTTCACTTAAGTGTGGATAGTTCAGACTACAGTAATGGTACTTAACTCATTTAATCTTTACCATGTTTGCATCACTCAAGTTTGATGACTAACCTGTTGGTTCGCACAATGTTTTGTGCGAATTTTATAGAGGTCAATTAATCTATAAGCCGGTATTTTTTTATGATATGTTTTAACATCAATTTCTTTCTTCAGGGTATGCTCGACATGAGATGAATTTCAGCACTTGCTTGAACTCGGTGTTTGACTTTTTCGAGGAGAAGCGGCAGTAATTCGTCACTATAATAACATTACACAATTTGTATTGAATACATAAAAATATATTGATGTTATTCTTAGATTGATATTAGAAAAAATGATATAAGAAAATAGAAGCCAGTAGAGTAGAAGGCATTTCAAATATAATGCGTATGTATATGTACATTATTGTTTTGTTTATTATTCTCTTTCTCTTGAAATAGTTTTTCATGTTCATTTTGATTACCACAACGGGTGTTAAAAACTACAGATTTCGTCATTTCGAAATATCATCATTAATAGAAAAAGATGAGAATTGATTGCCAGGTTTGTTGCAAATATCTTGCAAACGTCGCTAGTATTAATTTGTTATAATTATATATTTTTTCTAAAAATAGTCTAATGAAAGTAGTGTTTTCTCATAGGATTATGGAGTTTAAGGGGAATGTTGATAACTCTCATAATATCCCGTTTTAAACTGCAAAAACCTAGGGATTTTTCACGCTCGTCTATAATCATTACATTTTCTATTATACTCATTAGTTATATTTTTCTTTGAATTCATGTTTTTCGAGTATATTGAATTAAGAGTGACCTTGCTTTCCCGGGAAATTGGTTGGTCGAATAAGTTAACGGTACAGAGAGCTTTCTTTCGTAAGTAGTACCTACAAACCACAATATTAAACATGATCGTCTTACTCTGAGTTGCCACTTTCGGATCACTTAGGGAGTTTAGTGCTGATTGTAAGCGCATAATAGTCTGGGATTCTAGGGTCGCTGGTTTGTACGGAATAGATAGGTCGGGGAAAGTACGGATCCTTGGGGAAACGATCGCTATCAAAAGGCGGGGGCAAGATACGCATTGAAAATCGCCACTACAAAGCAATCGAGCTGAGCTGCATACTAGGGAAGCATTGTAGATTTAGACTATCAGCGAGTCGTTCGACCTTCTCGTATACTTTCCAACTATGAGGGTAGAGTCGGGAGGGCATCGAGGAGGCATTCTCTGAATTAAGATATCTCGCCAATTGCCAGAAGCCAGTATGTAACGGCAAGATATTTTCCATTAGAGTATATCTTCCCCTCAGTTCTGCATGAGCGCTTTGAAGACGGCACATCCTGGCGCGGTTGGCATCACCCCATTTAAACACCAAAACTAATATCATCACCGAAATCGAACCCACACCATATGGCATATCCTCTACGCAAGAGTATATCAAGTTTGAGAGACTGTCAACACTCTGAGTCCTTCGTGAATACGGATAGTTAATGCCGAATAACACCATTTAAGGCATAATTATACCCTTATTTTGATGTTGGCAAAATGCAATGAAGTAAGTAGTAATACAACTTTAAAGTTTTCAAATAGTGTTGAAACATTTACTGAACCAGTAACTAATACATACCTATATAGTTTTAGAATGTATAAAATCTTACTACATTATGTGTTATTACTAGGTATTTTACTAATTTTTTGTTACAAAACAAAAAAAAAAACAAGCTTATTGTTTTCTCCAATATACTATTAGTTTTGGAACAATAAAAATGAATAAGTTTAATTTTTTATGAAATATTTTAGACAACTACATCTACATCTAGAGCCGAGATAGCTCAGTGTCCGGGCGCTCGCGTTTAATTCAATATACTCGAGCCACCTGAGTTCGATCCCGGTGCCGGCACCAATGAAGTTTTTAACTTTAAGTGCTGACTTATCACGTGCTCCGCGGTGAAGGAAAACATCGTGAGGAAACCTGCATATTTTCGAAATAATAAAAAAAAAATATATATTTCGAAAATATGTGAAGTCCGCCAACCCGCAGTGGGGCCGCGTGGTGGACTATGCCCTGTTACCCTCTGTATAGAGGAGGCATTTGCCCAGCAGTGGGACATGTATAGGCTGTTACTTTACTTTACTATTTTAGACATCTAACTATAGTGTAGTTATGCTTAACAATGTAAGTGCACTTACACGCAGGTGTTTTGCTTCGTAATCAATAAATCTGCTCCACCTGTATTAATTATGATTACTCCGACAGAGCGCGCAGGCCTAAAGTGTCACCAGCATAAAATAGGTCTTGGTGTTTAACAATATTTTTGCATATATTTACAATACATCGCAAAAAATTAAAACAAAGAAGACAAACACTTTCAGCTGTTCAATGTTTTTGCTTTTGGCCACTTTGGAGGCAGATATGCCTTGATAGATGCAAGAAGAAATGCAGGATATGTTTTTATTAACGATTAGTAGTAGAGCTTGTTTTTAAAAATAGAAACATTGAAATTGTCAAAATCATCATGCTCCAATTTTAGACATTTTAGTTCACAGTTGTGATAACAGGTACCTATAATGTAAAAAAAGTCTGCACCTGACGAAAACTATATGAAAACAGAAAATTTTTGTTTTCTGTTTTCATACATTTAACTTTGAATTTGCTCATAATTGAACCCAGCATTCTTGCTGTTAGCCTTCGGTTGCAACTGGTAAGCCAACCTCATTCTAGTTAGTGACAGAAACAGTACCTATAGGTATGCCAACTGTTTTATTCCATATATTCAAAAGCTTAATTAATATTATCACTATAGGTACATGGACAAATACGGGCAGTATTATTTTGTTTGTGTACCGCAAACATCGAGGTGCTGAGGTGTTTTAATAACACCATTACGATGTCCATTTAAGTACATACATTCCAGAAATACAAAACCTATCCATATGCACAATCGTGTAACACAGAGTGATGTCATATCGCCAAAACTCGTCACCGCTGGGTTGAAAGAAGTTATCAAACTTCAGGACTCGAAAGGACGTTTTATTAATTAATAAATATAAAAAAAAAATATAAAAACGACGTTGTCATCGTGGCATAATGATGTCAACAGTATCTTCCAACGGAGGGGACTTTGAGATGAATACGGAAAAGACTATGTATATTATGTAAATATCATGTATAGGCTTTGTGCTGTATAGGCGTTGTGCTGTATAGGCGTTGTGCTGTATAGGCGTTGTGCTGTACAGGCGTTGTGCTGTACAGGCGTTGTGCTGTACAGGCGTTGTGCTGTACAGGCGTTGTGCTGTACAGGCGTTGTGCTGTACAGGCGTTGTGCTGTATAGGCGTTGTGTTAAATACTTGCTCACGGCTATAGTAGAATGGAGCGTTGCTTTGACCAATCGGTTTAAAGAAGAATATGAAAAAAGAGAGCTTATGCTTTAATGGCTCAAAAGATTAGTGAGCTGAAGGGGTGATAGGTCGACCATTTAGCATCGATATGGAAGAAAGGTCTTAAGTGGCAGCCTCGAACTGGCCAACCCAGTGTTGGACGAACCCGCCTAGATGGAATGACGACCTGTGTAAATGTATGCGAAGTCTAATGGAACTTTGCTTTGGCCGATTGGTTTAAAGAATTCAAAAAAATAGACAGCTATTGCTCTATATATTCTGATAATAGATACTCAGACCACAAAGATCATGAACTATTTGAAAAAGGTATAATTATATGAATTTATCTTACAAAAGTACTTTGTTACATTATATTACATATTAGTAAAAATTACATTTTTTTTATTTTATTTGGCAATTTTAAGGCTCTAAGCATTGGATGCTAGATACACCATTACAAAATGCAACTTGTACACAACTACTAACTTTGAAAAAAAATTTTGGTGTATGCTCTACCCTGATAATTATACTGAATACATAAGCGGAGTCCCTTTCGAGTGCACAGGCGTGATGTTATATTGTGCGATCGTGTCAACAATATATATTTATGCGATAGCGGCAATGACATTTGAGTTGCTGTCATTTATTTGATATGTTGCCAACGTCCATACCACGTTGAAAACACCGGTTCCACGTAAACGTAGTGATTACATTCTCTTTGCGGTTCTCGTCCGACCACCGAAGTTAAGCAACGTCGGGCGCGGTCAGTACTTGTATGGGGGGTTTGATATGTTTTCATTGTCTGTCTCCAAATCTCATCATCAGATCTACATGAAATTAATTGGGACCATTTCGGAATGAACCCCTTTGAACAAAGAAATATTATATTATACAGCGTGTCGTTACAACCGCGACAATAAATGAACACACGTCTAACGCTACATGTCAATAATCATAAAAAAATATAAAACATTAAAAAAATCCATAATTTAAAAAATATATTTTTCAAACAAACTAATTAAATAAAAAAAGAAAGAAAATTTGTAACATTCTATACAATTACAACTGACTAATTCATACATTCAGAGACATTTTCATTCGTTGCCACAACGTCGCATTAGTCTCTCCTTCTAACAGTATGTTTTATCTCTTTTAAATTCATTCAACCCATATGCTTTGTGACCTTTACAAATGAACTTTACGTTACAGTTTTATATGTAAGGTTGTTCTAAAAATGTTTGTTTTGTAAAATTTTATAACTCGGTAAATATTGATGTTTAAACAATGTAAAGGCTTAGTTATATCAAGTTATTATCTATATGTGTTCATTTATTGTCGCGGTTGTAGCGACACGCTGCATATATGACAGAGTTATGCCCAAACATACATAAAAAGATATATAAACATCCGAATTTATAACCTCCTTCTTTTTGAAGTCAGTTAAAAACAACCCAAGATGTGTCAATCTATCCATCTCATGTGTCAATGTGTAAAACCAGTATTATACATTAAATTTTGAATTATTTTACAATGAAGTTTGACAGAACTTACCCGACTAAGTATTAATTATTCCAAAAACTTACATATGTACGAGTATGTAAGTTACTGACATGACATTGGCAGAATACTTTTAAGAGAGGCCATTAATAAAAGAAGAAGAAGAGTATACATTAAATTTTTACATAGCTTTGTTATTTAAATGCATGAAATAGTTGTTTCATTATTATGCTCCATAAAGTCTCTTTCTTAATTCTACTGGCTTCTAATTCTATTTTCACTTGTCCTGCGATATTTCATTATTGTATAGGCCTGCCTGATAAATCATATTCTTATATTATTTAACAATATGTAATAAAAACATTCAAACAAAAAAGTAATATGTATATTGCACAATTTTACCAGGTTTTTCATAAAAGCTAAATTAGTAAGCATCTAGTATTGTGAACAAGGAAATCAAATTAGAAGACATTTTAAATATACATATATTTCTGTGTTATATGATTGTTTCATTTATTACATTACTTTTTCTTTCCCTTAGAATAGTTTTTCATCCAATACTTGACATCTTGCTTATCAGCCCGGATGCCTAAAACTGCAGATTTAGAATTAACATCTTTCATAGCAAAAGGTGAGAAACCTGCAATGTAGTCTGGATCCATAGCATTTGTTTTTTTACGTGCAATCTTTGTCGCAAACCTCTTGTGTATATGCTGATCTTCTGTCAGAATAGGGTACTGAAAGTGTTGTCCCCCTTTTGGAGTAGGCAAACTGAATCGTTTACCCCTAGCATTCAAAGGTTTTCGTCCATTTATATGAATTTTTTGATTGCCCTCATCATCAATGCTGACTGCAACTTTTTTTAATGTGGCATGGCCACATTTCGAGCAAAATAATTTAGTCATCACACTTGTTGTTTTAAAACATGTTGTGCAGCGAAATATAAATGTACGAAGCTGTTTTATGATTCTTCCATCAATAGCTGTTACATATAAGCCTATTTGCTTAAGAACATTCTGCATGGCAAAATCAGAAGTAATGCATGCTACTTCTACATTCTTCTCTTCAAACTCGCCCATCTCCATATCTTTCTTCTTTTCAGCAAAATTTGATGGTGTTATCCATTCTTCCCCATCGCTTTCAGATTCTTCTTCACTCTCTGTTTCTTCATCATTATCATTATCAGAAACTTTTACAATGACATTATCTACCTCATCATCTTTTAAATCCATACTTTGAATTTGTTTAAGAATGTCTTCTGTACTATCATTAAAACATTCTGCATTATCCTCACATCGTACTTCTTTTTTTAGAACTGTCTGTATATTTTGAATCTTGTTATCATCATGGTCATTATCTGACCTTAAATCCAATTCTTGATTTGTTTCATGGGAAACACCAGAAGCTTCCGTTACTCTTTTCTCACAATTTTCATTTAGTTTTTTCTCAGTATCTTCTTCTGGGTGAAGAGTGAATCCCGATAGGCCACTTACTTTAATAGTTTTTTGCATAGTTGGTTCTGATTTAAGATGTTCTGTACCAACTTTTTCTTTTGCAAGTTGATACGTTAAAGCTATTACTTTAATGTCCGTAGCTGACAAACTTGTATAATCCCCCGTTTTCTTTGAGAATTCCATAACAAATTTAATATTTTCAATGAAAACATCTTTAATAATTATATCATACGGTAAAACGACAAGTTTTCGACGTTGTCTATCGTTTGTAATTTCATCAACGACTTCTTGTACGGTATATACATTTTGAGCTACATTTGATAGATTCTCGGCTTTTAAAAAAGCAGTTGTGTCAACAACTAAATGCTGGATCTTTTTTGACATTTTCGTCTATTTTTCAACAACATTTGTTTCTAAACTAAAACTAACTTAATCCACATGCTCGAAATTTAACAATGACATTATGACAACATTTGACATTGACATTACATTTGACATTAATGTTACCAATTACCAAGATACAGCACAGCATCTCCACAAAACACGTAAATCACGAATTACCGCTAAGGGTAAAATTACGGCTTCTAGACAAAATTACGGTGAATGTGCTAAACTAAAAGTGTAATTTCGTGTATTTTATTTAGGAAAAAACAACATTTAGAACCGAATAAAGTCTTGATTAAATTTGCTTTTTTAATTATTAGCTAGGAAAATTTAAATAACATATGAAATATCGAACTGAACTCTCTATTACTTTTAAATTACGATTATTCTAAGATTAAAGGACGAGAATAGAATGCCTGGAGATAAACTTTTAGATATTGGTGATTCCCCTGGACTAGGAATCCCTCGGCAACCAGAATAAGTGCTGCCATTAAAAAAATATTAAGTTGGCTGACTGATAATCGTTTTACACAGTACATTATTATATATTTTTAATTACGTAATGTATAATGGCAATATGGTGATATATGACACGGTAATACATTATTACTTAGACGGTAGATAAAAACCAGATTACGGTAATTACCGTGTGTATCCCATTTCAAATAGTAATATTATGTAGGTACAGAACACTTTTACTTATATTAAATTAAATATTTTAAGACACATTTTTACACAACATTCTCTAGTCCCAAACTAAGCAAAGCTTGTACTATGGGTACTAGAAAACTGATAAACATACTTTTCTTTTGTAAATAAATACATATTATACATATATTAACACCCAGACACTAGAAAAATACTATGTTCATTACACAATATTTTTCCAGTAGTGGGGATCGAACCCACACTCTCTGGTGCAGGAGGCAGGTACACTACCCACAACGCCATTCCGGTCGTCATATTCTAAGAGTATGTATATCATTTTTTTTGTAGTGTGCACCATGTACATAAATCTTTACAGAATTTTTTTGGGTTAAGTGTAGTTTAATGTTAGCTCAGTGGCTTTGGAATAGGTCCGTGGGTAATCCATCCGAGTTTCGACCCGTGGACGTTTGTATAAGTTGCCTTCCTACACACATTAGGAAGGCTACTCATACAAACAGATATAGATACATATTCATTTTATAATCATTAACATTCTAATATTTTTTTATTAAAACTAAAACTATCAATTCAGCCACGAATAAAATAAACCTCATTTAATATTCTCAATACTGTAATGTACACTTACATTTTTCATCAATGATCTGCACCTTTTTGATTTTTCAGATGCTTATATAACTATAAAAATAACACGGAACTAACAAAAAAGCAAACCATAGATGATACACTTATATATAGAGACAAACTATCATTACTCAAGTCACTCGTTAATTCTGGTAACTCGTGGTAAATTCGATTTTGTATTTGTGTCAATATAAATGTTTTTGGTGTCATTTGTCAATTGATTGCTTTTCATTCAAAAAATAGTGTCAAATAAACGACACGAAAGTTTATTGATACAGTAATAGGGAAAATAATATTAGAAAATATGAGTTCAAAGAGGGGTAAGAGAACTACGGGAAATAAACATTTTCCAATAGCCGAATCAGTGAGTATAGCATTGAAAATCCAGCTGGATAAATTTCTCAGCGATGAAAATGAAACAGAGCTAAAATTTCCAACATTTCTTTCGGCTCAAGAACGTGGTTTTATTCACGAGACAGTTGCCAAATTGGGTCTAAAATCAAAGTCGCGCGGGAAAGGTATTATATATTAAAGATATAAATTTATTAAGTTAATTCTTAAACTTAAACTCATATCGTTTCTTAAAAAAAACTTAAATTAGACAATTATTTCAAAGAATGTTTTAATAATATATAATAATCCATTTACCTTAACAAATTTATCCGGATCTGGACATGTAATGCTATTTGAAGATCTTACTTTATATCTACAATTTTGCCAAAATAGTATAATTATATTCTTTTAATGTATAAAAACCATTGCACCATCATGATGTAATGGAAAGAAAAAACAAGTGTATTTAAAATTTTTAATATTCATGTTTATGCCTGTTTAGTTCTTAGAGACCTGTTGTTTAAATAAACTCCATCTATATTTACTAGGATCATTAATTTTCTTTGTCACAGTTTATGTATATTAAAATTGTTAATTTACAAACATTAATTGTAACTAATCATAATAGGCACCCTATTTACATTTATTTCATGATAGTTCTATTTGATGATTTGTTGTCACATAACCTCATTGATTTCTAAACACTGATGATTGTGTATTTACATGTTTATTTGCTACATTTTTGATATTTTAAATATAATTTTATTGTTAAAGTGATTGTGGTTTGCAATTTTATTATTTTTTATCACTCAAATGTGTCATGAGCAATGATAGCTCAGTGTCTGGGCACTTGCTTTTATTTAATATACTTGAACAACCTGAGTTTTATCCCAGATGGAAAATGGATAATTTTACGTGCTTACTTATCACATGTTCAGACGTAAAGACACACATTGTGAGAAATTCTTCATGTTTTCAAATAATAATAAAAATATTTCGAAAGTATGTGAAGTCCGCTAATCCGCAGTGGTGCCACATGGTAGACTATATTCTAACACCCTCTATGCAGAGGAGGACTTTGCCCAGCTTTGGGACATACAGCGTGTCGTTAACACCGCGGCAATAAATGAACACATGTCTAACGCTACTTGCCAATAATCATAAAAAAATTTAAACATTTAAAAAATTTCATAAATAAAAAAAAACATTTTTCAAACAAACTAATTAAGTAAAAAAGAAACAAAATTTGTAACATCCTATACACCTCGCGCCACAGCGTTTCCATTACAAGTCGCATTACAAGTCTCTCCTAACAGTATGTTTTGTCTCTTTTAAATTCATTCAACCCATTCATATGCTTTGTGACCTTTACAAATGAACTTTACGTTACAGTTTTATAAGTAAGGGTGTTCTAAAATTGTTTGTTTTGTATAATTTAATAATTCGGTAAATATTGATGTTTAAAGAAAGTAAATGTTTAATACAATTTTAAAAAGTTAACCTCTATATGTGTGTTCATTTATTGTCGCGGTTGTAACAACACGCTGAATATAGGCTGTTAGTTTTTTTTTCTTTTTTTCTTTAAATGTATAAACATTTTGATTATATTTTCAGGTGTGAATCGCTATTTAACAATTTATAAGAGGGTTGGCTCCACAATTATCCAGAGTGATGCCAAGCTTATACTGGACTCAAATATGAGATGCAGCATAGCAGAGCTGCTCACTGCTTTTCCCCTAACCAGCAAAGAGAAGGATGACTTAAGTTCATGTCCAGAAAAAGAAAGGAGCCCTCAGCTAGCTCACAAATCTCTTGGACAGTTAAATAACGGTGTGGCTCAGGTAAGAAAGAACAGAATATATAAAATACCTTCTAATCATATTTTCCTCTATCCTCACTTCTAGCCTTTCACTTATTATACTTATTTTTTATCTATTTTTTAAAGTTGCCAGGAATAAATTGCTTTGAGTAATAAGTTCACTGTCTTTTTAAATAAACTTTTTTCCCATTTTCTTGGTGCTCTCCTAAAGTATATCATTGTGTTTTGATTGATAGTTTTCCAAACGAAATAATTTAATGTATAGTGCACTGTATGAGAAGAAAGCCCCCATTTCATTTTTGTTACTGGTTTATAACATAGCCTTATAGATTTCTGAGCACTGAGGCGTCAGAAATGACAAATAGCATAACTTCATCCCTTAAATTACAAGTTTAATGAAATAAAGTAACAATGAATAACTAAATTCTTTAAATTGAACTGTATTTATCACTGTATTTTGTTTTTAGGTGCCAAACACTACATACAACCCTGAACTTATAAAGTTCAGGGAGAAATTGCCAGTGTATGAGCAAAGACAGGAGCTCCTCAATGCCATCGCCCACAACCAGGTGCGTTTTGGATGTATTGTTTCCATATATTTTTTGATGTTTCAAAACCTGTGCCAAAGTGATTGTGCTATGGAAAAAAGCCTTCTATTTTTTTTTCTTTGGTTACCTTTTTCTTTTGGGTAATAAGGGATGTGTGACATTGGTCTTTAAAAGATTTTTATACAAAAGATGTTAAGACTTTGCATAAATCTAAAATTTGAAATTTTATTTATTTGTTATACATAATATATTCCATGTTATAACTTCCTATTCATAGATGTGATAAGATGACTCTGTGGCGCAGTTGCCAAGGTATTGGTGTGGGGGGGTCGTGGATTCTATTCCCACATGGAACAAATATTTTTGTGACCCACAGATAGTTGTTTCGCATCACACCCAGATGTCCACATGAAACATGTTACTAAAATGTCTTTACATCACAGGATATATAATTTAGTCTAGTAAGTCTAGTGTAGTATAGTAAGGGCAATGTTTTAAAAAAAATAAAAATAAATGAACATATACTTTATACATATGTCATCCTTAATGCATTTTTATTACTCTAAAACTCAGTAAACAGCATTCGGTTGACCGTTTAGAAATGGTGATAGGACCCATAAAATACTTTAATTTAACCATGTTCATATACGTACGTAAGTTCATACTTAAAGGTGTATTTATTTAAACAATGAAAATCTAATAAAATCTAATTCGCGAGAATAGAAGAAGTGAACTTCTTTTAGCTTTGGTTCAATTGAGTTGTTATAATCTTCGAAAAGCCGCTATGACGCTGAATGTGTTGTTATTTTGTTCAGGTGATAATAGTGGCCGGTGCGACGGGTTGCGGCAAGACCACACAGCTGCCGCAGCTGGTGCTGGACTGGTGCCAAGAGCACAAGCAGCCGGCGCGTCTCTACTGCACGCAGCCGCGCCGCATATCGGCCGTCTCCGTGGCAGAAAGGGTCAGTTTACGACCTTAAGTGGAATGCCTCACATGGCTCAAACATCTTCCATTAACCCGTATTATTCTCATTTCCAACTTTCAAAGGTCCCATTATAGGCCATAAGTACTAACTCACTGAATGTAGCACACTGTTATGGTTATTTGAGTAAACGAGTGCAACTCAATGCATTTTTAGTAAGATGTAAAGGCTGTTGTCACCATAATCAAGTCTAAGTTAGCATGCCTAAGGAAAAATTATTACGTCATAGGTGAGAGTTTTCGTGATCACAATGTATTGTAATTGTTGTAAATGCTTTTAAAGTCACGAGTCCTATCTATATCCTAAATCATACTTCGGGTCTGAGTTAAATCTGTAGTACCACAAATGTGTACTACAGATTTAACTCAGTAACTCAGACTTAGTAAGTACCACGGCCTCACAGAAGACCGTCGCGAAGCGAAAGTATTAATCTTTCGCGTTTCGTCTGGTGAGTTGTCAACTGATCAGCAAGCTATCGGGTGTTGTGGATGTCCATGGGTGGCCAACTTTTGAAGTGAAAGAAAAAGCTGGGCCCAATTAGCATATATATTATATTTTCGGCCCACTTACTGCAACCTTCTTTGTTATCAGGTGGCGTACGAGCGCATGGAGAAGATTGGCCAGTCCATCGGCTACCAGATCCGGCTGGAGTCGCGAGTGAGCCCGCGCACCGTGCTCACCTACTGCACCAACGGGGTGCTGCTGCGGACCCTCATGGCCGGCGACAGCGCCCTCAACGGTCAGCCCCAAGCCCTACTCCGTGATGCAGCATTGCCAACACTCAAGAGTGTGCCCCAACGGCAAAGTGCAAGAGTGCAAATGCTTCCACTCTTCTGCATATAAGCTTCCTCATTTGATTAGTAGATGAAATTTATTCATTTACAAGTTGTTAGTGAGACTTTTCTATTTTAAAGACCCTGGTTTATAATTCTGATAGATTTCTCTAAAGTTTATTACTTTCAATTAATTGACTTTGTTCGGTTTGAACTATTTGCCAGAGTAGGCAGACTAGTCCAAGAAGCACCATGTTCTCACAGACCGGCATGAAATTTAAGTATTTTACTTTTGCTTTTGGTCTGGCGAGTGAGGTATCCAGGGACCAACATTTTTGAAATTTGACAACGCTGCTCTTCGTGTGTTGTAGATTCCGTAATCACTTGACATTGGGTGGACCGCCGGCTCCCCTACCGACTACATTCCATTTGGGTCCTACTTGTTTATTTAAGTGCAAGTGCCCCGGTTGACGTAGAGACGTGTGCAGGCGTGACGCACGTGTTCGTGGACGAGGTGCACGAGCGGGACAAGTTCAGCGACTTCCTGCTGATCGCGCTGCGGGACGCCCTCCCCCGCCACAAGGAGCTGCGGCTGCTCCTCATGTCCGCCACCTGCGACACCCTCATCTTCTCGCGGTGAGCACTTGCTTGCTGCCTTCCCACTCCTCACCGTCCCCGAGTGAGACTGCTCATAGAGGCCTGCCAGTTAAATTCCTTTGCGATGTGGATACTTGGAAAGTTATTATGTGTTACATATATATTACAAATCTCCGTGACTTTTCGATTCCCACACGACTGAAGTATTGACGATCTTTCCGGATCCGGGTGTTTATTTTCAAGAAGTGAATGCTAAGTTGGTCTTTTTAAAAACGGCGGTGTGAAGATTGCCAACTTATCGTTCATTTTTTCTACAAAGTTTTAAGTTTCGACTTGTGCAGAGACTAAAACCAATTTTAAATTAAACTTCAATAGCAAAAAAATGTCACTACACCATTCTTTTTTAGGATTATATATAATTTGAGTGCTAGTCTCTGTACTCAAGATGAAACAATTTAAATAAATTTTTATAGGTAATTTACCTACAGACAAGATCTTGTAAGCTCCTTGCAATAAAGATTAAATCCATAAATATATATTTATTAATATTAACCGCAGATATTTCAACAACTGCCCCGTGGTCCGCATCCCGGGGCGACTCCACGAGGTGCAGCGCCACTACCTGGAGGACGTGCTGAAGATGACCCGCCACCGCACCAAGCGGATGGTGCAGGCCGAGCGGGAGCTGCGCCGCAAGCTGACCACCGGCCAGAGCTACTGGTCACATCTGGAAGGTGTGCTATATGAGCTCATCTGGAAGGGATGCTTCGTACGTGGTCACTAGTAACAACCTAAGTCGTTCGAGGCTGCTGGTTGCATCCAGAAAGTATGCTGCGATAAAGGTTATTATAACATAAAAGTACGGAAATGACCACAGTACATAGGAAGCATTTAATAAAACGTACTTTTAGATGAAGCCGTTTTTGTTTGACACGGTACAAGATTTGATAATGTTTAATTACAATCATCTATATTTACAGGGCAAAAGCAAAACGCAGAGGACGTTGGTGCCAACAGTAAAGAAGAGAAGGAGAACGCCATAGATCCAGCACTGCAGGCTGACATGGACGAATTTCTAGAAGAGTGCTTTAAAGAAGGCAGCGTGGTGAGCGTTTTTCGGACCTGTTTACATCTGTATAGAAGCTTACAAGCATTTTATCCATCATGAAACATTTCATACAATCCAGAATGATGAGCAGGATAAAGGTAAGAGACAACGCTCACTGATTTAACTATTTTATTTAACTGTAGATACGTTTAATTTCCAACAGCTCTGCAAATTCTCGTTTCGCAGTTAAGTATCAGCCAATATATTATAATATTATTATTTTTATGTGACAAGTTGCCAAACGAGCAGACGGTTCACCTGATGTTAAGTGAATACCGCCGCCCATGGACATCTGCTAACTACACACGAGGGTTTGCAGATGCGTTGACAACCTTTTTCAAAATTTGGTTCCGGCTACCTCACTCACCAGACGGAACGCGAAAGTATTAGTCATACTTCCACTTGATGTCGGTCTTCTGTGAGGTCGTGGTACTTACCCGGACGAGCTTGCCCATTCGTGCAACAGCCGAGGCAACTGCGTCGCTCTACCACCGTCGATATAATATGTATAATATTTCTCAATATTGAACATATACTCTTCTATTCAGAGGGTACTATGCCATAGTCCATGCGCCTCACTGCGTATTAGCAGACTTGATACTTCTTTGAAATAAACATTTCGTAATTTATTATTATTATTTCAAAAATGTTCAGGTTACCTCAAGAACATTACCTTCGCCTACGATATCGTCTCGAGTCGGCACTTAAAAGTAAACAGTTCATCGTCCTCCGCGATCTGTACTCGGGCCGCTCGAGTATATCCAATTAAAAGCGAGCGCCCGAACTGTGGTAATTCCACGCTCCGTCTGTTGCACGAATGGGCAGGCCCGTCCGGGTAAGTACGACGACCTCACAGAAGGCGTGAAGCGGAAGTGTCGTGAGTGACGTAGCCGGGGCCCACTTTGTTGCTAAGGCGGCAACCCTACGTGTGTTGCAAATAAAAAAGCAATGTTCCGTCCTTAGGACTCGTTCTGCCAGATCCTGTACATGTACGTGTCGGAGGGCGTGCCGGTGCAGTGCGCGCAGACGCGCTCCGGCCGCACCGGCCTCATGGCGGCCGCGGCCCACGGGCTGAGCGACGTCGCCGCGCAGATGCTCTCCATGGGTGCGGGCCGCTTTCACTCGCTCGCCTCTAGTGGCATGCGGACTGCATTTTATGGCATATAAAATGCTTCTTATGAAATGTGGAATGCTTCTTGTGGCATGTAACATGCTTCGTTGTGGACTGTGGAATGCTTCTTGTGGGATATGGAACGCTTCTTGCGGTATGTTGCATGCTTCATGTGGTATGTGGAATGTTTCTTGTAGGACATGTTGTGTTACAAAGTGACATGTTGTGTTACATACAAATTACAATTGTTTCTACAAATCACATTATCTATCATATGCCATCACACATTTGTATTGAAGCTATAATATAGTTCAAATACAAATAGTCTCATGCTGTATAATCGTGAGCTTAAGCCGATAAAGCGTCTCTGTAGGGCCCTACCTATTAAACCATTCCATTTGACCTTTTCTCTAGGTATGGCTACAACTTTCCGTCCCTTTTCCCGCCCTTATCCCACCTATGTGGGACGTGTGAATCAAGCTATCCACTTTTTTACAACCGCTGCTAGATTTAATTCTGCTTGGGAAAATTTATCAGGAACTGTTTATTTATCTGCAGCTCACATATATACTCCATTTATGGGAATCCAACCCACGATCCCCGACGCTGAAGCTAATAACTTAGCCAGGTTTAAATCACCAGTTGTGGTATAATAGACCAGTGCCGGGATTTTTTTAATAAGTTTCTTTTCTACCATGTACTTTGATTTGGTATTCATATCAATATCACGTTCTAGGCGCCGACCTGAACTTCAAGGACAAGAGCGGCAAAACCGCGTACGACTACGCCGTGGAGAATGGCCACGCGGAGTGCGCGAAGCTCTTCGCGTCCTTCAATTTGGAGGAACCCAAGGACAACCAGGAAGAGGAGAACGCGGCAGATAACTTCCTCCTGGACGTGTACCACCACTCCGTCTCTGAGGAGCTGATAGACCACGAGCTGATGCTCTCCCTCATCAAGCACATCCATATCAACCTGCCCAAGGGCAGCATCCTCGTCTTCATGCCCGGCTACGACGACATAGTGACCCTGCGAGACCTCGTGCAGTCCTGCCCCGAGATGAACGCGATGAAGTACCAGATATTCACGCTGCACAGCAACATGCAGACCCTCGACCAGAAGAAAGTGTTCAACCCGCTGCCGAACGCGCGGAAGATCATCATCTCCACCAACATCGCGGAGACCTCGATAACCATAGACGACGTCGTCTACGTGATCGACTCGTGCAAGGTCAAGGAGAAGTATTACGAGTCCGCCGGCGGGGTGTGTTCGCTGCAGTGCGTGTGGACCTCGCGGGCGTGTTGCCAGCAGCGCGCCGGCAGGGCGGGCAGGACCAAGCCGGGCCACTGCTTCCACATGTGCTCCAAGCGGCGCTTCAACACCCTGCCGCTCAACTCCATTCCCGAGATTCTGCGGGTGCCCCTGCAGGAGCTCTGTCTGCACACGAAGCTGCTCGCGCCCGGCAACACGCCCATAGCGGACTTCCTCTCCAAAGCCCTGGAACCGCCCTCGTTCCTGGCGGTCCGCAACGCGGTGACCCTCTTGAAAACCATCGGGGCCCTCACCCCCATGGAGGATCTGACCGAGATCGGGCAACATCTCCTGGACCTGACGGTCGAGCCGAAGCTGGGCAAGATGCTGCTCTACGCCTGCGTGATGAAGTGCCTGGACCCGGTACTGACGATAGTCTGCAGCTTGGCGAATAAGGAGCCGTTCCAGATATCGATGAACCCCGAGAACCGCAAGCGCGGCAGCATGGCGAGGAAGGAGTTCGCCGCCGACAGCTACTCCGACCACATGGCGCTGCTGCGGGCGTTCCAGGGCTGGCAGACGGCGCGCGCCAACGGCACGGAGAGGGCGTTCTGCGCCAAGAACCTCATCTGCGGCGCCACCATGGAGATGATCGTGGGCTACCGCGCGCAGCTGCTGGCCCAGCTGCGCGCGCTGGGGCTGGTCAAGGCGCGCGGCTCCGGCGACATCAAGGACGTGAACCAGAACTCGGAGAAGTGGCACGTGGTGAAGGCCGTGCTGGTCGGCGGGCTGTACCCGTCCGTGGCGCGCGTGGACCGCGAGGCGGGCGCGCTGCGCACCGCCAAGGAGGTGAAGGTGGCCTTCCACCCCAGCTCCACGCTGAACCGCGGCGGCGGCGCCGGCGGCGCGCAGCGGGCCGTGCAGGCGCTGCCCACCGACTGGCTGGTGTTCGAGGAGATTTCGCGCGCGGGCCGGCTGTGCTTCGTGCGCTGCAACACGCTGGTGACGCCGCTGACGGTGGCGCTGTTCGGGGGCCCGCTGCGGCTGGCGGCCGGCGCGCTCAGCCAGCGCGCCAACGCGCCCGGCCACTCGAGCGACTCGGACAGCGAGGCGGACGAGGCGGCCTCAGCGCCCGACGCCGCCGTGCTGGCGCTCGACGACTGGACGGCCTTCGCGGCCGACGCGGCCGACGCCATCAACGTGTTCTACCTGCGCCAGAAGCTGTGCGCGCTCGTGGTGCGGCGCATGTGCGGGCCCGCGCGGCCCATGACGCCGCTCGACGAGCAGATCCTGGCCACGGTGGTGCACGTGCTGGGCGCCGAGGAGCGCAACGTGGGCCTCAGCCAGCCGGCCGGCATCGGCCAGCGGCCCAAGCCGCTCACGCTCGAGCCGCCCGGCTGGCGCGACGAGCACCGCCACGACGCGAAGCAGCACTTCCAGCAGCACGCGGCCGACTTCGGCGGCGGCTTCCACCAGCCGGCGCACGGCTTCAGGGGCGCGCAGCGGCAGGGCTGGGCGCAGGGCTTCGGGCCGCAGCCCTTCGGCGGGCCCAAGAGCCCCATGTCGCCCAACGGGAAGACGCTGCTGGCGAACATCGAGAAGTACGCGGAGGCGGCCGAGGGCGCGACGCGCTACTTCGTCGCCAAGGCGGACGACGTGCACAGCGTGGAGCTAGCGCAGGCCAGCGGCGCCTTCGGCTTCACGCAGAACACCGCCAAGAAGCTGCAGAAAGCCAAGCAGGTGAGGGTGCAACCGGAGTCGCGTTTTGGGCTTTCGAGAAGATTAGAACTTCTAATCTTCAATCTCATGATGAATATTAACGATTTTTAATGCACTTTCTTATTTTTCGTTCAATCGACAAGTTGGTACACGGCGCAGTTTATTGTCTTAATCAATTTCTTACCCTAGTTACAGTAATGTTTTAATTGAAACTTAATACAACATATCGAATAAATATATAGTTCGATGTCAATACACATTAATCATTATACAGCGTGTCGTTACTACCGCGACAATAAATGAACACACATATAGAGGATAACTTTTTAAAATTGTATTAAACATTTAGATTCTTTAAACATCAATATTTACCGAGTTATTAAATTATCCAAAACAAGCAATTTTAGAACACCCTTACATATAAAACTGTAACGTAAAGTTCATTTGTAAAGGTCACAAAGCATATGAATGGGTTGAATGAATTTAAAAGAGACAAAACATACTGTTAGAAGGAGAGGCTTGTAATGCGACGCTGTGGCGCGAGGATGTTACAAATTTTGTTTCTTTTTTACTTAATTAGTTTGTTTGAAAAATATTTTTTTTTTTAATTATGGATTTTGTTTAACGTTAACATTTTTTTATGATTATTGACAAGTAGCGTCAGACGTGTGTTCATTTATTGTCGCGATGGTAACGACACGCTGTATACAATCATTACCTATCAAATTTTGCATTGAACCTTTTTCAACCAACTTCAGAAAAAGAAATCTTCAAATTTTTTGTATTTTCTGTATTATCTCAGAACTCCGTCATTTATGAACCGCTTATAAAAAAAATCCTTTTGTATTTAGCTCTTACGTAGTCTTATTGCAACTGCACTGACGCAGCCGTCCGATTCGCCTCGAAGTGCGGGCCGGACTGATAGCCAGTGTCGGGATCAGAACGAATTTTAGTTTCTGTATCTCGACTTTCACTGAGTTCCGTCCGTTTCACGGTCTTATGCTGCTACACAGAACTTTACTAATTTTTTTTTCGTTCTTGTTATGTTTACATTTATTTAAATTTTTTGCAATATTGTTTTATATGCTGTATAGTTACATTATTTTCTAAGTTTTGTAAGCACTTAGACCGTGAATAAACGTTTCTGTTTTTTTTTTCTAATATTAATTTTAATGGTATTAGACTTTGGTCTCCTCAATACCAAACAGAAAATGTATGGTGAGCTAGGTATTTGAACCCGGTTTTGTTCTTTTTTTAACGAAAACTTGTTTAGGTGGAACGACTAGGATGAATTTATTAGACCAAAAGGCGGTTCAGGCGATTCAGTCTATTTCGTTCGGCAGGAGGGCGCCCGCGTGGTGGTGTTCTTCTCGTGCGCGAACGCGGGCAAGTTCTGCGGCTGCGCCACCCTTGGGGACTCCGCCCTGGAGTGGGTCAGCACCCACCACCTGCCCTTCCACATGGTCCGGTGAGCCGAATGGACAATAATCAACTACACGACTAATCTTTCGCAGAGCACAATTTAAATATTGTAAAGTGTATTGAACTTCTTAAAAATGATTGTGTTTCCCGTAAGACAGAAAAATTCATTGTTTGCTCTGTCTTTCGTTACCGTTGGCGTGTTCCGATGATTATTTTTGGAGTTATCGGATGAGTTCCGAAATGATTATTCAAACACTGCTTCGCCTCAATAGACTGTGGCTGGCTTGTATAACGTAGCTTTCGCTCGGCAAGAGTCCCCAAGTGAACCCCTCGTGCGCGAGTGCGACTCGCGCTTGGCCGGTTTAGTAAATTTATATATATCACCAGGCACGTGTGCAACTCGCTGGCGGGGGGCGCGCGCGTGGCGGGCGCGCGGGACGGGTGCGAGGTGTGCGCGGGCGCGGGCAGGGCGCTGCTGGCCGCGATGCAGCACGCGCGCCGACGGCCCGCCCAGCCGCGCGCCATACAGAAGCACGCCGCCGACCACTAGCGGCGCCGGCCACGCGTCGCTACGGACGCGTCGCCACGGACGCCGTTGCCACGGACGCGTCGCTAGGGACGCCGTTGCTACGGACGCGTCGCTAGGGACGCCGTTGCCACGGATGCCGTTGCTACGGACGCTGACGTTAAACGAGCTGGATTCGCTAATAGATAACTCTGAGTGCGACCTACCGGCGCGGTTGTTAGTTAGTGTTTTTTACTGGGACTGTGCTGAGTATACGCGTATTCATATGTGCGACTCTTGTTGAATATTAATAAGTGTACTTGGGAATGGGGAGTTTCTTTAGATGCTGTCATCGAACGTGATTTAATACAAATTTTATAACCTAATAAGCTCATATAGTTTCTAATTTAATAGAAAGTTCATTTTCATATATTATGCAGTAGAAAATTCGGTTATGCATTGTTAGATATTTTTTTGTTTTATACTCTTTTTATATTTACTGCACTCTAGATTAACGTGCCTTAATTTTTACGGTGGTTTTAACACATTTTATAACAACTGATTTTAGACAAATTGTTATTTGTTAATTTAATGTAACATCAAACATTACTTATTAATATCGTAAGTCTCTTGTTTCGCTATAAAGCCGCAAGTGATTCTTGCCCCACGATTCCTTTGCGAATCTTTTTTGTAACATCAACATACCGCAAAAATAAGCCGGCATTCTAATTTAACCTCTAACACCTTAATTAATAAAACTCCGATTGACAAACTGATTTAATGCCATTAAATTGATGTCTTAGCGCCGCAGCAATTAGATGCTATTAGGCTTAACTCTGCATTAACATGACTCCCGAAAAATTCTTTTGAATTTAACTTGCAAATAATACGTTGGTGACGTGGAATAAGTCCACGTCACCAACGTACATATATTTAAAATATATATATATAATTATAGATTTTTTAGCAAAACTATATTTTAAAGTGACCTATTAGAAAAATATCTTAGTTGTACTATGTCGAAGTGATGATCTCTTAGGTCGGTAGTTTAGTTGAATTAAATAAAAATTTATGTATGAAATTGTTACAAAGACGCCAATAAAATCGATGTTAGAATTCAGAGATACATATGACGTGTTAACGAATTAATGGCAATCACCTTAACATTGTCTTGCCTCTCTCGAAGACCATTTTAAAAGAGTTTTTTTATTAGATTTATGTTTTAATGTTTTAGTGCATGTTGATAAACTATTGTAGATTTTCTAATGTGTGTTACGCTTAATCATTTGACGACTTAAGTTAAGCATTTTAAACGATGAAATTTTTAACAATAACCTGATTTCCATCGACTTTGCACTTTTAAATGTTGATGTAGTTTACTTTATTAACAGCAAGTTAAACGATTTTTCACTATGGTGTCAGGTAGGCAAATATAGGTAGTCAACTAATTATCTAAGGCATTGAAAACATTGCTGTGTGAGTTTTCATTGCAGTGTCTGGTGTATGAAATATGGATTAATGGAGATCACTGTCCACCTTGTTAGTTTTAAAACAAAAATGAGTTTTATGTTTTACAGTCCATGTTTATTTCAATCTTTTCTTAAACCTGTTAAGTGTTATGCACATACCATGTCATAAGTGTGTAGTAAACGGTGTGTTTCATATTCTTGTTGTAGGTACTAAAATGAATGGTCCATATAGATTAATTGTCTATGTAGTTATATGAAAAACAAGATATAAATATTTTTAAAAATAATGACTGGGTTTAAATAAGTCTTTATGAGATTGAATAACAAATTAATATTAAACAATTAACAGTAATTTTTCGTATGCCTGTATTAAGTATAAACTTAATACACTAAATGTAACACCAAAACCTCACTATATTAAGTTACATTATAACTTATTTTTAAAACAAATTTCATGCCACTTGCCCAAGTGCATCTTATATTTGTACTTTTGAGTATGCCAGTTTTTAATGAAACATTTTAAGAAATAACTTCTGTGTATGTAATATGATCTGTATTCCCTGCTTATAATTTTTAAAGTTTGTTCGAGTTTCGATACTAATTGAAGACAATGATAAACGCTTCAGAAAGTGCATTTTGAACAATCGTGTAGCAGACATTTCATTCAGTTCAGAGCATTTCTTTTCCTTAGCAGTATTACAGTGTCGTATACACTTATGTTGTAAGTTTAGTGATGACATGTGGACCGACGTGCTGTTTTTTATTTTAATAAAGTTATTGTAAATTTGTGTTTTCCTTTCTTTCACTTCCGTGATGGATGTGTAGTGTCAATATTTTAGGGACACAGCGTAGCTTTACAGTCAGGTTATTTTCAAAGCAGCGATTGAGAAGTAAAGCAGTAACGGTTTTTTCGCGGTTTAAATGTACATGTGGCGTTGTATTAGTGCAATAAATGTTTTCTTTCTAACTTAAGTCAACTAACATGTTGACTAAAAATGTTAATTGAAAAAAAATTATTCCCATGAAGGGTTTATTAGGAGAAAATCATTTATTAAAAAAATATTCTCAGCTCTACGTTCCTCGTCCTATTTTATTCGCCCCGCGATCGGAGATCACACGCTTCGGATCTGCCGCTCACTTCTGGATGACCTGCTTCTCAATCTTCTCCTGCTGCTCCTGCGACTGCAGCTGCTGCAGAGTCAGCAGGGACACGCCGAGCTGGTCCTCGCGCGTGAACGGCTGCGCCATCTGGCGGAGCCAGCGCTTGCAGATCTGGAAGGAGAATGGATGCATTACGAACGCCATACCGGATGAAATCTGAACTAATGAAATATTTACTAATGTTACTGTTGTTTCACTGTGGTAGGGGCCATGATCTGATCTGATCGCCATGCTCGCCCTCACAGAAGACGGCGGGAATTAGAAATGTCGTTAGTGAAGAAATATATCGACATATATACATAAAAATATCACTACCGGCCGCGATATATCGAAGAGATAATATCGATATTTTTACATCCCTAGTTTGAAGTGGAAGTGTTACTCTTTCGCGTTTCGCATGGCGAGTGAGGCTAGCATGGCCCACTTGTTTTAATTAGTAATCGCAACTGCAACACGTCCAGTGTTGTAGACGTCTTTGGGCGGCGTTAGTCACGACATCAGGTGAACCACCCGTCCGCTTGATACCTTTTTACATAGAAAATAGCGTGGGAGTTTTTTGTTCGTGTACGTAGGGACTACTCTAGGCCCATTAAAGCCTTCACCGCTTGCGTGTCAAGCGCTTGGTGTGCCGAAGTGTTCCGTAGATCTGTTAAGTAGATAGATAGTGAGATTCAGTTGGAGGGGGAGGGGGAGAGAGAGAGAGAGCGATAGACATTTAGATGGAGGGAGAGAGGGACCTGCACGGCCTCCTCGGTGCTGAGGTTGCAGAGCGAGTCGCGCAGGTGCTCCTGGATCCAGCGCGGCAGGCGCGTGCGCTTGTCGGCGCGGCTGAAGCGCTTGTCCGCGAAGATCATGATGCCGTAGTCGGTCTTGCCGCTGCGAATTCCAACAATTCATGCAATAAAGAGTAAATAGAGTTCGCAGCGAACACATCCGCAGCGGAACGGAGGTAACAGACAGCTCAGAAGGTCAGTAAGTTGAAGTGGCGATGGACCGGCCATATAGCTCGTAGAACCGAAGAAAGGTTCTTGAGTGTCGATGGACGCAGCTGGCTCAGAATCTTACTTCGTGGCAGTCTGTGGGGGAGGCCTATGTTCACTGTCCACACGGTGGACTCAAATAGGCTGAAATGATGACGATGATGATGCAATAAAGTAGACTGAATGAAGAAGCAGCCTACACATGTGTTACTGAAAAAAAGTCTCTTCTGCACAGAGGATATTAGAGCCACCGACGCCGAAGCCAATACCTTGGCAACTGCGCCACGGAGTCATCAAAATATTATAAATAAATATTTATCATTGCTTGCGACTAACCGCAACGCCCTGCCGACGCACTGCGCCGCGTGTCGCATCGCGTCGAAGGTTAGAAAGTCGTTCTCGCGGATCTGAAATCGGAATTAGCATCGTTACGTTAAATCTTCATCGACTATATTCACATTTTACGCTGCAGCACGAATGGGCTGGTCCTCCCGAGGAAGTATTACCAACTCACAGAAGAATGACGTGAAGTGGAAGTGTTACACTTTTGCGTTTCGTCTGGTGAGTGAGATAACCCACTTTATTTAAAGGTGCCGACGCATCTGCAACTCCACGGTTGTATCAAACGCAACGGGCATCAGATGAAGCCACTTTCTAACTTAAATTGCAAAAGAGAGAAGGGCGGCGGACCTGGTACTGGTCCCTGAGGTACTCCAGGCGCGCCTTGAGGATGCGGCTCTGCGTGAACACGTAGGGGATGCCGAACATGAGCACGGCCCTGCCCAGGTGGTGGTCGAAGTCCACCCCCTCGGACACCTTGCCGCGCGCCACCGACAGCAGCACCGCGCCGCGCCCGCTCTCGCAGGCCTGAGCCCGCACAATCGACCACTTATACGGGGTGACTTTTATAAAGGTGCCCGAATTCACGCAATAGGTTCAGACTCTTTTTTTTTATATTGCTATTCTGTTCCCTAAAATACAGAACTTGTTGACAATGCGGTGGTCATTCATAAATGCGTCGTATACTTTTGAAACGAACTTGTGTGCGTGTTAGCTATGAATGATCGCGCGTAAAATAAATGTGTTGCCCATAAATCACGCACTTTCTGAGATAAGTTCAATTGAATGTAATTAATTAATCACTTGAATTGAATAAAAAAATAGTGGATACACTTAGAGAAGCCTCCCTGTATACGTCGTTGGTGTCAACGTTGCCAGCGATATTTCCGCACCAATACGACTCATGGACCTTCGAGAAGAGAGCCTACTACCTTAAGGGCCGGCGACGCAATTGTGACCCAACCGATGTTGCAAGTTGCAATTATTGATTTAGCAATTATTGTATAATTATTATATATCAAATTATTGATTTAGTACCTGGATAACCGAGCTTTGCTCGTTTTTTTTTGTAAATCGTGTATTTTGGAAATAACATTTAGATACAAATTACTAAGTAATGAAATATGCATAATATTTTTCGATCTTACCGACCTAATAATAAGAAAATATGAAGGGGTGTTTTTCACAAAAAAAATAACTAAAAAAAAAAGGGAAAAAAATAAAAAAATCATCTGGATCGACAAAAAATAAAAAATAGAGAAAGCAATGATCTGGAATCAAAAAAAAAGTAAAAAAATAAGTATGTAAATGATCGTGACACGAACTACGGCCGTCTGTTTTGGGGCCGCCCGATTACCGACCGAGCTACTATAACATTTTCTTTTGCGGCGAAATTTACCGTCATATTCGAATGATATTTTTCATTCCCTGAAAACAGGGATAAAAGGACATTTTCTAAAAATGAAACCTAGCTAGATTTAAAGGATAAGATTTTTTGTAAATCGTATTCATGTACATAGCTCCAATCATAAGTAAGAAATATATGTTTTTCCAATTTAAAAATTACCTTAGATCGTCTTTTATATATTTTTACCTTGATGTAGTTGATGAGAGCGAAGCTCGTTTCTGCAGAGTCCTGGGTTTCTATGAAAAGCAGCTTGTGGCGCTGGAGGCTTGCAACCACACCTGTCGCCAAATACAGTGATTGACACAACACACACACAAGCTAGCTAGGCAGCCGTGATAGCTCAGTGTCCGGGCGCTCGCCTTTAATTCAATATACTCGAGCAACCTGAGTTCGATCCCCGGTGCCGGCACCAATGAAGTTTTTAACTTTAAGTGCTGACTTATCACGAAAGTAAAATTTCAAGGAAAACATTGAAATAATAACAAAAAAAAATATATTTCGAAAATATGTGAAGTCCGCCAATCCGCAGTGGGGCCGCGTGGTGGACTATGCCCGGATACCCTCTGTATAGAGGAGGCTTTGGCCCAGCAGTGGGACATGTATAGGCTGTTACTTTACTTCACTTTACACACAGGCGTGAAGGGGAATAATAAGTCTGCGTCAGCGAGTGAGGTAGCCAGGGCCCACAAGGTGGCAACGCATCTGCGACCGTACGGGGATTTCGACCACTTAACGTCAGGTGATCCGCCACCTCGCATTCCACCTTTTCACGTAAACAAAAGATTCAATTGGTTAAACATTTTAGTTTTAAATAACTTAAATCAAACCAAAGTGTTTTAAAACCTTAGTTCTTTTAAGTTCAACGTATTTATAATACAAAAAATATAACATTTCGTTAAACTTAGTCTGTAAAGCCTCTGGGCGCCAAACCAGAAGATACAGGTTCGAATCCCGCAGCTATCTAAAAAAAATTCCGCCGTCCGAATCCTTTCCCACAAATTTAATGTTTAATCTTAAAAATTAAATTTCTAAAAAGCAATGGCGACATCTCTCGTTCGACTTATAGATGTAAAACGATATTCGAAATTGTTTATATGCTGGAAAGGATGTAACAATGGATGCGCCAAGCATTGCTTCAAATGCTAAAAAAGAACGTAGATAAAAGACGTTAAGATTTTCGTCGGTGTGACAATCAGCCGTTTAGCTCAGTGGCTAGAGCGTCAGGCCGCGAATGCCGAAGACGCGGGTTCGATTCCCACAGCGGCGACAATCTTTTCGTATTATTTCTAAAAATTTTAATATTATTTCAAATCCCAAACCTGGACAGAGTCCGTACATTCAAATATTTAATACTTGGCATACGTTTTTATTTGGACAACGGGGCCAAAAAAGAAAATATCGATATATCGATATATTCCTCCACTTTCGGCATCGCTAGTATGAACATGCGTCGTCTATATTATTAAAAATAAATATATTAATAAAAAAAAAAAAAACCGTTGGCCGTACCTTGGTCGTACCAAGCGCCGACGACGCTCTCCAGATAAAGGTACGACGTGAAGAAGCAGACGACACCGTCGGGGACGCAGGCCGATATCTGCGGGGGGAAACGTGTTTACCTTTGCGTACTAGTATCCAGAACGTTGAACCACGCCCGAGTGGAACGGTTTAACGAAACAAACGGACCCACCGCCGGGGGTCCCGCCGGACAACACTACAGCTAGTGTAACAACAAACACACTAGTTCGCCCTCGCCTCCGAGCACGGCGAGACCAACACAACGCGTACACAAGGTACACCCGCGTTCCGGGGCGGTTCTCACCGCCCCCAGCCACCGATTAGCTAATTGCACAGTCGACGGCCGTCGGGATCTCGGTCCGCACCGCAACTTCGATGGCCCTTAGATGACATGTCGTAGTTAAACGCACGCATGAGCACACGCGCGGCCCTACCCACAGCGGAGGGCCCAAACCCGTGGGTTCTGGCTAGCCCACCGGCTCTGCGTCAGATGAAGCTTTAATAATCTCGGGACTGAAAGCAAAAACATCAGTTAATACAAAATACAAAACAAACTATCCTGCTGAGTTTCTTCCGCCGGTTCTTCTCAGGTCGGTGGCTTATCTATTCCGGAACGGCGGTAGGATTTTGACTATCAATAAGTAAGTGTAACGTTCATATGTTGAATGAATATATTTGAATTAACACGATCTAACGTGTATTAAAAAGACGTGTATCTTTAACCTTTGCGTGTCCAAAACATTGAACCACGCTGAGAATGCCATAACACATCACACATCTTGCGTAAATTCAAACTTTTAATAAGACATCGACCATTTTTCTAAAAAATATAATGTTTCATTTTAACTGCAGGTACACTACAAAAACTTGATATAAAATTTAAATGTTATTTTAAGTATAGTAATATTGAAATAAATTGGTAAGTATTTATATTTTTTTAGTCTATATTATTACATATTTTATGTGAGAAAATGGCAAACGAGCATGCAACAGGATATGGAAAACAAATGTGTGGTTGGAAACAGCAACCTTTAAAAGAGTGGCCCCGGTTACCTCACCCACCAGACGATGCGCGTAATTATAAATAGGTACTTTTACTTCTCATCGATCTTCTACGAGTGGTGTGTATTCCGATCGCTTTAACCTTGCTATTGTAACATTTTACTGGATTTTGAACGTGTCTCTATTGTAAATTTATTAATTTGTAACTGTCTACTTGTGTAATATTAATAAGTCGGACGATTTAGTCTCGTTAAACGTAGCGGCGTCAAATAAAATCCGTTTATTCATGCAAATTTTATTGATTCGTTAACAAACATGAATCATGCATCACCATCAACATGGACGAAAAACCTATCAATCACTAGTGCGACATGCTAACTTCTCGTTTAATTTAGTTTATTATGTGGGCCGACCCGTGACGGGAGTGGAGCGAGCCCCGAACATCCCGTCGTTTCACAAATATCAGTTTAATATACTGGTCCCGCGGTGCGGGAACTTTCAGATATTAAGCTGAAAAGAACAGATACTACACTTTGATCTTGGCCAAAAGGCCGAGAAGCGATGCCGAAGCTTTTTTTTTTTTTTTTTTTTGGCTGGATGAGCCACTGTTGGCCTTAGGGGCCTTCACAGATCCGACGGACTTGAGGTGGCCGGGCGCTCGAGGCGCCTAGCCTGAACCTCGCGTATTTACTATTACGCGTTATGGTGACTAAGCTCGAGGGCTCCCGAAGGAACCTCGGCTCGGGCCGTCACGCTATTTAATTCACCGGTTTGGGAGGCCACCTAGCTCTTAGGGCGCTTTGGCGGGGGCTCCATGGAGTGATCTGGCTCAAGGGTCCCCGAGAGGGGACCTCGGCTTGGGCTGTCACTCAGCACGCGTTTAGCATTCCGATTCGAGGGTGCCCGAGACTGGAAGTTTTTTAATCTTTCATGGTGATGCCAGGTACGTGCGGAACCTAGTATCTGTTTGCTCACGCCGGCGAGTGCGGGTTTGTGTTGGTGTGTTTGCGAAGTTTTTTTAATCCTTTCGAATAGTCGTCTCATCGTCAGGGAAATCGAGAACGTGTCGCGGTCTACGGTGATTGCGGCGGACGGACCTAGCGGCAGGGGTCGGTAGGTGGCGGCCCCGACGAGTAGCGGGTTGGGATGCGCGGCGGCGGAATCGAAGTATCGGCGCGACGCCGACTTCAGGAATTGAGCGATGGTGGGCAACTCTAAATCGACATGAAGGTCGATATTGCGCATGTACCAGGGTGCTCCCGTGGCTCTGCGCAAAAATCGATTTTGGATGACCTGAAGCCGGTGAATTTGCTTCGGAGCAATGTGTGCGAAAACTGGACTCGCGTACGTCATGATAGGGCGAACTACTGCCTTATATAGAGTCACCTTGTTCCGAAGGGACATTTTAGACGTTTTGTTGTTGAGGAGCGGATGGAGGCGACCGAGTACGAAGGCCGCCCAGTTCTTGACCCGAGTCACGTGCTGGTTAAATCTAAGTTGGGAGTCAAGGACGACACCTAAATATTTAACTTTGTTCACCCATGGTATCGGACTATCCATGAGTTTGACGGGGGTGGTTTATATACGTTTTTATGCGAAAAAAGGACGGCCGCGCTCTTGGCGGGATTGATTTCGATCCTCCATTGCCGAAACCAGTCACCGATGGTGATGGCTGCAGCTTGGAGGCGTCGATGGATAATTTCAGATGTTCTGCCTGCTGTATAGAGACAGGTGTCGTCGGCAAATAGGGCAAGTTCTACATCTTTGACTCGCGGCATGTCATTGGTGTAGAGCGTAAAAAGGACTGGGCCCAACACCGACCCTTGAGGCACCCCGGCTCGAACGGGATGCGGGGGAACGGGATCGCGGAGTGGTTCCGATGCTTTCCTTTCGACCTCTTCGTTCACCTTACGGAGGTGATCGGGGTGGGTCGGAAGCAAGCTGGGGGAGCATTGGGCCTCTAGACTGTCAGCTAGGCATTCGGCTTTCTCTTCGTCCAGCATTGCTGGCGTTCCTATCGGGCGAACTAGTGGTGGCATGTTTGGAGTGGCAATGCCCTTGAGGGATTTGGGAAGTTTCCAGAAGGCTTGGTGGGACGGTTTTATGGAGACTAGGGTGGAGTCCCACCGTTCGTTTCGTGAGTCTGCTATACGTGTTTTGACTTCACGTTGCAATTTACGTAGCAGTCTACGATTCGAGTCGGTGGGATATCTATCGTAGGCGCGTGTGGCCACATTCTTGCGCCTCAGTAAGTCTTGTACATCGTCTGGCAGGGCCCAGCGATGGTCGTCCATCGCTGGAACCTGTCTCGAGCATTGCTCGACGACGGTGTTGACGTGACTCGTGAGGGCCCGAATTGCGGTCTCCGTGTCCTGTTTGTTGTTGAGTTGGTCGGGGATCGATTCTAATATTGGATTGGACTCTTTAAGTTTGGTTTTGGCTCTATGGCAGCTGATGGCTGTTTTGGTTTGGGGGGGGGCTATTGCTGAGGGCCCTAGCCGAATGAGGACTGGTCGGTGATCAGAATGAAGCTCGTGAATCACTTCCGGGTCGCGCATGGTCAGATTGATGTCTTTGACGACTGCAATATCAAGCACATCCGATGATTGTCCCTATATGTCCTATATAAGGGAAGTGCGTATGTTCGACTGGGGCTACAACTTCAAAGTCGAGCCTGTCGGATAGCGAGTCGAGTGCGGTGCCTCGACTGTTGGTGCGTGTCGAGTTCCATCGGATATGGGCCGAAGCTTTCGCGTCCACGGATCTTATTCGATACTCAAAGAATCTCAACATCGCGATGTGGAGCTTTACCGTAGACCTAACACCGCCATCTATCGTGCGGTTTACGCAATTCTCAACTGACAGTGACAACACAATCATGCAAACAAACCACCATGACCATTTATTTAATAGGATTTTATCAATTCTGTCTCGAATAATAAACACCGAGACATTTAAGAAAAGCACCACACAATAATTGCATATATTAAAAAAGCAAAATTATAAACGCATCTTGTATCAGCTAAATGCTCTCTCCATTCTAATGGTTGTGTGAATAAAATTAAAACGTCAATTTCATATACACACAACACACACCGTGTATTCTATTAATAAGTAAAATATAAGGATTAGAAGAATTTAATTATTCTCTACATGCAACGGCGGGTTGACGACAGTGATAACGGCTGTAAATGAATCACGTAATATCGTTTAATCCCAAACAACACACAGCTAAGTATTTTTCTAGTTCTCTTTTTTTTTTAAAACAACTGCCCTTACTTTAGGATAATCTTGTGTTGTGAGGACGTTTCACAAATATAAATATCAAACAACTATCCGTGGGTCACACAAACAGTTGGTACATGTAAGAATCGAACCCACGACCCCAAAGCCGAAGCCAATACCTTGGCAACTGCGCCACGGAGTCATCTGTGTGATATTTCACCGTCTCGCCATTCACTTTTAATTCAATACGCTCGAATTTAATACAAACTAAGTTCAAACCATAGTGATAATGAAATGACTAATGAAAGTGTTAATTTTTAGTGCTGACCTATCACGTGCTCATGGCAGACAAAAAAACACCGCGAGGAGACCTTCCTATTTTCGAAATAATCTAATATATAAAATTGTCGTGTCACGGTGTTTGTAATTGAACTCCTCCGAAACGGCTCGAACGATTTTCGTGAAATTTTGTGTGCATATCGGCCAGGGTGGAGAATCGGACATCTTTCATCCCCCTAAATGTTAAGGGTGGTCCACCTCAAACATTTTTTTCCACCCTACAAATAAGTTATATGACAAAACAACGTTTGCCGGGTCAGCTAGTAATATATAAACATTTTTGGAAGATATGTGGAGTCCGCCAATCCGCTGTGAATCCCTATTTACGGACGAGGCTTTGCCCAGCAGTGGGATATATACTCAGTTTATTCAAAATATCTTGTTTGCTTGACTTTTGGTGTGGCAAGGTCTCTTGTGAAACAAATCCAACTCACCTCGACCAGGAGTTGACCGTAGTTCCTGATAACCGCGACGTCTTCCCTCGACTCGTATTTGGACGATATCGCCACTTGGTCGCTCCCCTTCGACACGATCTGAAACGGATGGAGCGATTGGGAGCCTTTCTGCTTTCCTGTTCAATATTAAGGTGTTTCCGGCGCTACTCTGTCTGTGGTTGGGCCACGTAACAGCCTCGGCTGTTACACGAATGGGCAGCTCCGTCCGGGTAAGTACTACCAACTCACAGAAGACCGGCGCGAAGTGGAACTGTGACACTTCTGCGTTTCGTCTGGTGAGTGATGTAGCCGGGGCCCACTTTATTACAACGCACCTGCCACTCTAAGGGTGTTGCAAATCTCATTGGGCTCCGGTTATCACTTAACATCAGGTCAACCGCCAGCTCTCTTGCCATCTTCACACATTAGGTAAAACCCTTCACCAAAAGATGCTCTTTATGAGAATAAATGGAAACCGAGCAGGCGATTTTTCCTCATATTGAGTTTCATCCTAATTACCGTCGCGAACGTGAAAAAAAAAACGCGTGTCTGTACTTATGTACCACGTAAGAAGTTATACCTCTTTGGAATTACAAAAGAAAAGATTTATTCCTTGTGTCAGTAACTCTTTTTGCAAACAAGACTAAGTGCAATCATTAACTATTCAATTAAATAACTTGGAATCATAGCTAAACGTCAAAATTGAAGAGAGAAAGACGTATTTTATAAACAACTAAAACTTATTTTAAACTTTATCACAAATAAATATTCAAAACTAAATATAATATTAGGTGGAGATTTTAATATAGACGTTTTAAATAACAGTGTAGAAGCAAACGAGTTTATAAACCTTTTGATAGAACACAATCTTATTCAACACATAAAGGAACGTACACACCATCTCTCATGTTTAGATCTCATATTTACAAACTTTTATGATATATACTCCTTAACTACAGTAGAGGATTTAGGGTTCTCAGACCATAAACGAACAAGCATAAAAATTAAAATAAACCTCCAAAAAAATAAACAAATCTATAAAGCGAAAAAAAGATCCTACAAGGATAAAAATATCCATAAATTTAAAGAGAAATTGAGAACTATAATTTGGCAAAAAATTATACTTCATAATAAAACTGTAAACGAAAACTATACGACATTCCAAAACACACTAACTAATATCTTAAATGAAACTTTACCTAAAAAAAGTATTAAACTACAATCAAACGACAAATAATATTGGCTAACAACTGGAATCAAACTGTGCTGCAAAAATAAAAGATTATTAAAAATACTAACTTCAAAAACTAAAAGCTACATAATTAAATCTTATTATAAAAGATACGAAAAAATACTTAAGAGGCTAGTAACAACGGCAAAAAAATTAAACTACATAAATAAGCTAAAAAAATCAAATAACAAAGTAAAAACGATGTGGAAAATTATTAAAGAAAGAACAAATAAAAAAACTAAAAATAAATATAACAATATAACTTTAAAAATAAATGACAGTATAATCTCGGAACCAAAACGAATCGCTAACATATTCAATGATTATTTTGCAAAAATTAGTAAGGAAAATGTCTCCCAGCCAAATGGAAATACTGAATCAAACGGTTGCCCTGTGATTAATCCTACAGAAAACACAATGTTTCTAGCACCGGTAACTTATCAAGAAATATATAAAATAATAAGAAATCGAAAAAGTAAGAACAGCTACGGATTTGATGAACTACAACCAGCACTAATACGACAGTGTGCAAATGAATTAACTTTCCCTTTAACTATATTGATAAATCAGTCATTCGAAGAAGGTATTTTCCCAGATTTGTTAAAGAAAGGTATAATCAAACCCATCTATAAGAAAAATTGTAAATCAGACCCAAGCAATTACCGCCTCCATTACTGTACTATCTACAATTTCAAAAATTTATGACAAAGCAATGTGTGTTCCCGTATAATCATTTTGCGAAAAATATAAAATATTTAACGATGCCCAAAATGTTTTTCGTAGAAAAAGATCCACAACATTAGCAGTCTACAAATTTATCCAAGAAGCTCTTTCCATATTAAACAATACATCGTACCCAGTTGGCTTATTTCTGGATATGTCAAAGGCGTACGATAGAGTACAGCATGAAATACTTCTTGAGAAGCTGTACGGTATAGGAGTACGAGGAGTAGCGCATAAGTGGTTTACTTCATATTTAAAAGATAGGGTTACAATATGTAGAGGTTAACCATTTTGATGAACAAAAAAACGAATTTGAACACGTCCACTCAAATAGTACGACCTTAAACTCATCTATACCTCAAGGCAGTGTGCTCGGGTGTTTGCTATTTCTGATATATATAAACGATCTCCCCAAAATTACAGCTGACTATTGCGTTTTGTTTGCAGACGATATATCAATTTTAATACCGTCTGAAAATAGTGTCCATTTAAGTAATAAGATCACCTCTACATTTGACCTCATTACCGAATGGATGAGCAAGCACAATTTAGAATTAAACTTCTCAAAAACTAAAATTATGATTTTTCACCCGCGCCAAAAAAATCCGTTAGATTTCAACTTTTTCTACAGAGATATACAACTTGAAGTTACAAGCGAATTTACATTACTAGGAATAGACATAGACACACACATCAATTGGAAAAAACATACACAAAAAATAAGTAGTAAAATATCGCGTTTCACATATGCACTCAATGAAATTAAAAAATCTACTGACTTGAAAACTGCCCTTGCAGTATACTATGCCTATTCTTTTGCATGGCTTAACTACGGATTGATTCTCTAGGGGAATAGCACAGGTGCTCCTGCAATTTTTACTCTACAAAAAAAGCTTATAAGAATCCTAGTTAATATAAAGCAAACAGATAGCTGTATACCCCACTTTAAAAAGCTAAATATACTTACCTTACCAAGTTTATATATATATGAAATATGTAAATTTGTTCGAAAAAATCCTTTGCTTTATCAAAATCGCAGTGAAATTCCTGTACAATACAACTTACGACATAAAGACAGACTAATGCAACCCACTTCTACACTACAATTATACTCAACGAGTCCCTATGTAATGACCATCAAGATATATAACAAACTACCGCAAATATTAAAAGACGAAAAAAACGATAAAACCTTCCTAAAAAAATTAAAAGAATTGTTACTTACCAAGTCATATTATGACATAAAAGAATATTTTGGAGATACCTTGGATATTATAGATATAAATAACACATAATGATCTCACATCATAAATATATTAAACTAATTACTAATAATTAATATATAAATTAAAACTAATAAATGTTACTTATAAAAATAAATAGCCACTCAAAATACCAACTACTTGTACCCCATTAAATTACCTAAGTGATACATCTTGCTCTCTCTGAATTTATGATTTGTTTTGTACTATGCCCTATAAAAGGGTCCATAAAGAACTATTTTACTAATTACCCTAACACCTTTTGTTACTTAATGGATGTGCAATAAATAAATAAATAAATAAAAATTATATTATATATTATCGGTTGCCACGGTGACACCGTGAAGTCGGGATCGGTTTTAGGTGTTGCGCATCGTAAAAATTCACTCTCATCATTTTTCTCAAACGCCCCAAAATTAAAAAAAATATGTTACTATAATAATAAATAGTGGCGGCAATATAAATAATAGTGGCGGTGGGTTGTTAATACCATCGGCAGCAGACAAGGTCGCGCCAAGGTCATGGTGAAGGAGCTCACGATGACAGGGTTGAAGTCCAGGATCTTCGGGTACATATCCAGCGGGGACAAGGTCCCTGAAAAACAAACATAAAAATAATTTATACATTAGAACATATTTAAATTCGGCTATACAAAACGTGCCATTACACTTTTATGAATTGAACGGTAGACCATTTTTTTATTATACTACATATTCTTATACGAAATCACATTTTAATTTATAGATAAATAAACAAAAACTTTCGGAGCTGCGGGATTCGAGCCTGTGTTTACCGGTTTCACGCCCAGACGCTTTACCAACTAATCTACGCGTCAGATGACCTCGTGCGAAAATTTCAACATCCTTACTTATATCCTTTTATTGCATTTTTAGCAACGAAACTAGCACTAAAAATCCTAAAATTAATCCATAAACATTATTACAATTAAACTATTAAATCGTCATACATTTTTAATATCTGTGTATTGAAATTTTTACCCACATCCATATCTCATACATGCTGCAGGCATAAATACTCACCGGATGTGATGATGACGGATTGGAAACGGGCAAACACGGGTCGCATAGCTATGGATGAGTCCATGCATCTGGAACAAAATTTCAGTTACAGAGTTCCGAAATATACAACAGCACCTGATAGATGTTATAGTTTTAAGTAAAGTTATGCTTTAGCAGACAAGATTTTTTTCTCTTTCTTGTTTATATGTAGGTCATAAAAACATGGAAAGATCATTAAGACAAAGGAAGTTTGGTAGTGGTGAATATGGTCAGTGTATGGTCGGCGTCGGATCGTTGCATGGTCTGTATAGGATCGGTTTATGGTCATCGCAACGTCAGCATATGACCATCGGTCGATCGGCATATGATCGGCGTATGGTTATTGCATAGATCGGCGTATGGTTATTGCATAGTCGATATATGATCGGCGCATGGTCATTCTATGGTCGGTATATGATAAGTGCATATGATCGGCGTATGGTTATTGCATAGGTCGGTATATGATCGGCGTATGGTCATTGCATGGTCGGTATATGATCGGGTATGACCATTGCATGGTCGGTATATGATCGGCGTATGGTCATTGCATGGTCGGGATATGAGCGGCGTATGGTCATCGGACGGCCGGAATATGAGTGGCGCATGGGCGTCGTACAGCCGGCATCCGGGCCAGAGCGCTCACGAGAAGTGCAGCACCGGGTTGGAGACGGTGGGCGCGCGGTCGTCGTAGGGCTCGAGGATGAGCACGAAGCCCTTGGTGTAGGAGGCGAGCAGCGTGGCGAGGTGCGCCACCAGCGTGAGCGGCGCCAGCGCGGAGGGCTCCGCCACGCGCAGCGTGCGCACCAGCCAGCCCAGCCGCGCGGCGCAGAAGCGCAGCGGCTTGCGCTCGATGCACACGCGCGCCGACAGCTCCTTCAGGAACCCTGCGCGGTTGCAGTGCCGGTCATATGCCCGGCTCGTACGTTCAACGGACGGCTTTCGTGGCTGTCATCGCGACTTGTAGATTAAAGGGACGCCAGTAACTCACTTTCCGTAGGTGATGCAACGGCTCGTGAGGGGGACGCCTCGTTTTGTCAATATACGAACCGCGCGTTAACGCCCTTTATCTACAATATGTAACTAACAGACGTTAGTGGAATATAGAAACCGGGCAATAGTGCCGTAGCGCAGTTACCAACGCATTGGCTCCGGCGCCGGGGGCCGTGGGTTCGATGCGCACTGCTTGCGCGAACCGCAGATGGTTGTTTCCGATCTGGACGTTTGTCCACGTGAAATTTGCGTATGCGAAACGCGCTTACAACACGAGATAAATACACTTGAGACGAAACATTTATAAGATACGATGAGATCTTCGTCGGCGTGGCAATCAGCCGTTCAGCTAGCTGGTTAAAGCGTCCAGGCGCGAATCGGAAAGACTCGGATTCGATTCCCGTAGCAATGAGAAACGTTTTTTTTCTTCTACAAATTCTAAAAACCTACTCATTTTTTTATTTTAAAACCTATTCATGTGCCGCCGCTATTTACGTGTGCCTTGCCCTCTCGTCTTTTGGGCGAAATATTTCCTATATAAAAATCTACGTATACACGTTTACACTGCTCGTGTATTCAACGAGGTATTTTATTGATTATCTAGTGTATTAAAGCCGGAATGGCTTTAAACAGGTTGATCGAATAACGATACAAATGTATTGTATCATTTTTAGTTCAAACTAAGTATTTACATTATTCCGTTTGTGCTTAAGACACTATTAAAACCAACCAAAATTCTTTCCAACAGTAAACCTACCATGCTGATGGAACTATAATAAAATTGGTACATTACAAAAATAACATTTTGACATAACTTATAGTTTGTCCATACACAATTATAAAACAGAGCGTACCGGCAGGGGACTCCTGCACCACATGCTGGACCCGCATCCTGGTCTTCAGGTACTCTATAAACCGCTTCAGGAACCCGAGGAAGTGCTCAGCATTCCTTATGTTACCCGGAACCACCTCTGGAAGGGACATATCCTTAATGAAAGAATTGAAAACCAAAATTTATCACTGGACAAATTCTTAAAGCAACATTATTTAATGGTATCAATGTATGATATCATAATTTATGAAAATAGATTTCTATCAAAGACATATTGGCCATCTTTGTTAGGCCTGTATTATTTATATATTACAACTGGCCGAATATGCATGAAATTAATTGCTGCAGGTAGCTCATGATTGTGGTTCGTGGCAATCTGTTGGGCAGGCCTTTGTGTGACCATTCAATAGACATTAAACAACACTCAGAGACGTCAATTAGCGCTTAAATAGCATTCAATTTGTTTGTTTTTGGAGTGGTGTCTCAGTTAATAAATCTTTTAGAGAGAATATGAAAAATTACAAAATTAGTTTTAGCGTCGCCTATATTCAACTACATTATAAAAAATCCTTATCGTACAACGCAACGGGATTCAAAGTAGATGGATAAAAACAGCGAAATGTTAGCAATGCGTTTAAACTAGTTAATCTTTAAAGATTTTTCAAATGCACCTATTGACATACCTTCCACACTGCACTGTTTTCACTAATTTTTTTTGTACACATAGCAAATATGAAAGCTCAGTTTATAGTACTCTCTAGATTTTAATTACTTTAAAAGTAGTGTGTAGTTACCTGTACTAGCCCATACAAAACCTATTGGGTTTGGAAATGCGCTTGATCTGCTCTAAATATGTTTGCTTCAATTAATCATTTCTTGTTAGTACCACAGGCACAACCAGGTGCTAAGAGTGTTATTTGTTCATGAATTTAACAACAGGATAGGTACCATTTAGTACTTCGTCGGGTAGAATGGGGTTGCCAAGTATGGTGTCAGTCTCTCTAGCAGCGGCCACCTCCCTCAGCCCTTCCACCATCTGCTCGTACTCAGCAGTCAACCTTGCCGCATCCTCCTCTCTTATTCTGGTGAATTAAAGGAACACACCAAACATATAGATATTTTCATCAAAATTTACACCAGAATGGCTCTTGTGAAGTATACAAATTTTAATTATTAAAAATAAAGACACATAAATTAAAAAATTATGTGTTGGCAAAGTTATTAATTTAGATTACATTACATTGTAACTAATATGTTTGTATCAAAAGACAAAATATTAAAAATGTATCCCAAACTATGACCTCGTACCAGAGTTGCGAAAGGTGTACAGTTTCATCGTTGGTACGAACAAAACTGAATGGTAATAATAACAAAGACGTAATAAGGAGTCTCTTCAAAATATTACCATGTCAAATAAAGTTTTGTGCGAAGAGCTAAAGAGGGAACCAAAGTCTTGTTCTCTGGTCACTTACTTGGCCACGGTCTTCTCCAGCTGTTGTAGGGCTTGGGCGCTTCGGTCGACGGTCCGTCTCGTCAGACGCACGCTGAGAGAATCCACGCACACGTTGTCAATGTTGTGGGCCTCGTCGAACACCACCACCGCCTCCTTTTGAAGTTCCTTCGAGACCACCTCCGCTATCTTCGGGTCCAGTAGATAGTGGTAAGAGTACACGACAATCTCGGCGTGGATTATCTGCAGTGGAATTGCATTCGTTAAAATTAAACACGGTTAACTCCATAAACTATATTAAGGCCGCATGTGCAGTCTTATAGTAAAGTATCAGCCTATACATGTCCCATTTCTGGGTAAAGGCCCCCTCTGTAGAGGGGGTATCAGGGCATAGTCCACCACGTGGCCCCACTGCGGATTGACGGACTTCACTTCGAAATTTTTTTTTGTTATTACTTCGAAAATATGCAGGTTTCATCACCGCTGAGCGCGTGATAATTCGGCACTTAAAATTAACAATTTTATTGGTGCCGGCACCGGGGATCGAACTCAGGTTGCTCGAGTATATTGAATTAAAGCGAGCGCCCGGACACTGTGCTATCACGGCTCCCAGTGTGCAGTCTTAAATATAATTATAGTTGAGCGTTAAATTCAAAGTTTTTTTAAATTATATATAATAACCATGATGATGTCAATAAATCGAAACGATAGTGAAGTAACGGCCGACACTTTTATAACAATCCAAATATTACACAATCAAATGTTTTAGGTCTTCGAAATGAGTCCTAATATACCTCTCATCCTGCATTTAAATTAACGAACAAACTCACAGCAAACCTGGACAAAAAGTACGGGCACCAATTTCTGTCGGCTCCATACTGCTTGAGGTCATCTATAGTGTACACACCATATGGCAACATCGATTCCCTGCCCTCCCGATTAAAGCCTTCATAGAACTGACCTAAAATTTTAATGTATAAAGTGGTTAAGTAAATGTCATATAGTTTTGAAAATATTAAAAAAAAAATAAGGTTGTGTATTTCAGAAAACATAACATAAAAAACGAATGAAACATAATTAGGGAAAATAATTTTCCTTAATTAAATTAAATTTTCTCATTGTACATGGGTAGGTGAATAGAAATTTTGTATCTTGGTAGCATCAAGGTTATTGACGCCACACTCCTGAACACAATTGTGTTCCTCAAGGTTGAGTGCTTTCACCTACCCTGTTTCCTCTCTTTATAAAATACATACACAGGGTGGACTAATATTTCTCAGGAGCAAGTCAACAAGAGTCGGAGTCTAAGATAGATATTTCTTTAAAATTTAGTGCAATTGAAACATCAAAAGATACATGTTTTCGCGTTTATCCCAACAAAGAGTTAACAGGGCCTTGAACTATCGAGCATCTTTTATTTCGCAATCATTGAAAGGATTTTTAACTGTGTCTGTGTCCACATCGAGGATCACTCTTCGCAAATCTTAGAATTAATAATTGCAACTGAACTTTTCCGCCACAAAACGCCACATCGATGGTATGTTTATCAAGAAATTACCACTAGACTACAGAGGTGAAGCTAAATGGGGTATGGTAAGCACTCACCATAACCTGTCCCATTTATTCCAGACAGAGATTTTTCTGCGGTGGTAGGGCCACGCAACACTGTTGCACGAATGGGCCGGTCCGTCCATCCGTCTTTAAAGTAGAAGTGTAACACTTCTGTGTTTCGTCTGTTGAGTGAGGTAGCCGGGGCCGTGTAGAACTAAAGGTGGCAACGCATTTGCAACCGTACGAGTGTTGCAAATGTCCATGGGCGGCGGTTATCACTTAACACCAGGTGAACCGCCAGCTCGTACGCCACTTTCTCACATAAAAAGAAAAAAAAAATTCCAGACACCAATTCCGTTTAAATCGATGTTGTAACACTTGTCTGTGATATTTTTATTGCATTGTATAAACAGATTCATGTTGGAATCATGAGTGTCAGCATGAATCTGTTTATATGATGAACAAAATTGTATATTATTACATATATGATGAAATTTCTCAAAGCTTACATATTGGCACTGAGCTGTCACCATCATGCTGCTCACGTATAAAGCTTGCAGTCAGGGAATGACATTTACCATCCACCAATTTTCCCTCCCTTTCCCTAGATACCTGAAATCATTATTTAACTGAAATAAGGACACAAACATGCTGCCTCTCTTTTAAAGAGGTTTCCTAATTATAAGAGAAATATAACTGATCTGTATATAAATATGCGTCTACTTACTTCTGGGTGTATACACAAGTTCTTTCTTGAACTGAGCACAACTCCGGTTATATTGGGCTTTTCACCAAGATTCTTCTCATAATATTTAATTAGATTCTTCAACTCCTCCATAACCTTTTCAATTTCTGGGACTGTACGAGAACAGTAAATAAGCTTTCTGTAAAATACCAAATTAAAATTAAACTACCTTTTTTCCACATAGATCATATTATAAAACTCCATACTGATACTGATCAGTTCGATTTGTAGGAACAATAAAAAGTATCTTCTTGTATTAACTGATGTTTTTGCTTTCAGTCCCGAGACTATTAAAGCTTCATCTGACGCAGAACCGGTGGGCTAGCCAGAACCCACGGGTTTGGGCCCTCCGCTGTGGGTAGGGCCACGCAGCTGCTCATGCGTGCGTTTAACTATGGTGTGTCATGGCCCTTAGCCATCGAGGTCGCGGTTCGGACCGAAACCCCGACGGCCGTCGACTGTGCAATTAGCTAATCGATGGCTGGGGGCGGTGAGAACCGCCCGGAACGCGGGTGTACCTTTTGTACGCGTTGTGTTGGTCTCGCCGTGCTCGGAGGCGAGGGCGAACTAGTGTGTTTGTTGTTGCACAAACTGTGGGTATAGTGTTATCCGGCGGGACCCCCGGCGATGGGTCCGACGTATCTAAGTCCCCTTCCTCGACCGGGTCGATGAGGACGTTTCGCGGGCGACGCTTGTTGACGTTCGCATTTGTGTCGGGTTGCTAATTTGCTGCGCTTACCACCAGAGGGTTGGATGATGTTCGGCTCTATCGAAGAACCGTTTGGTCAGGTCTTTAAAATATTCGCGAATCGTCGGGAGTCTGCAATCGCTGTGCAGGTCGACGTTGCGTTGATACCACTGCGCACCGGTTGCGCGGCGGATGAACTTATTTTGTACTATTTGCAACTTGTACAAGCGAGTTGGGTGCGTGTGGGCGAAGGTCATGATGCGTAGGACATAATAGGTCGTACGCAGGTCTTATTTAATAATAATTTGTGCCTTAAGGGCATTTTACTTTTAGAGTTAGTTAAATTGTGTAGCCGGCCGGAGATGAACGCGGCTCTATTTCGAACGTTATTAATGTGCGTATTAAATGACATACGTGAGTCGAAAGTGACTCCTAAGTATTTGAAAAGTATCTAGAAACCTTATCACACTAGGGGCAGCTTGACACAGGTAGTGATTAATAAAGTTTAGGAGAGATATTATTATTTTTGCAAGTGCTTCATTAATTCTTGTCCAACTTTTTTTCTTATAAAATGCTCCTTAAGTTAAATCGGTCTACCCAAGTTCTGTATAAAAGAATGATAAGAAGAATGTATAAAGTTAAAAACCAAATGTTTTTTTTTATTGGCTCCCAAACTAAGTCACATAAAGTGTTATGCATTGCTGTTCATGTTCCAAGTTCTGCTGTGACTAGTTCCTAGGAGAATATATTATAAGCATGAGCTATGTTTTTAATATATTTGTATAAAAAGAATGATGACGGATCTCCATAAAGTGAATTTGCAAATTTATTTTTACTAATTAAAATAATGCCAATGATATTTACTATGAAATAAAAAATAATGAAATAATATTTCTTTAAGTTTCTATATTGTTCAAAAATGTAAGTGAAAAACAAAATTCACTACAATAAAATTTTACCTTAATTTGTTATTGCATACTAACAAAATTTTGTTTGGTAGCTAACCTTATGTGATGAGGATTTTGAATTAAATACGCTACTATTAATGATAACAGGGAAATAGTTTTTCCAGTTCCAGATGGCATTTCAAGTAATCCATGACCCTGAAATTTTTAAAGAATGAAAAATAAATTATTAATATGTACTTATAACTAAATATTTTGTTCATGAATTATTTTTTTTTTATTTTTTTATTTAATTTTTTTTTTTTAAAAACTGCCCTTACTTTAGGATAATATTATCCTGTGTTGTAAAGGACGTTTTACAAACATAAATTTCACGCGGAAAAACACCCAGATGCGAAACAACTATCTGTGGGTCACACAAATAGTTGTCCCGTGTGGGAATCGAACCCACGACGCCGAAGCCAATACCTTGGCAACTGCGCCACGGAGTCATCGAATTAATTTAAAATGACAAGTTATTTTAGTTTTAATTTAATCTTAAGAACTTTTTGAAAAATGTTAAGTTATCATATTTTATTCCGAAATTTTAATTTGCTTGTGCATTTTTGTACTTGTATTTACATTTGGTAGTAAACTTTTTAAATTATTAAAATTTCAGTAATTCGTCAGGTACATAACACAAAATGAACAAATTCATTAAAAACAAAGAAATTCTATCATAACCTACATGAATTCATCTTATTGAATCACATGTTCGTCTAAGCTTGTTACCTTGGCATCAAGAGCACGTTTTAATTCCAGCATATAAGCATATTGCTCGGGATATATGTAATCATATGGAAAATATACCAGCAGACCATCCACTGTGAGCCTAGGACAACAAATTTTGTTTGTTTTGTTAATTTTTTAAGTAAAAACTAAACATCTCAAATAACGTAACTTATCTAACTCACTTCATATTTATAATATATAATTATTATTTAATAATAATTCAACAATTTATCTGTAATAATAAACAGTTTGTTTTACTATAAAATGCAAAAGCCGCTTATATGTTTTGACTTTTCTTTGACACTTGACTTTGATCACAATCAGCGTGACCAGATTTTATTTGACGAATCTACTGCTTGTCGAGGTTAAAAACTACTGAATTCTACCAAAAGAGAACGAGAAAACACTAAAATCATAAATCTAGTATATTTTTTGCTGTCGTGTAACCTATAAACATGATTTTTCTTGATTAAACGATAAAGTGATAAAAATATAATTAAAAAAATAAAATCAAGATTTTTAGCCTTTATGTTGGGTAACATTGTCATAAAGCTGTTTTGAGTCCATATGATCATACTTCTGTCACGATCAAATCTCCTACATCCTCCTTCCAACTGACCCCTCGTAACCCTTCTTTTCCATGCATTATTGCATGCAACATTGTTATTATTACATCGATTTCGATCTTAATTTTTAATCCTATTAATATCGGAAAATATTCTTTCTACTTTGGTGTTTGCCAAAGGTAGTATCGTCATTTGCTTCACAAATCGGAATAAATTGCCATACTTTGGTTTGCTATTAACATCACAGATTTGGCTGACATCACTACAAAATGTATCCACCAAAAACTTCAGACATATAACTAGCAGTTGACAATGAATGTTTTTTTTTAACATAGTACAGGTTCACACTACTGCATAAGTCGAAAGTATTAAAAAAGTCAAGTAAAAAAAGTCTTAACAAGAATAATAAACTAAGAATTACATTCCACATATTAACGTTAGCAACTTGCATACCTGAGAAATGCCGGAATATCCTTTCATATTTTTTATATGCTTTGATGTTTCCCTAAAATGGCGTAGACTCCGCCCACAGCAAATAGTGTTGTTTTATTAAGTCCATATTGACATCGATATATTGGTACCCATATTGATATCAATGACACGCAAAAATGTTATTAACTTTGCACGCCTTTCTATTAATTCTTATTTGTCACCACTAGTTGAAGGGTACGGGGTAAAAACTAAAAAAAAAATGTTAACCTAATGTAAGGGTAATGTAAACTAAAACTGGTATTTGCTATCAGCATTGTAACATAAAATAGTTTATTGTCATAAATAGTTAAATAAAATAAAAATACAATTATTATATGGATTAAAATCGTTTATTCATGGCGGAATAATATTAATTTTGTTAAAAAGTTGCGCTTTGATATATTTTCTGTGTTTTTTGCCATGAAACTTAATTAAGTAATAGACTAAATTAATTAACTAAATTAACTTATGTTTCTTCAAATCGTCAATAATCGTTTGGAAAGTCAACACCTTCTGCTTCAGTCTGCGGCACTTCTGACTGAGTATCTTTATTTTCCTTTTGCTGTAACTACACTTGTCTGCATAACTTTTGGACGTTTTTGGTTGCATTAACTTCCATAGCCTAAAAATTAACGTGAAATTACAATAAACATTTTATTTTATACATAAGGTTAGGGAGATAATTAACAGGGGTGATTCGTGCTCTGCAGTCGAACATACCTATGTATGTTTAAATTTAATAGCATCAACCCTATGGTTGATGCTATTAAATTTCATCAAAATATATGCTGAAATTAACGTATTGTGCCAGCCAATAAGTAGGATACTAGTTAAAGACGACGATGCTATTGTTTAAATAGAAGTTAGAAGAAATACTCACCGTATGAGTTTTCACCTAAATTTGTCATCTTTTGTTTGAGTCTGTTTGTCGTATCTATGTCCATATTTGTTGGGTGAATACAGACACGACTAACGTCAATATCCATTGGACCATGCTGCAAATTATTAAAATTATACATTAATTATAATAATTTTATTTTATGTATGCTATGCTATATATATCTATATGTTTACTTTTATTTTTATGAACCCAGCCAAATAAAAAAAATTCCAAAATAAAAAACAAATAAATATCCCCATAATAATAATAAATCAAAAAGCATTTGAACGGATTCACCAGATCAAGTCAAATTTCTCTCACTTCTCAAAACTTTTAATCTTAATTGCAAATTAAAATATAAAAGAGAATAATTAATAAATAATTAGTAAAGAATAATTACATTCTGTGCTGTGAGATGTCCCTGAATGATGCATAATTGTATTATTTCATTTTAATCTGACTATCAATACTACTTCGTGGTAACGAACTTGACTTAACGAACTTTGACGAGTGGAGCCAAAAAAAATAAAGTCTCGATAAAATTTTCAAACAACCATGCTATGAACAACACTACGTTTTCATGTAAACATTGCAAATATTTACTTATTGAATATTTTACTTGTTAGTACTACTACTAACAAGTAACTAACTACTTAGAAGAATAAAAAATAACCGATAACACTATATGTACAATTTCTGTTATATACACAAGTAGTATCACATACGAAAAAGTACAAAAAAATATAAAAACTGGAACTAACCTAAAAATGTGAATCCTTCGTTGTTTTTTACAGCATTCGAATAACAAACCTGTGATGCAATACTTTGCCATGTTAAATTTTTTTCTACTTATCTTTACAAAAACTTCAGAAATTACCAGAACACACACAATTCACTATTAAAATGAAAATAATTGTCGAACAGCAATTAAATGACAGTCGTAGTACTTAGAAAAGTGTAGACCTAAAATGGCGGCATGTCATAAAATGTGCTTCAAGGCGGGGCTTCGTGACGTAACGGAAAATTGAAACAAAAATTTGAAATTCCTGACATATACTTTACTTTATTTACATTTGTAAATTACAACGCGTTAGAGTGAGAGAGATATGTGTTTGTGATTGAGGTATTATATTTGCATCATATTTGTATAACGAAAAATTTTATATGCAATAAAGGGCATATCCTCTTATATTCTTTTATCAATGGATTCTATCATATTGACACTGTGATCCTTAATAATAATTCATCTGAAAAGAAAACTAAGTAAGTTTTCTTTTCAGACATGTTTTTTTTTTTCTACCTAAATATACTTTAGATATATTGGAATATAATTTAAATATATTACTTAACATTTTTAACTAAAAGACTAATAAAGAAGATTAATTAAGTAGGGTGCAGTGGGATAATTCCGACAAATTTGTATGACATCACTAAGGGTCCAGTTTTGGATTAATTATTGAAAGTAGTTTTATATCTAAGACCATTATTGTTTTACATCTGTTTGCGTTACGTAAATAGCTGTGATAAATATTTATTCAATTCTTAAAATGCAATTGGGGTTTTGGATTAGAGCATTTGAAATATTAAGCTAATATTCTTTTCGTAAAAGGGATAATTACGAACTATCATGGGGTAATTCTGAAGTATTTCAAAAGTTGTTTTTATTGAACTCTGGCCTAAAGTTCATATTACTTTTTCAGTCGTAATTATGTGTTACACAAAATATACGCAATATTGTACATAGAAACATTAATCTAATTTATTACAGCTTTTTTATTTCGTAATTACACCTGAAAGTGTATGTGGTTCTCAAACTTTAAGTTACAATTGTAGGATACTTTTTGTTAAGCAGTTTTGTCCACTTATTTTGTACTAAATAATACAAAGTATTGGAAAAATCAACATAAATAAGGACGAGGAAGATCAAAGAATGTAATATATATTTATTTAATTTAAAATCTTTTCTTCAAGATACTTTCCAGCAAATCGATATATTCTGCAATGACGAACAGATCTGTCATTTTTCTTCTTACAAATTCTACCGGCTGTGCTTTTTTAAAAGACCATAAATTGTCTTTCCGGAAATAAATTAACCAGGTATATTATTCTTAAATGGTGTCGGAATATAGTTTACCTGCACATATTCAGCGACATCTTCCATAGTTTAATTATTCTGCTAATTTATTTTCTTCTACAGGTATGACGGTAGGTCTTCTTGCATTAAACCTGACTGTTGCTTTATTTCTCTTAACGTATTCATGAAGGGGATTTTATATACTTGAGCTGCAGTATATTGCGTTAATTCTCCCTTTATAACTTTTTCGTTCGCTTGGGCCAAATCTTGTGAAGTGTATTTTTTAATTTTCTTTCTTATGTAATTTCGGGACATGATAGATACTTATGTAAAACAAATTTGTTAATAATGCAAATACATAAAAATAAGTTTGAGAACCACTGCTAATTACTATGTGAAAGCTAAATGGGGTTATAAGGAAAATATAATATATCGGAATAAACCCGGAAGGGTATTTCCGAAAAAAAAAAAATAACAATTAGAATGTTATGTTCCTCGTACATAAACGCAAAAAACGATAATCTATGGTTAAAAGGAAAACTTGTTCATGTAACTTACCAAAATTGAAAAATAAATTTATTGGGGTTATTATGAATCACGAAAAATGACGCGAAAAACACTTGTCCAAGAAAACTTGCTGTCACACACATAATATTGTCACTAGCGGCTTGCTACGACTGAGACGGCGTGGTTATTAAATATGCTGTCTAGCCTAACGTTGCTAGTAGGGAAATATAATTATAATTAATAGAAATTTAACGATTTCGGAATATACCCGTTTTCGGAATTGCCCCACTGCACCCTATGTATTTTGTGCAAGGGCAGATAGAGGTTTGAACCTAAATAGTGCAACGGAAGCAATTAGTTTGGTTTGAACGATTGCTTACAAAATTAAAGACGAAAACTTCTTATTTACGAGAATTAATCATTTACGGGGACCGCAAGATTCACGAAGTAGGTTTACTTCGAATACAATTAATATACACCTGTTGCCTGTTTATCTGGTTAGATAACACAGGTTCGAATCACGTAGCGCCGAAAATGTTATGTTCATTTATCGACAAATTTACAATTTAAAAGTTTCATATTGAGTGCAGAGACTAGCACTAAAAATACAAAATTAATCTAAATAGATATATAAAAAATATTTAATAATAAATCGACGATTTATCTGAAATAATGAAAACTTTATAAATATTGCTTCAAGTAACCAATATTGGTAAGCTTTATAGCCTCCCGCGCTAGGCGTGGTGAGACATCGGCGAACATAAATTATAATCGCAAATTATTAAGAATTATGTGTTTTTGGTGATTCAACAACTTTATATAACATTTTAATTACTGTGACTCACATTTGATCCCGTATTATGCTAAGTTTGGCTGCGTACTCTCAGCGCTCTAACGTAAAACTGTAAACATGTAGCAAAGGGCTATAAATAAAGTTGGTAAAGAATTTTATGTTCCTAAATTTTTATAATAGGTAAATATTATTAAACCATAGGAAGCGAGATATTATCTTGATATCTTTAAACGCGGATATGAGATTTAATGAGAATTTTGAGACAAATATTAAAATCTAAAAGATTTTTTTTTAGATTTTTATATTTGCATAATAATATGGGAAAAACGTACAAAGACTAGCTAGCGTAGCTCTGTGCTACCAACCTTCACAGAGAATACACTGTCCCAAGTTCCACGCTATATATAATACAGCGTGTCGTTACCATCGCGACAATAAATGAACACACGTGTAACGCTACTTGCCAATAATCATAAAAAAAATATTAACGTTAAACAAAATCCATAATTAAAAAAAAGATATTTTTCAAACAAACTAATTAAGTAAAAAAGAAACTAAATTTGTAACATCCTATAAAACTCGCGCCACAGCGTCGCATTACAAGCTTCTCCTTCTAACAGTATGTTTTGTCTCTTTTAAAATAATTCAACACATTCATATTCTTTGTGACCTTTACAAATGAACTTTAAGTTACAGTTTTATACGTAAGGATGTTCTTAAATTGTTTGTTTGGGAAAATTTAATAACTCTGTAAATATTGATGTTTGAAGAATGTAAATGTTTAATACAATTTTAAAAAGTTATATATAACTTTACTCTTTGGTTCCACGTTCCAAGATATAAGATTCGTCATAATTGAATGAAGGGTTAAGGGTTGTTTAGGTGATTTTTATCAAAATTCAAATTTCCTAAATCTGTTAAACTAAAGCTCGATTACATAGATCGGACCTGATTTCAAGAAAAAAAATATTTTCTAAAAAACTTTATATAACTAATTATCTTATCTTGAAATCTATAAATATCAATAGCAAATAATTTTTGTATTTAAGTATTTAACAATACAATATTACATATTACTATAACTACTACTATTAATATTAACAATACAATGAAAAACATTTTATAAATTATTGCCCTATTTGCTAATGGATTTGGTATCAGCCGTTTGTATTGTAATTTAAGCGATTTTAGCGACTTACGTAAACAAACAATAATTCAAGTAAACATTTAATTATAATTTGCTTGTTGAACCTCTGAACTCGGGATAAGGAATCGTTAACAATGCTGAATACACTGCAATCAATCTCATTTCGAACTTGCATCGCGCAAGAAGTGAGAAATGGTTAAAATTTGCGTTATCGGTGCCGGGGTCAACGGTCTAACTTGTGCATTGAAAATAAAGGAAAAATATAAAGATTTCGATGTAAATACGAAGAAATAATGAAACGGATAGTCTGAGCATTTTTCTTTAGTGTTTGATTATTTTTGTTATTTTTCAGGTGACGATATTTTCGGACGAATTCACACCAAACACTACGGGAGACGGTTCCGGGGGACTGTGGTATCCCTACCTATGCGGTGATACATCCCAAGAAAACCTAACGTATGTATTTGTAAAATTATATTCACTCATAGCTTTTGTTTTATGAGACACTGGTCAGCTATTAGGTACTCTTTTTCCACCATCCGAGTTAAACTATTTTTGTGTCAGTAACAACATATTTTGGAATAGATAAGTATTTCTCTATATATTTAGTCTCTATATATTTCGATTAAGAGTTGAGTAAACATTGGGGCTTGAACAACGCAGAAAAATTTCAGTGCATTATATACAGTGTCTCGTTACAATCGCGACAATAAATGAACACACGTCTAACGCTACTTGCCAATAATCATAAAAAAATATAAAACGTTAAAAAAATCCATCATTAAAAAAATATATTTTTAACAAACTAATTAATTAAAAAAGAAACAAAATTTGTAACAGCCTTTACAACTACAACTGACTGATTCATACATTCGTTGCCACAGCATCGCATTACAAGCCTCTCCTTCTAACAGTATGTTTTACCTCTTTTAAATACATTCAACCCATGCATATGCTTTGTGACCTTTACAAAAGAACTTTACGTTACCGTTTTATACGTAACGGTTTTCTGAAAATGCTTGTTTTGTAAAATTTTATAACACGGTTAATATTGATGTTTAAAGAATGTAAATGTTTAATACAGTTTTAAAAAGTTATCCTCTCTATGTGTGTGTGCTCTTATTGTCGCGATTGTAAAGACACGTTGTATACATGGATTCCATGAAGAAATAGAATTTACTTTTAAATTCACGTCACATATGTATTGACTTTGAAACATGTACCAGTTAATTGTATTTTTGTGATATCCTATAGAAAATGGGGAATCGAGACGTACAGCTTCCTTTACGACCTGTGGTACACGGGAGGCAAGCATATCTCTCTGATGCCGATGTACGAACTGTACAGACAGAAGAAGCAACTGTCGCGCCCTCTGTGGGCTGACTTGGTGTTTGGCTACAGGGAGTTGGATATGAGGCAGCTCGACTATTTAAGTACGATGCATTCCGTTGAATATTCGTAAGTATGAACACATAAAGATATGGCTACATTTCATCAAACTATTCGTTATAAAACGAATTTTCTATAAGCATTACAATTTGCGTGAGAGCTGGAGAGACATTGTGTAATAACGATTTATTTCTAAAAGGTTGGCCACGGTACTATGTGAATGTCCCTTAGCTAATACATTAGTCACACAGGCAGACTTAATATTCCTGTTATTGTTGCCAGTGTTGTCAATCTTAAAGTGTTTTTCTTTCACAGAGCCGGTCGAACATTCACGACCTTCGTAATACAAGCGCCAAAGCTTCTGGAATATCTCTATAAGCGTTTCAAAGACGCCAACGGCGAGGTAGCGACGGCTAAGATCACCTCGTTGTCAGATCCATTACTGCAAGAGTTCCGTGTCATAGTCAATTGTACAGGACTGCGGGCAAGGGACGTGGTGCCCGACACCAGAGTATTTCCTATACGAGGACAGATAGCAAGGGTACCGTGAAATTTACTATCGTCCTCCCAACTAGAAACAGATGGAAATATCGACGTTTTGGTTTGATATTTACGCTTTGATAAACCGTAGACTATATGAAGTTCTTTAGCCGAATATGTACGTGTATAGTAACATAGGCATTAACTAAATAAAGGGGATTATATAGTAGTAATTTTTGCTTATACCGTCGAGGGTTAGACGATCGTTCACTATAAGAAAGCAATAGGAAACTATTGCTTTCTTTGAAATACCGTACGCTATGCGATCATCTTTTTGTTTTTCTAGTCTATTTTTGTTTCTTTGCTAAAGGTCAAAGCTCCGTGGCTGAACTACACCATTGTGGACGAGGATAGCGGGCACTATATAATACCAAAGTAAGTGTTATGACAAAAATATTTTTTTTACAATATGGAATAATACAATAGTGCCGAAATGGCTACATCTACAAAATTTTTCATTATCCTCCTGCCCTTATCCCACCTTGTAGGGGTGGGAACAACGTGTGAATCATGACGTATGTGGTTTATTCCACCTGCCTGACGTCAACCCTCCTTGGAAAACCAGCACCCAGATCCGGAACAATTATCTGTGAGTCACACAAATACTTGTCCCGTGAGTGAATCGAACCCACAATCCCCGACCCCGCATCCAATAATTTAGTAACGCCGCCACCGAGGCATCAAAATGGTTACATACTTAAAAATAAATATAATAGAAGTGTACATTATTATTTGCAGCGACGCAATTTGTGTCTTAGGGGGGACCCATCAAAACAACGACTATAGAACAGAAATCGACGCTGGCAATACAGGGTTCATATTAAACGGATGCCGGCAAATGATACCAAGTTTAAAGGTTAGATAGTAAAAATACAAATAGTAAATTTGCTACGACACTGTTAGATACACTAGAAAGAAAGAAAGAAAAACATTAACCCTCTGCTTTTGGCGCACGATTTAAGTCCTACAAAACGTGCTTCGACGCAAGATGAAATAAAATTAATGAAAAGAAAATATATGCTAATTCATCCACCGCCCTTGTACGGTTGCGAAAAACATTGCAATTAGTTTTTATGAATGCTTTTCTCACGAGCTGAATTCAAGGAACCGACTTCAGTTAGGCGTATCATAGTACCTACACAATAAGAGAATACGCGCGAAAATTGACAATGATTTCACATTATGATTGATGTACCGCCAATGCAAAATTAAATTGGTGCAAATGACAGAGTAACAAACAAGCAAAAATATACAGCAGAATTGAGAACCTCCTTTTTTAAAGCATTTTATAGACAGTGCTACTTATCGCTTTTAATCTTTCAGTCAGTTGAAGTAGTAAAACATTGGGTGGGTCTGCGGCCTGGTAGAGACGAGATCAGACTGGAAGCGGAAGAGAGAAAGGGCAAAATATATATCCACAATTACGGGCACGGTAACATAAATTTCATATAAAAAAGCCAATCTTTTATAACCGACTGTTGCACAATGGGCTATAATTAATTAATTTACGAGTATTATTGAAAAATTATCACCACCGAATGACATTTCCGACGTCTTATTTATGAGGGTTATCTGTGGAACAGTGAAGAATGACACTTTCGCATATTATGTCGGGTTTCAATATTCTATCACTTATCTACAAATAGTAGGGATGCCGAAAGTGAAGAAATATATCGTATAAATATATAATATATAAATATATATATTTATTAAAATGTTAATATCGTTCGGGATATATCGAAGAGAAAATATCGATATTTTTTTAGGCCTTGTTAAAAAAAAACATGCCAAATATTTAATATTTGAATTACCAGACTCTGTCCCGTATTCGAATTTGAAAAAGTATCGCTTTTAAATGCGATTTCAATATTGAATATTTTATACCGATATATCGGATCAAAATATCGATAATTTTACTAAAAAAATATTGCTATATGGATATTTATTCGGCTTCCCTAACAGATAGATTTTCAAGTCCGTCGGATCTGTAAAGGCCCCTAAGGCAACAGTGGCTCATCCAGCCCAAAAAAAAATGATAGATTTGGTTACTAGGATAGAGATAGGTATTTGAAATTAGTCTTAGCTCCGTAAGAATTATGTACGTCAAAATTCTATATCCAGTAATCCTAAACCCTATCTGTAAATAGAATATTAAAACCGACCATAGTAGAATAGTTCATAAACGATGTTATGCTTTTGTCTTTAAACTTTGCCCTTACCGTGTAACATTATCCTGTGTTGTAAGGACGTTTTACATACACACAACAATGATGTTTAATAATATGGATGACGCATGTCCATACTGCGCGGCTTTTTAAAATTGATCCGCTTTACGTTATATGACGTTAGAACGTATTATACGGAAAGAGACGGCAGTCTATAGAATTACACCAATTGGTATAATTTGAGCGCCTCAATTTCGATGCGCTAGTGTCATGTCTTTGTATAGAATATCATTGACACACAATATCACGCGGTCAAACGCACAGATCCAGCAAGATAATATATGCGTCACATAAAACATTTACCGCGTTGGATCGGACCCACGACTCCGATGCCTATGCCAATAACTCGACAACTTGCGTCACAAACACATCAAAACATTCGTATACAACATTTTGCAACAACGCATTTGGGTGCCTTTTCGTGTTGAAAACTAAAATTTGGGAATAGCTTTTTCAAATGTCTTACAGCACATGATATTGTTAATCTACAATGTGGGCAATGATTAAAAAAAGTTATTTTTATGGTACAAAGCTATCTCCACACAATTACTGTTGAGACCCGTGTGTTTTTCAGGCGGCAGTGGCCTGACGCTGTTCTGGGGTTGTGGCGAGAACGTTCTGCAACTGTTGGAGCAGAACTTGGGCTCAATCAAACCACATGATGCAAAGTCAAAACTTTAATGTATAGAAAAAACGTATACAATAGTACATAGACTATATTCCTACCAGGAATTGTAACATTAACGCATAATAAAATTTAAACATCAAACAAGAGTTAACAAATAAAACTTACCAAATACAGATAGCAACGAAATTTTATTGCTCTCTTTAACGAGAATTTGTTAATACCATTTACCGGCGTTACTTTTAAGAAAGTAAACGTACAGAAATATATTCATACACATTTATTGAAACATTAAAATTCTATATGAGCCATTATCCTTTTGCCTTTATGTACGGGGAAAATAGTAAGTACAAAAATTTGCAACGGTACAAACACAACATTTCAAAAAGTATATCAATGCTATGCTGTGCTGTACAAAATCCGTAAGCATTTTTTAAAAGGCCTCATTGTCGTTTTTATATATCTGTAACTTGTTTTTAATTATCAGCAATAATGATTAAAACATATTATTTATTCATATTAAGATATTGCATTTCAATGAAACAATAATTGCAAACAAACACAGTAATTTATGAAATGCCTCAAACTCCAATGGATTTGGTATATGATTACAATTAAAAATATCATCGCAACAATTAATAATTTTTGATATTTATTTCAACATTTTTCTCTTTCAGTTGTCCCCTTTCGGTTTTAGGATTGGTCCCTTTCCAGTTGTGATTTGATTGTTTCACACAAAAAACGATACCTGTACTCGATTAGTTCGCTATTTCGGACAGGATGTCGCTGTAGGTGTACATTCAATGTCGGACACGTTAGGCCAATGAGATTTAAATTTGATAACCGTTAAAATTGTTTCTCTCCCTCTTATAATCAACTTATTTATAACTAGCTGCTGCTCGCGACTACGTCTGCGTAGAGGGGTGAAAATTTAGGGTTATATGTATTTAGTTCTCCGATTCTCCACCCTGGCCGGTATGCACGCTAAGATTCACGAAAATCGGTCGAGCCGTTTCGGAGGAGTTCAATTACAAACACCGTGACACGAGAATTTTATATATTAGATAGATGAGTCAATCGCATTACAGTCCTCATAACGATCGCACGGTTTTTAATTTGATCCAAACTCCAGGTAAGTAGACACGCAGTCAAACTACACAATACTCAAGAGCATCATCAATACCTATATAACTTAATTTTTCTTGACATTCCAATGATAAAAACCAACACTTGAGAAGAAAAAAAGTATAAGGCCCACACAACGGTTTATTTTATATGAAAATTTGCTATGCCCGCATCCTTATATCCAAACGAATTATAATTTTCTGAATAAACATTACCATTAGGTTTAATCCAAATTACTTCCCATTTTAACTAAGAAACATTATCCGAGCCTCTGCCTCATATCACTGTATGAAACCAATTTCGAAGCTCTCAATGGTAGGAAAAGCTCCTAGAAGGTACCAGTGCGTACTAAACCGATAACTCGGAATTGTTTTATTTTATGTTAACAGTTGGCAAGCGAGCAGGCGGTTCACCTGACGTTAAGTGATTACCGCCGTACATGGACATATAAAACACCTTGCAGATGCATCTACAACCTATAAAAAATTCGCCCCGGCTAATCACTCACCAAACGAACTGCGAAAGTATTATACTTCTGAAGTGGATGCTGTGTATATTTAAGTTGTCCTGTTCCACTTACTAAGATAGACTAATCGAGGACTATTACTTGGACTATGTTTCCAATAAATAACACTCGGGACTTTAAAGCAAACTGATTTAATTAGCGGAAGATAATTACAATACATTAACTAGTCAAACACAGGTAAAGAGAGAGAGTATGAGTAATTACATTATACATGATGCGAGCTATTTATACTAAAAAAGTAATCCTTACTAATATCACAAAGGCGAAAGTTTGTATGTATGGATGGATGTTCACGCAAATATTATTGAACGGATTTTAATAAACTTTACAATAATATAGCTTACACATCAGAACAAGACATAGGCTATAATTTATATACAATTTTAATGCAGTCTATCTCCCTGTCTTAATGTTACACCTTCAGCTTATTCTACACAGACGTAGTCGCGGGGAGCAGCTAGTTAATTACAATTTTGACTCCCATTTGAGAATGCGTGCGCGCAGTGGGGGTTAAATTAAGATGGCCGCTTAACTAAAAACAAAAGGCTCGTGCTCGGCCATCTTGCGATAATTAGCTAATACAATAGATGCACCAGCCGCCATACTGTCGCATCACCGAGTGGGTGGAGCTACTGTGCGTTAGAAAATGTTGATTCGTGCAACAGTAACTACGTCGTGAAATTCGATAGCCAATAGTAGCTTCGCCGCGGACGTCGACAGCACTCCGTCGTAAAAAAGGATCGTTGTAGCGGTCGAGTTGACTAGCATGCTACACTTCCACTTTGATCCGTCCTTCTGTGAGGTCGTGGTACTTAGCCGTACGAGCCTGCCCATTCGTGCAACAGCCGAGGCTGCTGCGTGGCCCTACCACTAAATTCTACGTTTATTTACATACATTGTGTACAATCACCGCTTTACGCTTGCACCTTACAAGAGAGTTTTGGGATGTCAAGAAATGTCCATATTTTTGATTGATTGATTGATTGAATATACTTCATCGCACACAAGGAAATACAAGGAAGAAAATACCGGAAAGATAGTGTACATACATACATTTTTGATTTTATACATCGATATTTTCAGCCGACATATTTGGATGTGATATATCAATACGAAATATCAATATATCGATACAAAATATTCAATATGGAAAATCGTAACAATACCGATTTTATTTCAAGTTCGAATCTGCCACAGATTCTGTAGATGTCAAATATTTAATACTTGACATACTTTTTTTACAGACAACGGGGTAACTACGACCTAAAGAGAAAACATCGATATATCGATATTTTCTCAGTAAATATCGACATAGAGGCCTGTATCCATATTTTTATGAGTATCTATATATTTTTTCACTTTCGATATCCCTATAACAGTTTAAATCATTTATACATCCCTTGACCCCCAATGCCATCTATCGGAGATTCGATTGGCACTTGAGAATGGTGTCGTAGATGTCCGTCCTGCGCTGACGCCTGATCGGTATCTGCTCCCTGACCTCCTCCACCGTGGCCAGATCTGAAATTACGTCAGAGTGTTTTCACAAGATGGTTCACCTGATGTTAAGTTAAAACCGCCGTCTATCGGCATGTGAAACACCCAAAGGGTTGCAAATACGTTACCATCTTAATATAAAGTGGGCCGCGGCTAGCTCACTGACTTGACGAAGCGTAGGAGTATAACACTTCACGTAGGTCGTTGTACTCGCTCGGACGGAACTGCCCATTAGTGGAACAGCGAAAACTGTTGCGTGGTCGTACCACAGTACATTTTTTAGAAGAAATGCACTGAAAAGTTTTTCGCCGCTGCGGGGTTCGAACCCACTTCCGGAGTCGCACGTGATGTGCCACACGTTAGGATTCGTGCCATGGTTGCCACCAGAACGGTAAATGACGAAGCGTTATAGGCAAAGCGGACGAGTGAACGGAGAAGAGGAAGGCGGGAACGAACCCACGTCCGCCAGCAGGGTGGCCGGCTCGTGGGCGAGCGTGTGCGCCACTGCGCCCCAGGGGTCGAGCAGGGCGGAGTGGCCCCAGGCGACGTAGTCCGCGGCGGGGTCCCTGGCGGGGCTGGCCAGCGCCACCCACAGCTGCAGGTCGGCGGCGCGCGCCCTGCCCAGCAGCTCCCAGTGCCGGGGGCCCGTGGCCATGTTGAACGCGCCCGGGTACACCAGCAGCGAGCAGCCTGCACGGGATCAGTTTCTTTGTCAGTGGCGTAACAGCCTATACGTGTTCCACTGCCGCGGAAATGGCTCCTCTATACAGAGGGTATCAAGGCATAGTCCACCACGCGGCCCCACTGCGGATTGGCGAACTTCACATTTCTTCGAAAAATATTTTTTTTGTTATTATTTCGAAAATATGCAGGTTTCCCCACGATGTTTTCCTTCTCCGCGGAACACGTGATAAGTCAGCACTTAAAGTTAAAAACTTCATTGGTGCCGGCACCGGGGATCGAACTCAAGTTGCTCGAGTATATTGAATTAAAGGCGAGCGCTTGGACCCTGAGCTATCACAGCTCACCATATAGCTCTATATAATTATATACAGCGTGTCGTTACCATATCGACAATAAATGAACACACATATAGGGGATAACTTTTTAAAGTTGTATTAAACATTTAAATTCTTAAAACATCAATATTTACAGATTTATTAAATTTTCCAAAACAAAGAATTTTAGAACACCCTTACCTATAAAAGCGTAACGTAAAGTTCATTTGTAAAAGTCACAAAGCATATGAATGGGATAAATGAATTTGAAAAGAGACAAAACATACTGTTAGAAGGAGAGGCTTGTAATGCGACGCTGTGGCGCGACTTGTATAAGGATGTTACAAATTTTGTTTCTATTTTACTTAATTAGTTTGTTTGAAAAATATTTTTCTTTAATTATGGATTTTGTTTAACATTAATATTTTTTTATTATTATTGGCAAGTAGCGTTAGACGTGTGTTCATTTATTGTCGCGATGGTAACGACACGCTGTATATGTATAATATAAACACTCAGACACTATAATTGCACTAAGTTCATCAGACAAGATTTTTCCAGTAGTGGGGATCGAACCCACACCCTCTGGCTAAAGGGCAGGTTCACCACCCACTACGCCAATCGGTACGTCAAAAGATTTCAATTGCAAGTTGCCCTCCAGTCGCCCACCTTCGTTGGCCATCAGCCTCGCCTGTTCCGGGAAGCGCAGGTCGTAGCAGATGCCCAGACCGACCTTGATACCCTGGCACTCGAATATCGCCAGCTGGTCACCGGCGCTCAACACTTCGGACTCCTTGAAGGTTATCTTGTTCGGAATGTCTATGTCGAAGAGATGCATCTGAGGTTGAAATGAAAGCATGCTGCACATCAAACCTTACAATCGACAATATTTTATCGAATACTATTTACTGAATTTTATTTAGGAACTAGTGCTGCCCGCGACTTCATCTTGCGCAGGATTAGTAATTTGAGTGGCTTATTCAGTAGCTTCTTCCCCAAGGTCATATCGTCATATCATCTTCTCAATTCTCTATACCAAAATTCATTAAAATTGGTTTGCTGCGGTTTAGTCGTGACGGTGTAACAGACAGACGGAGTTAGTTTGTTAGGAGACCCTTGTATCTTTATAAATTATAGCCTAAGTGTTATTCTGAGGTATAAACTATAATATTGTAGTTTCATTAAAATTCACTCAATAGTTTTCGCATGAGAGAGCTACAAACATTCATACATACAAACTATCGCGTTTATAATATAATAATACATTATTTATTATTAATATATTATATAAATTTACTTATTATTATATTATTATATATGTTATATAATAATAAGTAAATTTAATCAAAAGTAAATTTACAAATTTGTTTTGTACAAAAATAATTTTCGTAATTTATAACTATTTAGGTCAACTATGAATCAAGTTTTTATAAAAACAAAATACAAATTACAAAACTATTAAAAACATGAAAAATTAACTATCTGGAACACATTTTATTTGTATTTTGTATGGAAGAGGTTGGGTAGACAATCCCAACGATCACTGCAACATAGAAGAAGTATAATTGTAGTCTACCTTTCGAAAACATTGCCCAATTACCCATTATCCCCTTTTACATAATACATTTCACTTGGACAAACATCCAAATCCGCAACAACTATAATATGTGTATCACACAAATACTTGCCCCTTCTGGGAACCGAACCCAAGACCCCCGGCAACTGCGCCAACTGAACAGTCATCCAAAACGCGAACGCATTGTTATGTTACCCTAGCAGCCGCACCTTCCTGTATTGTGCCAGGAGCTTTCCGCTGCTGTCCCACACGGTGCACGTGTTGTAAAGTCTGTCGCCGCACCGCTCTGGCACCGTGCCGCCCACGACGCACAGCCCCGCTTCAGCAGCCACCTTGGAGAGGGCCCTACAAGTGGCCCCCGTTGGCACCTCCTCCGCGTACTCCGCAAAGTACTCTGACAAGCGCAGACGGGTCATAGCTAGCTCAAAGGGCTACAGGCTGCAATTTCCTATGGTTTGTCCATCAAATGTGTTCCATGAAATAAAACGGAACTTTAACTAAACGGTTTTTAAAGTCGTAAACATTATGGATCAGACTGTAATTACTACTTATATATAATTTATTTTCTAAGTCTAGATTTGATTAAGAATTCAATAAACATAAATTACACTTACTTGTGCCGTACGGCGAGTTGAAACACTCTGGCAACACCACCAACTGAGCTCCTTTCTCCTTAACACTGTGTATTTCTTTAACAGCACGCTCAATATTTTTAGATTTATCTGGTCCCACAGCCAATTGCAGGAGAGCAATTTTGAGTCCTGAAATAAGTCAACATCATATACAGGGAGGCTTTCCTAAGTGAATCCATTTTTTTATTAAATTCTAGACGATAAATAATGTTATATAAAAAAGATTAATATTTAAAATCACTGTTAATTAATTAAATACATTCATTTGAACTTATCTCAAAAAGTGCGTGATTTATGGGCAATTCATTTATTTTACACGCGATCATTGTAACTAACACGCACACAAGTTTGTTTCAAAAGTATACGACGAATTTATGAATGATTACCGCATTGTCAACAAGTTCTGTTTTTTAGGGAATGGAATGGCAATATTTTTAGACTCCATAGAGTAAGTAACTCGTTCTTGGGACGGTGTATACGCTTCTACAACAAAATCCCAGTTAATGTGCAAAGCCTATCTATTAACAGGTTGAAGAAATTTATTAAAGAAAAACTTTTAAAAGGGTTATTATAATATAAATGAACACATTAACGATAATAACTCCTGGGAATGAGATGATCACTCTAAGCTGTTTCTAAAAAAAAGAAAAAAATGTACTGTATAACAATGTATTTGTTTGAGAAAAAAAATTACAAAAAAGAGGATACCTACGGAGTTTCTTTTGCCTGTTTCTTCTCCGTTAGAGGAACCTCATTACGAAACGGTGGTAGATTTAAAAAAAGGACTATAGGTAAATGAAATGTATATTTCTTATTTCGATGAATAAATGATTTGAAAAAGAAACAAAAAAAAGTTTGATTTTATTTCATTAAACGATTATACTACTGAGTCTGAACCTACTGTGAATTTGGGCACCTTTAGAAAAGCCACCCTGTATTTGTTTTATTTCATAAAATCATTATCCTTACTTAATGAATCATAGGCTAAGAACATAGTTTTATTGGGGCATTTAAGGGTCACAAATTGGATTGGAGTTAAAGAAAAACTAGACAAATATTGCATTAAAATTGGATGTAGAGAAAATAGTACAAATGAGAAATTTAATTTTTATTTTTTTTATTTTAAAAATTATTTAATTGATAAGTAATTAAATTAAATCACTTTATTAGATGCAAAAACCCAGATACATAAAAATTATCTTGAGGTTGATTGATAAAACAATATTTCTCATTGGAAAAATGAAACAGTCTATGACACATTTACTCTTAAAAGAATCAAAATTACACAATAGGATTTTTAAATGAAAAAAAATACTACCTTATGTGTTAGTAAGTTTTAATATGAAGTTATTATAAATTTATTTATATTTATGTTAATAAGCATTTGAAAATTAATAATTTCTCTGTCTGTAACGAAAATTAATATTCTCAAATAAATTTCACAACTAAACTCAAGTAAAGTTTTTTATAGTGCTAATCTCTGCACTTATGATTGAAAATTAAAATTTGTAGAAAAAAAATAAAATTAATATGATAATAAAACTAATTCCCAGATTTTTTATCAATTAACTTTTGTACAGCATTGGTGTGCTTTGATTTAATTTTATGCATTATTAAAAAATATATGGTAGCCAGCAGAAACCATAATATTAGGACATAAAATAATAGTAATAATTTATCCGGGTGAATTTATATATGGATAGAAATAGAGACAAGAGAAATAAAACAGCAACAACTAGACAAAGTTCTAGGACTCAAAGTTGTAGCACTGAACATGATATTCTGTCCTAGCTAAATCCATAGTTTTCTTATAGAACATGTTTAAGATAGGTAACACATAATACTGTTTAAATATTAGGTACTTAAAACTTATATTTTAGTACCTAGTATTTAATTTCATGTGATGAAATGGTTACTGCATTATAAGTCAATCTAGACCTTTTTTACGTCTCAGTTTGTCCAATGACCATGAATATATGTTTAAATGTAGTATTTACGTAAGCAAAGAATGATTACAAGACAAAATGCTTTTAGCAGCAACTCTTGAAGATGTTTTATTTGATTAATTTAAACCAAGGACACAAAGATTTGTTTGTCCCAATGTATTACATAAGATGTTTGCATATATTATATTGTACAAAGTTTTATAAGATTACAGATGACCTTTATAATTTTTAATACAAGGCTAGAATTTAAAAAAATCATTTTTCTCCAAAGATGCTGTTATTTATTAAATCGAACTTGGTTAAAACAATTTTGATTAATACTATACAAACTATTTATAGAAGATAAAAATAATGTAAAGTTGGTGATAACTACATGTCACAGAGGTCACATTGTTTAATTACGCCTGAGAAAAATCGGATAAATAATAAAGATAATATATTATATTAAATAACAAAAATAATATGAAAGAAGTTATACAGATTCTTATATACTAGGTTAGAGCTGATAAAGAGCTAATATGGAATGCATAAACCAAATACTATACCCCCAAGAGCATATACGGGTTTCTTTGTAAACCGCGGGTGTACCGCATCTGTAGTTGAAGCACACATGTTGATATACTGAATTTTTTGAACGAATCTATTTACCTCTTTTCATAATGATCTTCGCTGCCTGTTTATTACAATGTACTTATAACTTGGTGTTTACTTATGATAAACAGACTTTATTTAGGAATATAAATTATGTGCGTTAAGATTTTGATTACTAGTTGATAATGATAACAGTTGTCAAATACATTGACTTGACATTGACAATAACAGTGACAGTCGTCTCTTTGACAGTGTTCAGTGTTATATAATAAATATTTTATGGCCTGGTAACAAAGACCTTTAAGCCAATTCTTATTAATTTACAAAACGTTTACGCTATAAATTTAGATCTCAATTTTTTCATATATATTTTTTTGTATTTATCTTAAATATTTGGAAGCAGGAGAAAATATTTAAGGTGCAGGAAAGGAACAAAGGACAAGTCAAGTACAGAAACCATAATATTTATTGTCACTGGCTGCTATACTTATTATCAACAGGTTAATGCTAGACCAGATGAGATTATGGGTTATCATCGTATAAACTGTAATTAGTGGCATTTTTATAAATACAACAAAATAAACATTGCACATTTAAAATTGAAATACTCTGCATTAACACAAAAATAAACATCTTTAAATTTTACTTTGCGACCTGACCTGGACGTTACAGGCTCTGCAGGACAGGCTATTATGGGCACGGCCGTTTGGCTTATGGGCGGTGAAAGAGTCGAGTGGACTGGGGTCTCCGGTCAGGTGCTATATATTCAGGTTTTGTTCTGTCAATTTCTGACCTTCTGAGATGTTTTTTCTTTCTTTAGGGGCCTGTGTAAGCTGGCATGGTACCAGGAATTTTCAGGACACATTAAAGCGGCCCTTTGGTGGCGGTGGACGTTCTATCAATCCATTAGCTTGGGGATAATAGCTCGTTGTACGCACGTGTTTCGTGGCTCCTAAATCTATCAGTCTATTGAAAAGTTAGGACACGAATTGGCGCTTCTGGTTCGTGGTGACAGTGATCGGTGCGCCAAAGCGAGCGATCCAGCCATGGTGTGAATTGATCAACGACTTCCACGGAGGTTATCGACGTCATGGGCCAATCTTCGGGCCAGCTTGAGAAGCGGTCTATTTTTGTTAGACAGTACATGAAACCGTTAGAGAAAGGTATAGGTCATACGAACGTGACGGAATCTACCTAGAGGTAAGCTAATGTTGCCAAGTGGGGAAACGACATGGCGCGATACTTTGCAGCTCTGGCGTGCCCAGGAGTGGCATTCTTTGGCAATGAATGGCCAGACATAGCGGTCGTGCGGAAGCGCGTGCGCCGGGTCGGCTGAGACCATTGTTTAATCTTAAGTGCAGAAATTAGCACTATAAACAAATTTAAATTTCTAAAAAAGCCATGGCGTCATCTCTCGTTCGAATTATCGTTGTAAAACGATATTGGAAATTGTTCGTACGATGGAAAGGATATAACAATAGATGCGCCAAGCATGATGCTAAAAAACAATGTAGATAAAGGACGTTAAGATTTTCGTCGGTGTGGCAATCGGCCGTTTATTCCTTGCCATAATCCTCCTCACTTGTGATAATTAATGACTCGTTGTCGCCGTTGGTAAGCTATTGGCTTCGACGATGGGGGTCGTGGGTTCAATTCCCACACGGAATAAGTATGTGTGACCCACAGATATTTTTTCGGGATCTGGGTGTTTGTTTCCTAAGGAGTTAAGCTGGCTGATGTCAACCCTCAGACTGAATAAAAACTAACCTTACTATTAGTGTACCCCAAATTGATAGATTAAAGACGCTAAATTAAAAGACCATGGCAAGTTGATGATAATGAACAGTTGAATAATACGAAAGTTAGTAGGAAATAATTTATTACAACTTATATGATCATAATAAATAAATTAATCATTTGTTATCCTAAAATACCGCTGAAGTATTTTTGAAGTTATTCTTTTTTCTGCGCGTTTGGAAAAATTTATGAGAGTAAAATTTTTAAATTTTCGAAATTATTTCATTTATTACAATACAATAAACAATTACTTTTCTTCGTATTTTTTTACTGCAACTTTGATAAAAATGACTTTATTGCAAATAGCATAAAGGAACATCAATGAGCATTAAATAGTTATTGTATAATTTTAATTCATTTAGTATATTTTTGCAAACTGGTCGCTAGTTTTAAAATTCAAATTATAATAAAATAAAAAAAATGTATAAAATATTTAAAAAAGTACATTTCTTTGTACGTTATCTTACGATGTCTAAACATTTACAATTCTAAAATAAACATTTTTATTCTAAAACACCCACAAACCTTTAATAGCATAATATACAATCAATATGGCCACAGAAATGAGTGTAGGTACTTCAAATTATATAATATTATAGAATGCAGTTAAAAAAGACATGATTGGACATTTCATTGAAGCTCAAAATAATTCAAAATGTTTATTGTACAGGAATGTATAAAAGCACCTTTTAATACTGGATGGCATATTTCTCTTAGAGACTTCAAATTAAGACTTAGAGATTTTCATTTCATTGCGAGTACCAGATAAACTAATTTTCTACTTATATTTGGCGACCAAAGAGTAATGAAATTTTAATGTTCAATATACAGTACTGAAAACAACCAGTCCAAACTGAATTAAAATTTACATTAATGTTAGATATTGCTCCTTGTTTGGGATGTTTTCTTTTCTGTATTTGTTCTATTTTCATCTACATTTTGTCTCCTCAAGCATTTAAGATGAGTTATATAGAAATTTCTCGTATTTAAGAATGCATTTTCTTTTGTTCTTTATGTTTCAAAGTATTTACAATATTTAGAATAGTGATGTATTTGTTACTTCTTAATATTTACTATGCAAAGACTATCGGCTATATTAATAACGATAAGGCACCAATTCAGTTTAGATTTTTTGCTACTGCAATATGCGAGATGTAAAGAATGTATAAAAATTGATACATAATTTTGTGAAACTTATTAGGGTTGTGATAATCATATTTTATGACAGACATATTGTTCATATAGTTTTATAGAATCCCAATACTACAACTCGCTCCAATTGACATTATAGAAAGAAAGTTAAATTTAAGGTTCTAGAAGAAAGGTTTTATTCACCAGTTGACATAATCCACTGATGATGATATGGGCACATTTGATGACTACTTACCTTTAACCTAAAGGTGTTCGAAGGCATTAAGTTTATATTTTCGAAGCACCATTATGCACCACATTGCCTTTTCCAATTTCATAAAACTTTATTCATGTACCCAACTCTTCAATAAAGTTTTCTCATCTCTATAGATGAGAAGGGTAGCGATAGAATAGGAACGTTCTTTGCGGTTTCCTCAGTAATTGTTACTAAGTAGGTAAAAGGTACTAGGAACAACGGGGAAATTAATACCAGGTACTGAGGTCTACATATAACTCAGTATCTGGTATAAATTTCAAATTGATAGGTCCTCCCGTTCCTGAGAAAATCGGCGGTGACACACGGACAGACAGAGGGACAAGAGAGCGATCTTATAAGGGTTTCATTTTTTACCTTTTAAGGTACGGAACCCTTAAAGAGTGAAACTTCTTGGCGGCCAGTTCACTTGCCGTAAACCTCGTAAAAACAGCTCGTTCGCTACCATGGGAGTGGGGCCTCAGTAGATCTGGTTCGCGAGTCGGTTGCGCCTCTCCAGGCGGCTGCGGCTGATGTATGGCGACGGCTGCTTGAGGTGAACGGTGCGCACGTGCAGCTTTCGGCTGTTGGACTGCGCGAACGCCTTGCCGCAAACCTCGCACTCGTACGGCTTCACGCCCGTGTGGCTCTGCGGAGTGGAACCTTCGCTCTATATTCGATCAAATTGAACTAACCGCTGTCTAAACGTTAATCTCACCTTCCAAACTCCTGTACATTGCTAGACTCTTCGAGAGATTCTTTTACATCGGCAGCTGTGCGTGTGCGACAAGCCAATGCCCCGTTTTCACCATCGATCCTTTAAGAGATGTCTAAACAAAATTGAGTGCTACTTTCGCTTCCACCACCGCTTAAGTGTCACGTTTAAAGACTTTACGTGGGGATCATGGGTGAAGACGGGGCATTGGCTTGTGGCACACGCACAGCTTTCAATGTAAAAGAATTTCTCGAAGAGAGTCTAGCAATGTACAGGAGTTTGGAGGGTGAGATTAATGGTGAGATCTTCTTCTTTAAAAAAAAAAGGTACCGACGCCCGCAAGCACTCGGTGTCATGCATGTCCATGAGCGGTATTAAGGTCGCGGGTCCGATTCCACCGTTGTCGCAGGCAAAAGGAGACGCACCCTCGAGTGGCGGTCGAGCGCGCCCTTGCACTTGAAGGCCTTGCAGCAGAGGGCGCAGGGGTGCGGCCTGAGGTCCGAGTGCGTGCGCTCGTGCATCTGCAGGTTGGTGCGGTTGAAGAACGCCTTGCCGCACTGCGCGCACTTGTACGCGCGCTCCTCCGAGTGCGTGCGCTTGTGGTACACGAGGAACGCGTTGCCCTGCAACGGGGGAGACCACTTATTAGCGAGACTCCGCTGGCCTTTTTTTTGCTGCGACATATTTGCATAATGCCAGTAAAGATAAGATTTGCACTAATAAACACAAGATTACATTCAAAATTATGAAAGAATATTATGTAAGTGGCAACAGTAGAAAAATTACAACTACCCTCCGCGCTAGTAATAACTGTGTTGCGGCAGAGCAGTATCACCGTCTCGTATTGTCCAACTTACGTAAAAGTGATTTTTTACGTTAGATAGTGGCAAACGAGCTGGCGGTTCATCTGATGTTAAGTTATAACCGCCCTCCCATGGACATTAGCAACGCCCGTAGGGTTGCAAATGCGTCGCCACCTTTGAATAAAATGGTCCCCATTGAGGTAGTGTCAAATGGGAGGTAGCCACCTCACTCACCAGACGAAACACAGAAGTATAACACTTCTACTTTTATGTTGGTCTTCCGTGAGGTTGTGGTACTTATCCAGACGGACCTGCCCATTCATCTCGATATCAACCGAGGTTTATGATGAAATGTTACCCGGAAACTCTTGCCGCAAATGTCGCAGATGTAGTTCTTCTGGATGGGGTAGTTCTTGTCGGGATGCACGCGCCTGAAGTGCGTCCAGTAGTCGCGGGCATTGGCGATCTCCTCCGAACACTGGAATCGGATTGGTCATTCAGTTAACTGCTACCCGCCCATTGTCCAATTTTTTAAATTTTATTTTAACCAAATTATATAATAAATTTATGAACTGTTATTTTTCTCATACTTGTGTCAATCTAACGTTTAATGAAACTCCGCTGACAATGTTTACTCTGTGCAAATATTTGACAATAGAACATTATGTGTTTCAAATTGCCTATTGATGTGTAATTTTTTTATTTGTAATAATTAAATGGCATATGACTTTCTGCATTGTTTACCCATATTAATATTTATTAATAATATTACTTAAAGTGAAAATCTTTGGTGGACGCAATATTATTAAAGTTATCCTAAGTCATGAAAGAGGTTTTCCCGTATGTAGTACGAAAAATAAAAAAGTTAAACGTAAAAACGTCACCATTTTGAATAAATTGCGATTTTTCCACGGCCTTTCAAAAATGCTGTATAATTTTAAGTTTAGGTTAAAACTTTCATATCTATTGTGTCATTTCAGCAACTTTGAGATTGCAGCAATTACGTTAATTACGGATATTGAGTTGGCGGGAGCAGGATATTGAATTTTAATTCTTATAGTGCCAATCTCTGCATTTACATGAGTAAGTAAATTTGTAGAAAAAATAGTGCGTGGAGTCGGTGCGCGCGGAAGAAGTGAAACTTCGAGTGGCACGCATTCACTCTCGCTCTGTCTCTTTCTCCCCCTCCCCAGGAGCGTTGAACGTTGAACGCGACCTTGTTGGAAGTCGCATTAGAAGTTTCCCTTGAAAAACGCACATGCTCGCACTCGGTGGGCCAGGCCATGCTGGAGGGCTTCTTGCCGTAGTTTTTGGGCCGCTTCCTGGCGTGCTCGCTCCTGTGGTGCAGCCGCAGCTCCTCCGCGCTGCCGAACGTCTCGCCGCACACGCGGCAGCCGGTGCTGGGGACAGGAGCTCTGTCTATATCTACACCACTAGTCTACATTCACAGACTGTTGCTGGGGGACCATAGTTCAACTGTGGCAGACCACGCAACAGTCTTCGCTGGTGCACGAATGGGCAGCCCCGTACGGAGAAGTACCACAACTCAGAAGCACCGGCGTAAAGTGCGAGTGTTACACTTCTGCGTTTCGTCTGGTGAGTGAGGTAGCCGGGGCCCACCTATCGGGGCAACGCTACCGGTGTTGCAATGTCTATCGGCGGCGGTTATCACTTAACATCAAGTTAACCAGGTCGCTTGCCACTTTTATACAAAAAAAAATATTCACAGTACTAAGTCAATATAAACTAGTGCTGCAAGATTATGTTTTATCTCCATAGCAAATTGGCGAATAATATCATACCTTGGACCTATCGCTTCTATCGACGCTTAATATTAAAAGAACAAATGAATGTATATTGGACATATGCCCAGTTTCCGAAAGGCCAATCAAAGCAGCAATCACATAACACTATGTCAAAAATGATCAGCTGTTAATCTCTTGTTAAACTCCCTTGGGTTTCTGGAAGGTTTGTTCAAGAAAAATTAGCTAATCACTGTATAACCAATGATAATGAATGAAATGAATGATTTACTTCAACTAACTCTTTCTATTGTATAGCCGTCCCTTTTTAAACAAAACTTAAAATAACGTCACTATCCAGTCCTGTCACCGTGTGATTGCCAACGTAAAAATCCGAGCTATAATAAAATTTAATTTATATATAAAAATGCATTATGCAAAATGTCTAGGAAAAACTTTAAAGAACGTGAAAAAAATGAATTATCCATAATAAACAAGTATTATAAAAAGAAAGAATCCATATTATTTATTAACTTTCGAATTTTTTTTTCATTTTGTATTTTTTCTAATCGCATGATATGTTCGCATAATAATAGGTAATAGAACACATGAATGTCCTTACAACGTATTAGGGAATTATGTTTATTTTTAATAAAAATTAAGATTTTTGATAAAATACATTTTTAACCAACGATTGATCGTCCAAATTGACAGATTACTTAATAAAACTTTTGACAGCTCGTTGACTACCGAAAAACGCTTTCAGAAACTCGATTTTCTGTTGATTGTCCGTTAATCAGTGACTCATTGCAAATCAAAATCAATGTTGTTTTCAGACGTTCTAGCAACTCAGATCATGTTAAACAACGATTGACAAGAGATTTATCGTAAATTAAAATTGATTGCGCTTTCGGAAACTGGGTGATAGTATGTCATTGAGTGAATCTACTCAATCCGCTTAAAGCTTTGGTATCTCTATTAACCTTGTGAGTTCAAAGTAGTTCGCAACGAATTTGCAACCCGTCACTTGATGTAGATGTCAATAGACGGCGATAATAACTTAGCTTCTGGTAAAACATTTGCTCAAAAGACAAAAACATAATTGTTTTACAATCTTAAATAAAACAGTTCAAAGCTCTAGATACATTAACGCATGTCGCGCACAGCAATGTCATGATGGTCAAAATATACATTATTAATGACGGTACTTAGTACTTATCATGTTTCAACATTTTATGTAATCATAGCCGCTGGGTTTAATAATGACCAAATTAAATTTAACTCAAACTAAACCGTGAACAATCATGTTGCGTTACAATCATGAACATGTGAAATGGAAAACTAATCTTTCCAACAAATGACATTATAACTATGAGTGTCTTCCATAACTGGAGGGAGATTACTGAATTACTTGAAGTCGGTACTCTGCGTGTGCTTGACGGATGTGACCATGTGCCGCTTCCACGCCTCCACCGACACGAACTTTATGTCGCACTGCTCGCAATAAGGACCTTCTTCCTTGTTGTCTCCGTCCTGCTGTTGCTCCTGGAACGTCAGTTGATTTGCAACGGTTAAAAATAATTTATCCATCCCACGCTTAGGAGGTTCTTATCCCAGTCTACCTTAGGGTGGTGTGTAGAAAAAGCTAGGTGCACAGATTATGAAGATCTACATCTGAAAATCCGCAATTATATTTTTTTTATTTTAATATGTGACAGTGAGACTCGCGCAATAACGAAAAATAATACAACATACCATTCTCGATAACCGGAGTACAAATTACCCCTCTGTTTTTAGGGTTCCGTACGCAATGGGAGCGATGAGGGGTGTGGAGGAGGGGCAATGGGGCTAGAATGGCGGATACGCAATGGGAGCGATGAGGGGTGTGGAGGAGGGGCAATGTGGCTAGAATGGCGGATACGCAATGGGAGCGATGAGGGGTGTGGAGGCGGGGCAATGGGGCTAGAATGGCGGATACGCAATGGGAGCGATGAGGGGTGTGGAGGAGGGGCAATGTGGCTAGAATGGCGGATACGCAATGGGAGCGATGAGGGGTGTGGAGGCGGGGCAATGGGGCTAGAATGGCGGATACGCAATGGGAGCGATGAGGGGTGTGGAGGAGGGGCAATGGGGCTAGAATGGCGGATACGCAATGGGAGCGATGAGGGGTGTGGAGGAGGGGCAATGGGGAGAATGGCGGATACGCAATGGGAGCGATGAGGGGTGTGGAGGAGGGGCAATGTGGCTAGAATGGCGGATACGCAATGGGAGCGATGAGGGGTGTGGAGGAGGGGCAATGGGGCTAGAATGGCGGATACGCAATGGGAGCGATGAGGGGTGTGGAGGAGGGGCAATGTGGCTAGAATGGCGGATACGCAATGGGAGCGATGAGGGGTGTGGAGGAGGGGCAATGTGGCTAGAATGGCGGATACGCAATGGGAGCGATGAGGGGTGTGGAGGAGGGGCAATGTGGCTAGAATGGCGGATACGCAATGGGAGCGATGAGGGGTGTGGAGGAGGGGCAATGGTGCTAGAATGGCAGATACGCAATCGGAGCGATGAGGGGTGTGGAGGAGGGGTAATTGGGCTAGAATGGCGGATACGCAATGGGAGCGATGGGGACTATGGGTGGTGGGGGAGGGGAGCAATGGGGCTGGACGGGTATCCGTACCGGCAGGTCCTTGTGCATCATGGTGCGGTGCATGGCGAGCCCCAGCCGGCTGACGAAGGAGTAGCCGCACGCGCCGCAGATGTGCTGCGACGGGTGCTTGATGCGCACGTGGCTCAGGTACGAAGTCCACTTGCTGAGGGACATCCCATTTAGTATCGTTCACCACAATACTGTCCTATTAAACTGCGCGGGATAAATATGACTGTAGTAGGCCCACGCAACACAACGTAGCCGGGGCCCACTTTAACTAAAGGTGGTAATGCATCTGCAATCCTACGGGTGTTGCAAATGTCATTATTATTACTTAACACCAGGTGAACCGCCAGCTCGCTTAACATTTTCTCATATAAAAAAGAAAAAATAAATATGCGAAAATACGTTTGTGATTGAGTTCAGTTGGCTCTGCAGTTCACATGACAATTCCACAAACATGCCATCGTGTAGTGCGATGTCGACTGCGGCAGAAATTATAAAGGGAGTAAATCAATCAAAAGATCGTTTATATTTTCAGGTTCGTTTATGAATTTTATTACTGTTATTGTCCTATTTCTTTACTTTTATGACTAATTCTAAATTCGAATGCTTTTTTTGTCCAAAATATATGGCTAAACACATTTTTTAATGTATGTAAAACTTTATAGTCGATGTTTTTTAGTCTATTATAGCTACACTCGGTACACTTACGTCGATATCTCATCGCAGTACTGGCACTTGTACGTGACGCCTTTGTGCCACCTCTGGTGCTGCTTCGCTTGTGTCCTGCGCACAAAGTTAATTCGAATGTCTAACGGTTCTAATCACACGGCACTCACGCCCGGTTTCCGAAACGTCGCAGAAGTTAACTAATCAGCTGTCAGGTGGCAATTCAACAAACTTTTAGCATTTCAAATGTCATTTGTGATGCCAAAAGGAACTACGGGTGTTGCCAGTATTCGTGTGCGCCGGTGACCATGACAACACAATCACAAGCCTTACTGGTGCTGCCGCGGTGACCACCCACCGTCGGGTGGTCGTTTGATTATTCGGTTCGTCTGCTGAAATGGTCTTACGTGGTCTTCGAGACGTAGGGGCACGCCTTGCAGGCGTATTTCTTCTCGTGGTTAGTGACGTGCTTCTGCATCGTTCGCTTCGTCTTGAAGCGGAACTTGCAGATCGGACACTGCAGGTCACCGGAGCTCTGGAACGGCGCAAGTGAACATATGTCGGTGGAATCATCGGTAGGATGGTCGGATGGTCGGATGGGCAGGCTCGTCCGGGTAAGTACCACGACCTCACAGAAGGCCGGCGTGAAGTGGAAGTGTTATACTTCTGCGTTTCGTCCGGTGAGTGAGGTAGCCGGAGCCCATTTCATTAAAAGGCATCTGCAACCCTACGGGTGTTACAAATGTAAATGGCATACTCCACCACCGTGCGCGTTCATTGGTCAAATCAAATGGCGCGTATCGTTGGTGAAATCAAATAGCCCGCGCTCATTGGTCAAATCAAATGGAGCGTATCGTAGGTGAAATCAAATAACGCGCGCTCATTGGTCAATCAAATAGCGCGCGCTAATTGGTCAAATCAAATAACGTGCGCTTCCTCGGCTTTCTGACTCCTGCTACACACTTCACTTATCACAAAATCACTACACAGATTGCAAGAGAGCAAATATATTGCATATCAAAAAAAAGCTAACCGGATCGTGCCTCCCGACGTGGTGCTTCCATGCATGCGTGTCTATAAAGCCCTTGAAGCACAGGTTGCACTGGTACGGAGCATTCAGGTAGTTGGAGGAGTGCTGCCGTTTCGTTATCTCCTCTATCTGTTGCTCCACCTGCGGGAAAGGGACGAACGAGGTACACGAAAGAGATAGCAGACGCCAGGAGTGAGGTGAATTAAAGAGATAGTACTCATAACTAGAGGATTTACTGGCAACATTCTGCAGGCTCGAGACAAATCATACACATAACGACACACGTTACAACCGCGATAATAAATGAACACACATGTAGAGGATAACTTTTTAAAATTGTATTAAGCATTTACATTCTTTTAACATCAATATTTACACAGTAATTAAATTTTACAAAACAAACAATTTCAGAGTATCCTTACGTATAAAACTGTAACATAAAGTCCATTTGTAAAGGTCACAAAGCATATTAATGGGTTGAATGAATTTAAAAGAGATAAAACATAATGTTAGAAGACTTGTAATGTGATGTTGTGAAAATCAACATTATTTCATGTGACTTACTTCATGTATGTTCCAAATTAACATGCACATTTATGTTACAAACATGAATGTATTCATTGTAGTAAACAAAATTTGTATAATTTTAGTAGACAATATTGAATGCAGAGACTAGAACAGAAAATAAAATTATTCATATTTACCGATAGTTTTATAATTGTGACATATTCCTCCATATCCATTTCATCATCATCAACAGCACTTTTTCTTCCCCTGCCCTTTCGTTCCACAGCCTCTGAGGGAGCTGCATCATTCTTCCTGGGCCGGCCTCTCTTGCGTTTGCTTTTAACAACCTCTGTCACTTCTACGGGCAAAGTTGAGTTGTCATCGGTACCCTGGAGATTGTGATCAAAACATATTAATAAGATAATAAAAGGCGACATATTAAAAATATATATTCAAAAGTATTGTTATAGTACACCTTGCACAAATGTGAGGCTGCAATTTTTGCTTGTAAGAAAGGAACTGGATGTATCAGTTAGCTTTCCATTTAGGATTTTTCACTGGGATTCGAACTTGTGATCTTAAAATGGCACCCTGACAATCTAACTACTTGATATTGCTCATATAAGTATGTTTAATTTACTAAAATCATGTGTAATATAAAAAAAATTATATCATTACAAAAATCCATCCCGTGGGAGGAAACAAATAAATATATGTTAATCCATTAAAAAAGGAGGTAAAAGCTAATGGGCAAAAGCCTCCTGTGTAAAAGAGGAGGCCTTTGCCAAGCAGTGGGATATGTATAGGCTGTTACTTTATATTAAAAAAAGCATAAATAAGGCAAGGTAACAATTTTAATTTTTGCAGTCAATATTTTGATTACCTCAATAAAATTGGAAGCTTCATCAGATCTATTGTCTAATGAAAGATTTACTTCAGATTCCTCTTTCTTCTGTGTTTTCCTTATTTTCTTCTTTACAATCTTCTTTTTAAGTTTCTTTTCCTTATTATTTTTATGAAGAGATAGAGGTTCATTGTCATCACTAGATAGTGTAGAAAGATGTTGGATGTCATCAAAATTTTCATCACCTTTAAGGTCATCTATTTCTTCATCATAATTTCCCAGACTTTCCCCTATATTTTCAGAGTGATCTAAACTTTCAGTTTGAATTAGAAATTCAGTTTGTTCAAATGGTTCCTCTTTTACATATTTCTCATTTTTCATTTCATCATAAGTAAAATTAAATTCTTTATTTCTTTTCTTGTTGCATATAGACAAATTTGAAGTCAGGTGGAAGTATTTCCTGTCTATTTGTTGAATATCTTCTGTTGTAATCTTTAAAACAGAAAGAAACATCATAACAGAAATCATTATTACAAGTTTAAATATTATATAAAAACAATAATTAAAAACCTCATTAATGTGAAAGTTTTGTCTTTAAAATTTAAATGGTGAAGATTATTGGTTAATTTTGGATGGTTGGGAAATTGGTTGGTAGGTTTTATTGCTTACAAGAATAAATTTTAATATTTTCCCAGCAGACTTTTTAATATTCAGAAAGGAGGAGAGACTTTTTAATATTACATTTTCTATGATTACACAGTAATAGTCATTATGATTCGGCAGTCTTTTTTTTATGTGAAAAGTTGTCAAACGAGCAGACGGTTCACCTGATGTTAAGTTAATACAACCTTTTGAAAATTGGGCTCCGGCTACCTCAATCACCAGACGAAACGCGAAGGTTCTACTTCCTCTTCGCTTTTCTACTTCCACTTTACGGCGGTCTTCCGTGAGGTCATGGGACTTACCCGGACAAGCCTGCCCATTCGCGCAATAGCCGAGGCTGCTGCGTGGCCCTGAATATTTGGAGATAATCTAAACTTACCTTCCCGGAAGAATGATATATTCCATAGAGAGCAGCTTGTCCTCTTAAACATCGCTCACGAAAGAAATAAAACTTCTTTACTAACATGGCACATTCATAACAAGCGAAGGGTGGCAAATCTGTCATATTTAATGGCTGAAATAGTAAAAAGTTTCAAAACTCCTTATTTCTAATTTAGAAGTTTTATATAATTTTTATGAATGCAGTATCACACATGGCACCTTACGAGAAGAGCTATGATTAACTTTTATTTATGTAGTAACAATAGATAAAATGCTTCTACATTTTATCCTGTTTTGTAGAATAGGTCCTCTTTGCAAATATGAAACTCCATAACAAAATTCTGAGGTAGCAGACCTACAAGATTATAGAATGAACATATAAAACAGCAAAATAAATTAAATATAACTCAAAAATGACCTGTTATAAAATAAAATTGTGTTTTGATTCAATCAAAATAAACAGTAAGTATAGCAACATTATAAAAATAAATATATGTTTAATTATATCAATTAATTCGATTGTGTATGAAAATAGTCTTTTTAACTGACAAATATAAAATTATAAATAAATATAAAGTATAAATATTACTTACATTCATTCCTGTTATTGGTTCAAAATATGTCCCTAGAGGATAAGATTGGAGATTGTGCATCTTCACATCCATTACGAGACATATTCGACACACTTTGATGTGATCCATTCTTACTTAAGTTATTTTTTTAAATGTGTTACAAAATTAATTCATATGTTGGCGGCATAAGATAGAGTTAGAAAATGTTAGAATTTCTACCCGTTATTCATAATTCAATTTTAAAGTTTATATGCTTAAAAATAGCAATAGAACTTAAAAACAATATCTAGTAAAATAAAATAACAAATGTTTGTCATTTATTCTGATAAAAAAATTATCAGCTTTTGTAAAAAATCTAATTAAATCACCAAGAATGTCTAGTCGTATAGAAGACGCCAAGTGTAGTGATGTCGAAAAAATATCGATATCATGATATTTTTAGTCGATATATTTTGATCCGATATATCGATATCAAATATTCAACTTTTTTTTTGTTTTAGCAGGATATGCCACTGTTGGCCTTAGGGGTCTTTACAGATACACCGGACTTGAGGTGGCCACCTCAAGTCGCTTGGGACGCCTAGCCTGTACCTCGGTTACGCGTTATGGTGTCTAAGCTCGAGGGCTCCCGATGCCCGCTCAGGTTGTCACGATATTATTATTAATCACACCTCTGCACACACATTGCGAGATCAATAAGCTCTTAGGGCGCTTTGGCGGATGCTCCATGGAGTGACTAGGCTAAACTAGGCCCCCGACGCGATAGTGAAAAGTCCGGTAACTTAGGAAGGGTCGGATTATGTATATTGCATACGAGACCATCTGGCGTTCCATACTCGTATAACTTGTATATGAACCCGTTTATTTTTTTATTTATTTGCCTTTTATGCACACAGTGCGCATAAAGGATAAATGGCACACAATGGCGGACTTAATGATAACGGCATTATCTCCCAGTCAACCGTTGTACCAGACTTTATATTAGAAGGCCTTTGCCATATCGAGGAAGATCGCTCCGGAGTTGTGTCCGCGTCGGCGTTTAACTAATACGTGCGCCGTGATATGGTGTACTTGATGGGTACACGAATATTAGGTTCTAAAGGCAAACTGTTGGGGAATGGGGAGCCCCCGAGAGGCCATAAAGGATCGTAAGGTGGCCAATATTAGCAATTCAAAGTTTTGAGAACACTTATTGGGCAATTCCATTCGGAGGGGATATTCAACATCGAAATCCTTTGATTATATACTTGTCTAGATTGAGCAATCCTTAAGAAACGATGCGCTAAAACTGTTTCTGATTGTGTGATTGCGTGATATTTGTGAGTGCCGTTCGTGTACTTATTGTAAACAAACTGTCAAGGTGTGTGTGTTAAGGGATGCCTGTCTTTCGTTTTTTCCATTATTTGACAGTGTGAAAGTTAAAGAAAATAGGTTGAATAAAGTAATTATTTTGTAGATTAGTAGTTTTATTTATTTAAAGTAAAACAAAAAATACAATGAAAAAATACTGTGGTTAATACATTAAAATCGGTCTCTAAAATCTGCTTTATCATCGCTCTCCAGCGATTTGCAAGTACGCAATTCGTAGGAAATCTGAAGTGAACCCCAAAAATAAATAAAAGAACTAACAAAAACACTATTTAATGCATGGCGTTATGAGTTTCATTTATTTTATGTAGGTAAAGTATCATTTACAGACCAAATAAATAATATTTTTTTAATAATAATATTCTGATAGAAAGATAATGTTATATTTGTATTTGGTCTCCCATGATTTCCCCAAAATTTCCTAATAATAAACTAACTACACCGGCCTAATCTATAAAATAACGAATTAAAAAATCGTGTAAATAACAAAACTTACCGATGAAAAGCGATCTTGGTATTATTATACGATTTTCCCATATAATAGCGACACGATTCGATAGCAAAAACCGGCATAGTTAAATATTTTTCGTGAGCACGGGATCCATAAGTGATTCAAAAGACACTGACGTAATTGAAACGCGATTCTGCCAATTTTAGTAGACATGTTTTAAGCCGTTCGGTAAGGCTAATGTGGCATCTAGACAAGTATATAATCAAAATGGAAATCATATCAAAAACAATATTTTCATTAAAATTTAATTCAGCTTCAGAGCCGTGATAGCTCAATGTCCGGGCGCTCGCCTTTAATTCAATATTCTCGAGCAACCTGAGTTCGATCCCCGGTGCCGGCACCAATGAAGTTTTGTAACTTTAAGTGCTGACTTATCACGTGCTCCGCGGTGAAGGAAAACATCGTGAGGAAACCGGCATATTTTCGAAATAATAACAAAAAATATATATATTTCGAAAATATGTGAAGTCCGCCAATCCGCAGTGGGGCCGCGTGGTTGACTATGCCCTGATACCCTCTGTATAGAGGAGGCCTTTGCCCAGCAGTGCGACATGTATAGGCTGTTACTTTACTTTTAATTCAGCTGAATATTAACAGACTTCAAATCCGTAAAATATAGAAACGAACGAAAACATGTAACTATTGTCTATGATATAGATGATACATATATATACTGGAACATACGTAGACGATACATATATACGTTTTATATACTGGTCTATGACTAGTATTGTCACGGATGCAGGGTTAGATTTTGTACTGTAATTATTGTTTTTATACTAGAATTTCATGCATCATACTATATACTATTCATATCTAATGGTTGACATGACACTTCAGGGCGTACCCCACATATATTTCTGACACATTTCTTCTGTGCTATAAACTATAAGCATGATAGGATGAGATTGCTCTTTTTTATTAGTTATGTTTATGATTTCGATTCAGGGCATAAAGAAACTAATATAACTTACTACATAAGCAGTTTATTTTTTTCCAATTAAGGTCTTGGTCAATAATTATATGTAGAAATTTAGATTAATACAATAAATTTGATTATAATTAATGATTGAAATACCTTCGTTTTATTAAGATTTCTCATACAGTGAAATAATGTGAATTTGTTATAAAAATTACTACTAGGTACCTATTATTGCAACAAACTGAACCAAATAAATTACTTTTATAAAAACAAAAACTTCACCGATATATCGATAATATTTTTTCGATATGTCGAGGCCGATATTGATAATTTCATAAATATCGATATAAATCTTCATTTCGACATCCCTAGTCAAGTGGCTTCCGTGTGCGGTGTTACCATAATAAATTAAAGTTTTACCTCGGAGTCCTCAGTCTCAAACTTAATTTAGACTGTCAAATTGGGAATCCTGGTCCATTTATAATATTAACAATCTCTAATGTGATCTTGTGAATCACATTTAAAAGAAACTGGTCTGTATGAACGATTTTTCACATATTTCGTAATAAATAACAGCAAGATATTGATATAACCCTATATTTAGGGAAAATCTCAGATATGTACTATAGAAAAAATACGAAATTTTTAAGGGATGTTTGTCAGCTACGATTGGTCTGACTCCTTCAGATTTATAAAGGTACTCTTTAGACTCCTTACAAATAGTACTGAAATAATTCACCCAGTAAAGTAAAAAGTAAAGTATCAGCCTATACATGTCCCACTGCTGGGCAAAGGCCTCCTCTATACAGAGGGTATCAGGGCATAGTCCACCACGCGGCCCCATTGCGGATTGGTGGACTTCACATATCTTCGAAATATTTTTTTTTATTATTATTTCGAAAATATGCAGGTTTCCTCACGATGTTTTCCTTCACCGCTGAGCACGTGATAATTCAGCACTTAAAATTGTCAATTTCATTGGTGCCGGCACCGGGGATTGAACTCGAGTTGCTCGAGTATATTGAATTAAAGGCGAGCGCCCGGACACTGAGCTATCACGGCTCTGTTCATTCAGTTAGTATTCACCCAGTATCATTATATAATAATTGGCCATCTACAAGCTATGTAGATTATTTTTAATAAATTGCCCATTACAGGATTTTCATAATTTCGTAATTGACGTAATTTTATTAAAATCACATTTCTCAATTGAAAGAGCCATTCACCCTGTCTTCTGCTACCGAGAAGGTGTCGCAGGGCAAGAAGAGTGTCGGTATTACGGTGTTGCGTTCTACCTACTCTCCGCGGCCGAAATATGGTGAGCGACGGATCCACAGATCAGGTCCACTGCTGGGGGCTGGGAGGCTTGTTTATTGGCACTGGCCCTCCTGGCTGCCATGGCCTACGGTCAGCGAAATCGGCGGAGTTCGTTGGCTGTATAAAAGGTGAACTGAATGTAAGAGCGCGCCTTACCTGGAGGAGAGGGGACTTGCTCCCCGGGAGGGGGCTGCTGAGGCGGCGAGCGCTGGCAGAGTCGCGGAAGTGTGCGAAAGCGTTACCATCGCCCTGCCCATAAGCGCCTGGGTGACACATCGTGGGGGCTTTAGTCGGTTTGAGTCCGACATAACCCGCTCTTGTTCCTGCGACGGTGGGTATTTCCCCCACGTTAACAGACAAAAAGGTTCTCGAAACTATTTCAAATATATCGCTGTATGATTAAGTATTTCTAAATTAATCACGAAAAGCGAAACTTTAATACATAATTTAACTTTTGTAAGTCGAACTTAGATAAATTTTATTTATAAGTTATACATATAACCAGTCAGATATACTTATTTTTAAAAATGAAGTCTAAGAATTTGTTCGTAATAAAAACAATGCCAAAGTCGACGGCTTCTACAGTCACAGGCCAATTTTTAAATAAGAACTGCAGCGTGATAATACTGTACTCATTCATTGATTTCTTGTTTCAACATTGTCCAGTCAGACTATAGCTACCGATCGAGCCGAGGTCCGGCCCACTCGGGCACCCTCGAATCGGAATGCTTAACGGGTATTGAGTACAGCCCAAGCTGGTTCCCTCTCGGGAGCCCTCGAGCCTAGTAACTCCATAGAGCGTCCGCCAAAGTGCCTTAAAAGCTTGGCGGCCTTCCAAACCGCTAATGATAATAATAACGTGACGGCCCGAGCCGACACTCCCTCGGGAGTCCTCGAGCTTAGTTACCATAACGCGTTACCGAGATTCAGGCTAGGCGCCCCGAGCGCCCGGCCACCTCAAGTCCGGTGGATCTG